CTGTGCCTGTCCACGCTCTCCCTCGGGCCAACACAGCAAGTCTGTTTGCATGGCACAAAGGATGTAAATCTAGGTTACACTGATCGACGATAACTCAGTCCATTGTATATTTTCTTGGGGGATTATTATAAACAGAGATAAAAAAAAAAAGATTAGGGTGCCATAAAGGAAATCCTACAGAGGAATGGAAAGTCCCAGCATGCTACATAGGCTTGTCCTTCATTGTGGAAGACCCTCTTGGCTGTATATAGTCTTCTTTATAATTGTATCTACCAAAAAACATTTCCAAGTGTGAGGTATGACTCATCGGTGAGCTCAGAAACCATGAGCCAGGATAAACTCTTCATTTGTAACCTGTAACAGTAGTGAATGGGTATAATTTTGTAATGGTAACTTCCTTCTGTAAAATATACAACTCTCTAATGGTAGAGGTGTAATCTGAAATTTTAATAGTCAAAAAGCATGTGCCAGGGTTATAAAATATGAAGTAACAATGTAAGTACAATTATTTAGTGTATATATAAACACCTTGCTGCAGATGCACTTACAGTATTTTAATTAATTTTCCCAGAAGTTTCTTTCAATACCTTGCCTTCTGAAAGCTTTTATACAGTGAACAGATGAAGCCATAATGAGATGCCTGCTCTGTACGAAAAAAAATACAATATGTTTGTGGTACTGAGGACAAAGGAAGTTTCACTAGCACAGAGATGGTCATTGTGTCTGCAGTTTTTCTTTAACCAATTGGCAGACATTGTTCAATCTAGTTCTCACCCAAAGAAGACTCCACAGCCGAAACGCTGTGTTTTTCATTTCTTCTCTTTTCAGCATGGAATAAACCATTACTTGTTCCTTTGTTAAATCTATCCCATTAAGGCAATAATGAACTGTTGTAGGTCATTAATGGCAAAGTTCCAATGAAAAAGCTGCAGGCATACTGTACCAGCCCTCTGGGAACAGGGTTGTCCATTCCTGCTTTCGCCCGTCCTTCAAAACGCTATCACAACTTACGAAGAAAGAACAGAAAACTCAAATCACTTGTCTTTAAAAAAAAGCTGATCATTTGAAAGAGGACAAAAGGCACATCACAGCACACACGCCCATTGAGAGGACTTCTGAAAACAGAGTGGGACAGACTTGAAGTTTTCATTGTAGATTAAACAAATGTTACACAATGCTTACTATGAAAACAAATACACAGGTATGCTAATCAGATAACTGAGACTATATACAATAAAGTGATAAAGCTATGGTCTTCTGTGACATCTCTTGTGGGGTATATCTAACTTTCTGACTAAGTTAAAACTGCTTAAGTCAGGTCTTGTATAGAATTCTCTAGCCATTTTGTAATACTTCTCTCATGGGGTTAGAAACAGTGCGCGATGCAAATTTCTTGGCAAACAAAGTACTTGTATAACACAACAGGAACCCTTTTCCCCTGGCCATACTAAAATGATATTAATAGGCCAAGTATAGAGTTAGAATTGCGATTACTATTCCACATGTACTGGATAGGTCAACATACAGTATAGAGAACATGCTGCATAGAGCAAACAATAATTTAAAAGCATTTCTGTTGCATTCATTTTCAATTAATTATTTCTACCTTTCAGTTAGTATTGCATCAATCAAAGGTTAGACCTTTTTTATTTTAATCAGCTAACAGTAGAATACAATGAAAACACAGTTACGCTGCAAAGACATTGAGCTACCGTGCAGCTTTGTTTGTTTCAAAGATTTAACTTAAACTCAGAAGTTTGTGAATCCTATGTGAATTAAATGCTCATTTAGCAATCAACATCACACTTGGAATATTGACTTAGGTTTCACGAGTTGTTCAAAGATCCATTCATTTGTTTAATTGTTTTAAGGATTTAAATTGGTGAAGAAATTTATTTTTGAAAAGTGTGGCATACACTCAAATTGTATGTAGATTAGATAGGCTCTTTTGGGTCTTTTGAAGTTTGGAACTTAAGTAAAATTTTGAGGCAGCTTACACAATGGGTTCAAATGATAAGCCTGAAAAAGCCTCCCTCTTCCCTCTCTAGGAAGTATACTGTATACCAACTGCTGAATCAACCAGTTACATAATAGCTTATTTGGATTATCATACCAGGAAACTGTTTGAATTAGGCATTGCATTTTGTACAGCTCTCCTATTACCATTCCAGTGACAGTCACTGTACAGTATCTCCTGCTTTCTTTTAAAAACGTCTGTGTTTTCCAGAGGTTTTTTTTCCTCAAGATTGAGTAGTATTTATCCATTTAGGTTGCTGAATTTTTCTTTGGACTTGTATTTGTAGTTTATCTTGTCCTTTATTCTAACCTTTTATTTTGGTTTTTCACTGAACTTGCCTGTCATGTAAATAATGCTGGAAAAGGGAATACAAATTTTGTAATTTTTTTTTCGGTTTTGCCCTGAAGATTTGAGGATATGAACAGAAACACTCAGAGGAAAATTAGGTGAGAGTAGAAAAACATGTTTGTGGAAATGCTGGTGCTTGGTTATTATGTCTTCTAAATATCTGATGGCAAAACCTAAAAGTGAAAATGCACTGCATGTTTATTTGCAGGATGTATTGTTATATTAGTAAATTGCTAAAATTACAGTATATCCATGTATCTAGTATATCCATGTATCTATTTATCAAAGTTGTTGCTAATGTATGTCCTTTAAACTTTGAAAGCAAAAATCATTCCAGGGAAAGTGCAGCAGTTTTGAAGAAGTGATAAAAGTATATATTATTCTTATTGTTTATCTACAGTAGATCATTTATGTTAGGTTTAAAATCCTGAAATTGTGTTAGGGAAAATCATGAAAAACGTTGGGTAAAAATAAATTAATAATAAAGACAAAGCCATCAAAAATTGGAATTGTAACACAGGTGCTATCCAAACAAATCAAAATAAGGATTAAAACAACATGCAAATGGTGCAGACACAAACGTGTATAACCAGCATATTGGCATTTCATGTTAATAGTGAATACGTGAAATTCACTGTGAAACAGACACTGCCAGTCTGAACTGAAGACATTAGTGAAATACAGTTTAAGCAAGACCAGATATTCTGTTTCAACACTTAAGTCTCATGCAGGTGGCAAAAGGTGGTCAAGGATGGAAAACTTTGATGTTTGAGCGTAGATCCTTCCAACACTGAGGGGTCAAGTGGGAAAATAATGGGCTCTGGAAGTGGGAAAATGGCTAGGAGGTAAAAAAGTGTAGTGGAAAATGAGAAATGCACAGGGTGAAAGGAAGAAATAAAAGGCAGAAAATCAGATGTCAGGACAGAATGGTGATATAGTGGTAAGTGAGAGCTAGGGTTTTCAAACAGATGTGCAGAAATATAGAGTCAGTGGATGCACTATAGAGAGAGACATGGATAGAAAAGACAAGGCAAACATAGAATTATGGGTAATTTGGAGTGAATGGATAGTGTCAGCAGGGAGGCTGGCCAAGAGGAAGAATACTAGGTCCTGGACTAGTTGTACAGAATAGTTGTTAAGTTAGGGAATAATAAGGTTTCATGGAAATGACAAGGTGTGTGGCATTAACAATACAACTTTTCCTTAAAAAGCATTGTAATGAGGATAAAGTGCAATGAAATCAAAGAGTCTTTACACTTTCTCGGAACATGCACTTTTAACGAACAGGCTAGTATAGGGCTGACTTATATACAATACATAAGAAGAAAGATATCTGGACACTTCCAGACACATCTACAGTATAGTAGACAGTACCTCAGCTGGAGTGTGGGCTTGGAAGAAAGAGTGCACAATTCAAGAGTCAATTGCTTACTGCCATGGTGACATGTACTGAACCTCTGCTCAGTAATGTTGGGCCAGTAGACATAAGAGCATAACACAGGCTGATAAGACTTTTTTCTACTTAATTGCAATATGATTTCCTTACCTCAAAAATCACCTCATTTAAAATGATTAAATCTGTAAACTACAAGATCCTGGTTCTTATTTTGTTTGCCAGAGTATGGTTGTTAGAGAGGAACCATTGCTGGAAATAACCACTGTGACTGTGAGCTTTAAAACTCAGAGGACTTCTACTGATCTACACAAAAACATATTTGGTGACTAGAATCTAAATAATGATGCTGAACCAGTGAAAGTCCTCCACAGCACGTACGGACTTGTTATGTGTTAAGTGAGTGTGATACTGCAAAAATATGCTGAAGACAGATATGCAGATATAGGATGTCAAAGTCACAAGTACTATAGGTCCCTTATTAACCCTCCACCATCTTTTCATAAAAATCACACATTTTTACTGCCTGCAATCTTTGATGCCAAATTCACACTCATGTTGGTGACATCAGCAAACCTGGCACTAATTGGGGCATTTTGTTCATAACCCATTCTGGTCATGGGTTATTATTTAATAACATTTCTTTAAAAGAAACTTTAAAGTTGCATTGTCAGTGATATTCCTCATTCCCTCAGGAGGATACTGCTCCCACCAATTCAGGTTTTGACACTTGGTCTTTTTTAAAGGCATGAGAATTATTTTAGCAGTTTTAGTCCAAAGTTCATAACAGATTAATAGACTTAAAATAAGTATTCAACTGAAAGAGAAGTTTACCAGTTTATTAAATTGATATTTTTTGTAATTTTAAATGTTAAACATTACAAAGCTACTTGATATTTATTAGAAAGGTGTCATGATTGCATTAGCCTAAACAGCCATGAGTCTGTTTTTCAGATTTCATACTGCATTACTTTAGTAGCATTAAGCTCTTTTCATTTGAATTCAAATGCATTGAGGCAATATACTATTAACTAAATAATTTAATATGTACTGTACATATCCTTAAAACTTTACTGAACAGGGCCTCACATTTTTTATGTAATTGCAAAATTACTCATTTGCCTCTTGAGTTCTTGTTTCTGATTTTAGTTTTGTCTGGGCTGAGATGGGAGTTTGTCTTACATCTCTTGGCACTAAATTATCCCAGTACTCCACCCAGTTTCCAGTTTTTGAAAACCAGTGATTATGTTTTTATTTCCTTTTATATCTCATGACAGGCAGTGTTCCATTTCCCTCTTTACATATTCCAGCAGTGCTAGGTAGATCAGCTCAGGAAGCAATTTTCAGAAAGTCATAAACAGCTGAGAAGGACAGGGAAAATTCCACAGGAAACTTGTGCTTCCTTCATGTCCTGTTAGGGTAAACATTTTGTTGAACATTTCCCTGAATATTATGGCTTTTTTGGGGTTTTAATGCGTTGTGTGTTAAATTGCTTATGGATATCCTTTCAATCTTTACTTCGGCTTGGGACCTTTTTACAGAGAGCCCTGCTGTTAAAGCACTCATGAAGAAACTAATGAGAAGGTAAATATACAATTTGTGATGTTTTATGAAATAAGAGGAAATTGCTAGCTGCAGAATTTCACTTGATCTTGAGCACGTGCAAGATTTTAGTTGATTTTTTTACTTGTATGAAAACAAAATCTGAAAGGAATGATTTTGACTGTTTTATTTTCTTATGAAGATTAAAAAGTGGTATACTTTCTATAAAAACGATCTGGTCCGATGCACTGTGTGTGTAATGCTTCTGTGGTTTAGAACTTGTGGTATTACGTTCTCTCTCAGACTTCTTCTAACAGTCCCCAGCGTGCTGAGTTATGGACTAAATATAGATAACAAAATGGTACAAGAGAAATTTAAATGTAAAAAAAAATATACAAAAAAATATATTGTATGCCTCCTTTATAATAACTCGAGAGACACTAAAACATGTCTTTAACTAAATGCGATAACTTACTGTACTGTAATCAGGCAGAAACATTAGTTACAAACAGAAAGTAAACTAACGCTAGTGGCATTATTTTCAAAAGGTGCAAAGTGCTGGTGATTGACACTTCAGTGTTTGAAGCTCACATTTAGTGTATGCAACATTTCAGCATGAGAACCACATGTGTAATTTTTGGAGTGAACAGCTGCTCTATATCAGAGCATATAGAAGCATGTAGCATTTTTGAAGTATTTTGAGGTACTTAAGGAAAAAATGGTTTACTTTTCTTATTTACTATAATTCGTTGTCATCTGTAGGGTTCTCAGCAAATTTACCATGATAGAATTCTGAATTTACACAGGTAAAAGTGTTGCAGTTTGTTTTGCATTTACCCTTTATGTTTTAATAATAGAAGAACTTGTTAAAATGTAAAGTTTCTCACTGTTAAATGTTAGGACTGAATTTGAAGACAACAGTCTTATTTATTTGCATTTTGTGGTTTACTGGTACATGCACCATAGAAATCTTCAGATGAAAAACAGATTTTTAACCCCCAAATGTCTTACCAACATCCGTGATCCTTAAAAAAATATTTCTAATTCCCTCCCCGAAAAAAATACATGGAAAATCGTGACATAAATTAGTGGAACAGAAAAAGAAGAAATTTAAATAGTGAACTTTCACATCCGTCTGGAGAAACAATATTAAAAATAATTGTTTTTGTTAGATTTTGATTTGTTTACCAATTCCATTGCTATTATTTTTAATTGAAAGAAGCAACTACTTAATAAATGCATTTTACAACTCTGTTCATCATTTTTGGGGCATTTTCAGTTTTAGGAAAATAAAAGCACTTCCTGCAACTTTCCTTTGGTTCTCTTTCCCTTCTGCCATTTGATTGTATATTCAAATCAGCATTCCGGATTTTAGGAGGACTGAGAAAACACACCTTAGTGTTCATCTACAGAGTGGACACTTTATTGAACTTTAAACTAAGCTGGCTCATGTCCTGTGCAGAAACATGGCCTCGGCAGAGATTTCCTGGCCTGTTCCCATGAAAGCCATTGGGGCCCAGAATCTACTGACGATGCCCGGAGGAGTCACACACTCTGGATATCTGCACAAGAAAGGAGGCACACAGATCAACCTCTTGAAATGTGAGTACTGAGTAACAGACCTTCCCCAGGTGGATTGAGCAGAGAAACTGGTCAGTGTATCTTTCTTAATGTTTCGACCCCGTGTTTAGAACTGAAATCACACTAGTCAAAAGATTTCAAAAAGACTGGGAAACCAAATGAGCATTTAAAACTGTATAATAATTTGGGGTATTGCATCTGTACATTTCACCACAACAGAAGAAAATATGAGAAAAAATACTACACCCTAAATATATTATTGATAATAAACAGCAATTATGTTTTAAATTGTAAATTGAGTTTCTATCATTTGATAAAGTTCCAGACCAGCTGTAACCTGTTTAAATCAGAGACTGACAGCAGACACATACAATGGAACAGAACAATTGGAAAAGAAATGTGAAGAGAAAAATCTGGAACGCAGAGATGTTTTAACCAGATGTTGTTTCTCAGGGCCCTTGCGCTTTGTCATCATTCACAAAGGCTGCGTTTACTACTTCAAGACCAGTACCTCTCCATCTCCACAGGGGGCCTTCTCTCTGAACGGCTACAACAGGTCAGTCTCTGTTGCATTTAGAAGGTTTATGGCAAAGCATGTTTGACATACAATCTAACACTGTTTTTTGGACTTCAAAAAGTGATTTAAGCATCACTCTTCATTCTTTAACTCATTTAATGGGGTTGCCCAAATCTTTTGATTGTGCACTCAATGGGTGTAATATTTAAGCGATACAAAACCTTTGGATGGGTCTGCTTAATTGTTAAGTCACATAGACAGGATCTGATAGTTGGTCTTTTTCACTCATTTTTAATTGCTAGACATATAATAGATAAGAGATTTGGACTCAAATAACGTCTACTGTGTAAAAAGGCAGAGATACTGCATATTCCTGATTGGACACCAAGGATTCACAAGGAATGAATTTGTAGATAGTTTGATAGTACAGTACATCTAATGATTGATTGGCAATTCCTTGTGTACAAATGTATTGATTAGAGAAATGTACAAGGCTTCAAGGATTTTCTACTCTTTTCAGAGGTCAGTTTGCTTGATGTGCAGGGCAGGACGATGAGTAAAATGTACAGATTTTGCCTGACCTGAATCTTTCCTCCTTAGTCAATCTTCGTCCAATAGCTCCCCAAAAGCTCACAGTCGTGTTCTCTTCTCCTCTGCTGCTAATGATATTTCTTAAACACAAATGAAAGCAAGATTTAGATTAAGTGTGAGGCTTAGTTCTGATAGGTTCCTGAATGTTAAGAATAACAGAACACTCAAATTGCAGACTGTGCTAGTTTGGTTAAGTTTCATTTTTAGCAGGTTTTAATAAAAATACGTAAAAGTCCCACAAAATACACTTGAAATGTTTAGTATCTCTTGCATTTCATTGAAATTTAATTTCCACTTAAAATGCTTACGTCATGTAATTCTCATGTTTTTAAAGGTGTATAAGCTTTTCAGCATACTATAGATTAAATGTGAAAATATTTTCCTGTGCCTTGGATTCAAAGTACGGTAATTGCCACAGATTGTTACTGTTTTTTTTTTATTTTATTCTGTCTATTCATGTATTGTTTTACTATTGGGAATTTGCTTTTAGTTTTTCTTAAAGAACAACTGAGAAAAAGGAAATTGATATACTTTTAAACTATGTTTATATTTCTGAAAATAGCATGTAAATTAAATAAACTTTGTGCAAAGTAGTCTTTGTTAAGTATTAAGTAACAGCAGGATTCCCTAATCCAACACCTGAAGAGTACCTGTCTATCATGTTTTATTTGTAGTCATTAAATCATCAATTTCTAAAGACATGGAATAATTAACTGTCATGAGATACTGTGAACATGTAATTTGTTTAATGAAATAATTTAGGTGATATTGGGAGCAAGACCCTTCAACACTGCTATAATAATAGTCAATAATTAATTAAGTGACAAAGGGTGTCTTAAAAGATATACTGGACAAGAATCGTAACCTGCTTGGTTATCTACTTAACAGGGACTGTTTTTCTGTACAGATGGGGTAATGTTACTCTCTTAAAAAAATTACAAGCTTGATATTTTAGTGCTTTCTTAAATATTTCCTCAATTTTCTGTGTATAATGAATTTACTAAGCAGAGCTGGAGACTTCCTTTTCTGTAAGCTAAAAAAAGAGTTGTAATGCTCTCCTCTGAAGAAACTAGGATGAGATAGAGAAAACATAGATTCAAAAACAGGCTAAACCAGAACCTTTCAAATTTCCTAGGAATATGTGATGAAGAAAAAAGAATGTATAGGGAAAAAAGATAGTAAAGTGATGAATGTATGTGTCTCGGAAAGGTTTTTAAATCATTTTTTTACTTTATTCAAAATGGGCAAGCTAAAATGAAATAAAAATCCAAGAAAATATGTATATAAGAAGCAATATAAAACGCAATGGAATTACTATCAAATTAGGCCAGAACTGGAAAAGTGAGAATGAATTTGATGTGTGGGTTATGCAAGGTGAAAAATGTGTACTGTAAGAATCTTGACCTCTCCTCCAAGGGTTTCTGTTCATGTTAGTTTTTTTACAAAAATAAGCAATGGTTCCCTGGAAATGCCCAAAATTCTTTATATGAACTTGTGCTCATCTACAAATCATTTTTGTAAGGGTGATAAGAATTAGAATGACAGATTTTGTACTTTTTTTCCAAACTGCAAAGAAGAAACAATGCATCTACTGTATGATGAAGGTCAAACAAATCTTCAGTACCATAGGCACATTAACCATCTTTTTAAATGAGCTAGCATTGTGTCAGATTTGTAAATGCTAGTATCTATGATTGAAGTAAACATTATACTGCTTTCACCGTTATATTATTAATACAATAAAAATATTTTTAAATATATCTACACTGTTCAAACTAAGGTTTGTTTCCTGAGCAGACACATTCATCATACAAAGATAGTAGTTCCTTGTCAGATCAGCACAAACATTAAAAGTATATTTTTATACACATTCTACAGAAACATGATATATGTATTTAATTTTCTGTTTTAGGTAGGCTGTATTTTCCAAAGTGCTCCTTACTTAAAACAACATTATATTTGAATATGATGAATATATTTTCAGACTCCTTTGAGGTTTATGTGTGAAGCTATGGAATTACTTTATTTCTGGATTTATGGGGATTTGAATGTGTGTATAATCACATACAGTACACTATGAAATCCATACAGAAGTACTGTATACTTCAGTCTTCCTGGCACAAAACCTTGCCTATTTCCTTTGAGAATTTTTCCTTTGCATTATTTTCTCAGAAAACACAAGCTTTTAAGGACAGCGTAACATTTTTTTTCTTCAGAAACATTTTGGAACAGATTTTGTTCTAAAATGCAATAGCATTTTAGAACAAAATCTGTAAGGCAAGAGATTTGAAAAACATTTCACTATGTTGTACAGTATGTCATAATAGTGATCTGCCATAGAACTAAATGTTGAACAAATTGCAAAAATTACAAATAATAGTAAAACACTCATTTAGCCTTGAAAATGAGATGTTTTCAAATTTTTGGGGGGAGGTTGAATACTAAAGTCAAATTAGTATTGCCTCTTACAAATAGGAGAGCGTATTATACTCTTCATCTGTAGAAAAATAAAATATATAGCAAACTCTGCTTTTCATTTTGCAAATTAAAGCTACTGTTGAAAGCATCAGCTTTTGGTACATCAAGCATACACTTAAGCAGATCAGTGCCACTCCACAGGCTTTTAAAATGTTTGAATTGGTTTCACAAGACCTTAAATACTAGGGCAGCACATATAGTATTTTTAAGCTTCTTACTTTTAGACAAAGGTCAGAGCTTCATTTACAAGAATTCACTGTGTGGTTTTAGAAGTGCCAACTATTGTACCTCTTCTGTGAGAACATATCATTCTGGTTGAACTGTTCTGAAGTTTTGCTTTTCACAAAGAAAAGTACATTTTACATTACCTTACAATATAACCTCTACAATTGTTCGTTAGCATTATAGGGTAACTGATTATTTGATTTGATTCTCATGGTATATTTCCATATTCTCGGATCATATGCCTACTTAAAATACAAGTATAAATTAATAAAGGTTAATGATAATGAAGATTCATTGTATTAATATGTCTCCATTGAGATTCTGAGTGAATGGTATTGGTGACTTGCCATTTGTGATATTATGCAACACATTATGTACTGTAAATGATATCTGTCTGATGCCTGATTGACTTAAAAGTGCCTTATTCAAGGACTAAGCATTTGTCTCTCCCTGGGATCTGAATTAACAGTCTTCTAGGTACAAGGCCCAAGCCCTAACCACTACTACACTCAGTTGCCACAGTTGAATTTGGTTGTACAGTACTTACATTCAAGTTACAACCTCTGATCTATATACAATATCTGATCTATATTTGAATCTAAAATAAAAAAAATGGCTTTACCTCTTTTCTAAATTTCAATATAATCTTCTTTTGCTTAAGGTTAATCTGATTCAATAGTTTTAATCGGTTATATTATTACACACCCTTCAGCCCTTTTTTCAGTGTTGCTGTGTTAACGTTTTGACATACTGTATTTCTCATAATGTGTTGTAAGAGTAATATTCTAAAATAAGTCATACTATTCTCATGCATTTACAGTTAGTAGACACAGCACAACACACTTCCCCAGAGCCCAAGTCAAATACAATAATGTGCTTGAAAGACATCGATAAATTAACTGTAGTATAACAGGTAAAATTAAAATAAAAGTCTTATCAGTCTTATTTCTACAAGTACAGGTCACCTTCAGGGCAAGAGGAAAAATGTGTTTTTGTTTTTGTTATAGTGCCCATTTTATTCTTACTGGCACACACTGGCTCATCTAATTAATTTACTATGGAGCGTGCAAAAATCAGGTCTCCGGTCTTTTAAAAGATTATTAATGTACTACTTTTTAATCCAGTTAATACTCGGGGTCCAAAGTCATCCTGATTAATTTTTCCCTCTTCTTCCTATTTGTCAGGGTTATGAGGGCAGCTGAGGAGACAACTTCCAGCAACGTGTTTCCTTTCAAGATCGTGCACTTCAGCAAAAAACACCGCACGTGGTACTTCTCTGCAGCCTGCGAGGAGGAGCGCAAAGTGAGAATGAAATCTCTGTACTGTACATTGTATGTTGCACTATTCGGTATTTGTATTCCAAAACTGAGTCAAATGAAAATTTGTAAGAAAACCTTTTACAAGGGGTAAACTCTCTTTTTTTTTTTTTCGTTTCACGTGCAACTAAATGTATAACTGGAATCTACATGTAATGGTTCTTTTTACCCAAAGCCTACAGTGGCCGGTAATGAACACTAATTTCAATATCTTTCATATACTGTAGCATTTTTAAGATGATTGAAAATTTGCTTAAAGAAGGTGCATCATTGAAGAAGTTGAATTTCCAAGAGCTTTTTTCAGTGGTTCTGATTGTTTTAGAGTCATATTTTTCGGTTTGAGGAACATTTATAAATCTGGTGACTGGAGAGCTTCAGAGGCAGTTTGCAGGAATGCTCTGTTGTAACTCCAGCTAGGGTTAGGGTTAGCATTTTTACACTCAGTGCTGGATTTTGGGTCCCAGGTGGATGTTAGGACAAGTAATAATTTGCTCCTATCTGGAACTTTTTTTCAGAGACTTTTGGCTGCTTTTATTGTACAGGTACCTGGCTGTGACACAATTTCATGACTTTTAAGTTAGCTAGAATGAGTCACCTAGGGCATTCAATTCAGGTACCTCTGTGCAAATTATCAATACCTGGTGTGTCCATCATCAGCTCAGATACTTGCTTAAAATGGCTTGGCACACAATGGCAAAGATGTTATGCAAGGAAAACACAGTGATGATCTTCCTATCCAATCTATGCAGTGACTACCAAATTAGCAACATTTTTTGACTAAAGTTATTAAGATCCAGACCGTCACACAGGTCTATCGATACAGCTGGCCTCTGCATTATTATTGATCCTAGATAGACAAAATGCCTTTCCATCTGGTTACAAGCACTAATGTGTTAAATGACTAAGGAATGATTGTTGATATTGGTATAATTATAGGAACAACTACAATTTGTCAGGTCATTTTAACATACCATATATATATTTAAAGCTTGCATGGCTGACCCATAACCCAGAATGACCGTTGTGCTTCTATAAAATATACAGTAGCATGAGACATCAGCCCTCCAGGAAGCAACATCTTTCACAGGAAGTATGTGACTCAGTGCATCTAATAACACAAGTTAGTAAATATAGCTCCAAAATAAAAGTACTGAAATATATTGGATGAAAATCAGCTTAAGAGGGCATGACATTTTAATCATTTCTATATCTTCATTGGGATAAAACAGACACAAAATGGTCTAGAATATTCCATTCACACATGAAATGTTCTACTTACCATAGACAGTAAACTATTACAGTTTTTTCCGCATTAAGCTTGTGACACATTAGGTTCTTTTCATGCAAACTGTAGTTTGCCAACTATACATTGTCCTGGCACAACATCTTCTGGAGATTCATCTTGCCTTGTATGAGCACGGGTCTTGGCTCATGGGAAAGCAGTCCATTTCTGGAAGGGAATCTGCACAAGGGAGACTTGAGATGAGGGCTAAATTGGATTTCTTTTTCAGGGATCAGCTGAAACAGTCTTCATGAAATTTATCTTGGGACTGGCCTATCATGGCAGATATCTAAGTGAGCTGATAATGGGCACATAATGAAAATACTGTATGTAAAAAAGTCACTCAGAAAAGGAAGATGTCTTGTTTTAGTGCATTTTTGTTACTTAGGAATAAGCCAGATGTAGAGAAAATAAATAAAATGCATTTCCAGGATACAAGATGTCCAAATATGGTATTAATCTATTTGTTCTGTTATCTTTCATGTACAGAAATGGATGTTAAGTTTGAGAAAAGAAATTGACTATTATCACGACAAAAGGGATACTCAGGCACCAAGGTAAGGATTAAACAGAAATGTATTAAATTTGTTCTTTTGCTTTTTTCTAACCGCATCTGTCTTTTTGCCGTTTCTGCAATGAAGAGCTCTGGGAATACCCAAGAGCAAATTGCAGAACTGAAAAAGTATTTTAGGTAGGTAGCCAAACTGTTTTCTGGGTACAGTGTCAGTGCTAATTCCAGCAGCAGTAAAATCAGTCATCTTAGTCTTCAATTAAAACTACAGTTGTAAAGTGTAGATTTAAGATGAATTATTTTGTATTGTATAATGCAAGGGCTACTGGGATACTATGATGTGGCTCGTTCTTTGTCATTACCTTAAAAAAAAGCAGCCATATTCAAGGCTCCTCCAACGTTGTAAATTGCATTAGGTATTTTGAATTATTAACTGAAATAGATAGGCCCTTGTACTTGACTATACAGTGTTGCAAAAAATGGTGCTGCTAAACCTCTGTGAAAAAATGTTCTTCTAATTTAAAATCGTGTCCTTTTTCGTCACCCCTTCCCCAACCTTACCGTGGACTGTTTCCTCAGAGCCATTTAGTAGATGGGGTCACTTCCTCTTCATGCAGCTAACCAGAGCTAAACATAAAGCACATTTCAAACATTAATCATAAAACAAATCACACTTCCCACTGAGAACACTAAGTTTAAAAGGGAATGTAATTCTCCAGTATAAAGTACTGTATGACTTGTCTCCATGTGAAACCATATGCTTTGTATCTGTACTTTTTAACTTTTAAAAAATCCACAATGAGAAAACTGTTTTCAAAATGTGAAATGACTTGCATAGTTATACCCAGAGTGCTGTGATCAAGAATGTCATTTTTTTAAATAGTAAATGTTATAAGGATAACCACAAGGACGCAAACACTGAGAACTCGAAAAAAGGAACCTGAGAGGCTAATTTAATTCAAAAGGCATGCAAACACACAAACTGTAGAGATGCATGACCATGATTACACCACACAAAAACACATATGCAGTTTTGATGGCTCCTTGCAGCTGAAATTCGAGTTCTCATCTGTGAGCTTCTGGGGCAGCTCATTTGGTACACGTCTTTCCTTACCAGACCAGCACCAATGCAATGCAGGGGCAAAAATGTTCTTATGTAAGCTGATGTCCGTGCAGGGTGAAATAAAAGTTTATGCAAAAAATAAGGCAAAGAAATCAAATAAAATAGAAATGGTGCAAACAGAACAACACAAATAAGACTAATGCACCAGCAGGCTGGTTCAAACCCTCACTGCATATTGCCACAGCCAAGACAGATCTGAAAATCCATCCTGCCCTGCCTGGCTGACAGCCAAACCAATTGAATATAGAGCATTTGACTTTGTATTGTACTAGCTTTTGGTATTTATTAAATCAATGTCAAATTTATCTTGAAATGAAAGAAAAAAAATGTCTTTTAAAATCAAAAAGTGCTCTGTAATGTAAATAAGAAACCCAAATCCTTTGCAGGGTATCTAACGCTTCTAAAACTTTCAAGTGAATGTGCCTCTGAACTCGCCAAAAGGTTCAAACTGAGCAAGAGAAAGTCATGCAGTTTATTTTCCATTTAAACCTAAGCTTTTGAAACTACGTTTGGTTTAACATGCTCAATTAATAATAAAATAATAAATCCAGTAAGTTAAAAAATCGCACTGACTCCTTTTGGTTTAGGAGGCAAAAAAAATTAAGTAAGATTGCTTTAATTGTAAACTTCAGAACTGAAAAGCAATTTATTTAATCACAAAAATGTTAATTTACAAAAAATGAATTCTTCATTTATTGGTCTTAAGTATCAAATCATTGAGACATCAGAAATCCCTAACCTTCCTAGTTTAACAATAATGATAATAATTCCTTGAACTTATATAGTGCTTGTCCGGACACTCCACACAAAGCAGTTTACAGTGAAAGGGGATGATGCAACTGTAGCCAATGTGCAGCAGTACATTCACCACATATCAGCTATCAGTGGGGAGGAGAATAGAGTGATGAAGCCAGTTTATTGATGGGAATTATTAGGAGGACATGATCGATAAAGGCTAGGGAGAAATTTGACCAAGACACTGGGTTGACACCCCTACTCTTTTCGAGAAAAGCCCTGGGATTTTTAAGGAATCAGGACCTCATTTTTAACTCTCATCCAAAGGTTGGTGCCTAATGGTATAGTATAATGTTCCCATCACTATACTGGGGCATTAGGACCCACACAGACTGCAGGGTTCACACTCCCAACTTGTTCCACTAGCATCTCTTCCAGCAGCAACCGTAGCCAAGAGGTCTCCCATCCAGGTACTGATCTGGCTCACACCTGCTGTGCTTCAGTGGATTGTCAGTTGTGAGTTGCTGGGTGATATAGCTGCTGGAGAACTTTTTATATACAGTATATCTGGCTTCATCTTAATCAGCTTACTTATGATGGACATAGAACAAATACTTCTTTCAAATACTCCCAGGAAGTAAAACGTATGAACTTACAAGTAATTTTCACATTTTTTTATTTTTTATAAAATTCTGAAAGATTTCAAATGTGGGCATGAAAACCTGAGAATGCTAAGATTCAATTGAAATTGTTTTCTTTATAAATTACAGTGAGGTGTTTTGGAGTCTCCCTATATTAAATATTTAGATAGCTCTTGTGGGTAAAATCAATACAATCTTTGTTAATAAATCTTTTTGTTCTCTCAGTGATTCGGAATCTGATGCCGACAGCTTTTATGGATCAATTGAACGGCCCGTGGATATAAAGTATTTCCCAAGTGCTGCTGAGGATGAAGGTAAAAATTATTTCCTAGGATATTTGTTTTACTCAAATAAAAAAAACTGTTACATACTGTCTATAAACTAATTACCAGACTTCAGCAATTTGATTCCTGTAATTTTCCTTTTTTACCCTAATTTCATTAAACCTTCAGAGTCTTTGAAACAGAGTGCCAGATTGGTTATTTTGAGAACAAATGAAGGGATGCTTTGATATCTCCATATAATCATCATCATCATCATCATCATCACTTCTTCCAATTTATCCCTGTAACCCAGAATTAAAGAAAGCAGTTATAAACAGTATTGTTACTGTATACAGTACCAATACTGTACTGTAATTTACTGTATATTACTGTATGCAGTAATAATGTTATTATTACAGCTGTTACAGTTATTACTGTATTATTTTTATAATACAAAAAAATATAACATTTAATTCTATTCTCTGGATTTTATTTTTTGAAGACTTTCTATTGTCGTCTTCTGTCTTTCGCTGTATGGATCAGGATATACAATACAGTAGATGATGTTATCCAGCACATGGTACTAATTTCTAAATGTCAGTGTCATTTGTTGCTACTGTTTAGTACCTTTTTGTCACACCACCAGTCACTAACAAAGACATAGAATCATTGATGAAAAGTGAAGAGATCAAAACAATAGTAAATTTCCCACTAATGTAGATTTTACAGTCGAAGACGATAGCGATGAGGAAGAGTATTTAATGCCTGATGGATCGCCAACTTCACAAGGTAACCACTTATTCTAAATACTTTCCTTGAGAACTACAGATATTTATTTGCCACATAAGTCTTTATGATGCTATCCTTTAAAACAGTGGCTCTTAAAGTTCTATGGTCTGTGGTCCACTTAAAACAAGTCACAGATGCATTGGACCACCTATGCCTACGTCCACTTCTTACTCTGTAAAATTCATCACCTATTAATGTACTAAAATTAATATTGAATTCAATTTCTTGAAAGTGCAAATATTTTACGTACAAAATTGCATAGTTTGCACATGTTTTCATTACTTAAAAAGTTCATGTGAAGAATGGAGCTGCTTAGACTTGCTTAAAGAAAGATGACCAGGTCAGCCCACGAACCACACTTTGAGAACCACTGCTCTAAAGTTTATTTCTATATACCAATATGTGCGAGATGTTGATGAGCTAAACTGTCAATATTTGTGTAAGTACAATATGTGGTCGCTGTAATGTATCTGCATATGAATTCTATTGAAGACACTGAAGAAAGAGTACAAAGTATTTAAAACTGTCAACCATGATGACCTAGCAGAGCTCCTCTGTTCCTAAAAAAAGATTACAGACATATCTACTAAAAACTTAAAATGTTATGGCTAATATACCAGTTATCCATCATAAGAATGCTGACTTCAACTAAATTATCAATTTTGGGGCATTATTACATATAAAAAAAAAGGCACAAGCAATGTCTCAAACAATGCTTTGAAGCTTTAAGACTTTGGCAGATAATTGAAGAATATTAGAAAGAAATTATCACATGCTACAGTCAGTCATGTAATCTCATAGACTCTCATATTTTAATCTCCTTACAGGTTTCAAAGACTTTCTACTTTCCATCACATGCCAAAAACATATTAGGTTGTGACTGAATAATTGAAAAAATCCTGAATATGTGTTGTTACTAGTTACTATATTTTGTAAAGGGTTGCTGTTTTTTTGTATAGGATATCCTTGATTTTGTATTGCCCTAAGAAAAAATAAAAATTAGATTGTTCATGTATAATGAACTAAAATTTTAAGAGAATCACCCTTTCAAATGTCAGCAGGTCAGGTCCCTTTTGTTTGACCAATGACACTGCCAGAAAATTCTAATAAATCTCAGTTGGAATAACCAGTATTAAGGATTACCTGAACAGCAAAGGCATGAATTAATTATGCCTGATAATAGTTTCTCCTAGGTGGATATGTTTTAGATGATTAATTAAAACATATTTCAAGCACATTCTGAAGTTCATTAAATTGAGTTTCCAGTGTAACATGATGTTTCAACTGAAATGTACTTCAGCAAAAAAAAAACTTTTCAAAAGTCTTCTCAAAACTTTAAAAAAGAACAAACAAGACTGGGAAATTGTGACTAATTCTATGTAAAGCCTTCTTCTATTTCACACAACATTAGTCACAACTTGACTGGTGTCACATGGAAGATCTTTTCGAATGGCTCTACTTCCCTCGTGATAAACCACCATATTATAAATTTCCCCGCAGCAGAGCTGGATGTTTTAGCCAATATCATAATATGGTAGAAATTTATTTTTGGCCTTTTTGTTCTTTATTGCTATTATTTTTATGTTCTGAATTCCTACTATTAAACAGGAAATTGAGCATGTGAAGGGAGAGTAAAGTAAAAATGTATAACTGTCTTTTATTGCATTGCGCACATAGAAATCAATAAGCAGAGACTAAGACCCCCTGCCTTTGCTCATTTTTATTATTTTATTCCAGGCAGGTCAATTGTACCTCCACCAACATATCCTCCACCCCCAGTGCCTTCCCTGAAGCCACATTTCCAGCATGAACTTCCAGTACCTTCACCCACAAGCCGTCTGACCCCTCCGCTACCTCCCGCTCACAAGAAAAATGCGCCGGAGCCAGCCTTCCACAAGAAACCCCCTCCTCCATGTCCTCCATTGAAGAAGCCTGAAGGTGATCTGGGGTCCAGGGAGATTCTAAGCAAAAAACCGCCCCCTCCTCTTCCTTTCGCTCCTCACTTGCAGAAGCCAGAGAAACCAGAGGTCCCTACCAAAAACCTGAAGTGTAGCGCAGTTGCAAAGCCTCCAGTCCCAGTTGTGATGCCTCATGAGACAAATCTTACCAGCAAACCTTCTGCCACTTTGCCTGCTTGTGGTAGCAATGACAATAAAATGGGAGGTATATCGTTTCCTGCTACGTTACCCATTTGCACTGAGCTTCAGAAAAAGCTTACTGTCATTTCTGAGAATAAGCCCTGGCTGCCAAATCACAAGAATGGAAGCAAATCTCGGGAAGTTAAGCTGCAGAGATCCCCGGAGACTCAGAGACCCGGCCTCTATAAGCCTCCTTTGGTTCCAAAACCTCCTCCTCTTTCAGCAAAGCCGAAGCCCAAACCTCCAGGACAGTCGATACAGTAAGTTCAGTGTCCACAGGTTCTGGTACACACCAATATAGTCTATCATTGAGATAAATGTTAAGAAATTCAACAGAGCTATGCACTTATACAGTATTTAACTGATTAACTAGAGAAATACAGAAAATAAGTTATTCATCTGATAATATCCAGGATATTTTCAAAACAGAATAGGGGGATTTGCAGAATAAATATATTCTCCTATACTGTTATCATAATACAGTTGATATTTACAGAGCAGACATGAATGCTTTAAAGTACTGAACAGTTAAATATTTGTATTTTGTTTTACCTTTAGGAGAGCACAGGACATTTTTCAAATTTGCTCCTCTTATTTAATTTTTTTTCTTTTATCTTTAGAAGATCATCACCAGACGGACAGAGTTTTCGTTCTCCTGTGGATGAGATCCCAGCACATCTGCGGAAAGGATCCCAAAACAAAGGGAACGACTCAGATGATGACTATGAAAATGTAAGGCTACTTTGTCCCTCCTCAACACCCCCCACCATTACCCAATGGTTAATAGAGGCGCTTGGATTACAGAGATTAGAGCATGATCTACTTAATTAATGAATTCCTATTCAATTAATGAATTTCCACTATACCATACATATTCAACAGTATTGGGATCCCTTGCAGGATTTGTAGATAGACTAATAAAACTATTGATCAAAGACATCATAGCATTATCAGTAACAGAGACAGAGACCTTCTGATAACACAAAAAGGCGCTCATGTGCATATTGTGAATCAATGCCTTCTTTGTTGCATTTTGTAATATCCACATTCTGCGTATTTGAGTACCTCAGTTGCAGATGAGATTCAAATCTAAATATTGATACTTATATTGAAAGTAGCGGAATTGTTTACACAGTGCAGACTGAATATGTAAAATTGTGAAAATGCCAATGCATATCATTGTTGCACAAATTTAGATTTTTGGGGCCTTTGTCTATATATTTCTTCATAAAAAATAATAAGAACTAACATTTCAAGAAAAGAGTTTGATAAAGATCTGTTCAGAAAAAATGAAATAGGTAAATGAAAGGTATTTCCTGAGTAACACAATATTTCACAAATTTGCACAATTAGCAGTTGACACCAACTAGTGTGTACAGTACTTAAAGATACTAGCTATGTGCTCCAGATGCAGTTTATGCTTGTTTGTGTTTCCTTTTTTGTGTTTGATTTTCGCATGATCGTTGTTCTGATGACTGTTTATTTTCCCTCCATCAGGTACAATTACCAGACTCAGTGTTCATCAACACAAAGGAAACCAGTGATGTTGAAAAGCAAGTACCCTTCAGCTACAGAGTTTCACACTGCTTGAAAACATCTTTTCGTGCTACAAAAACAGGGCTGTGCTGATGTTGACGCCCTCTGTAGAGTTAAGGAACAAAGAAAATTTACAGCTTGATTATATCACAACATTATATTTTACTGATGCACAATTCGATGTGCACTTAATTCTCTCCCTGTCTGTGTGTCTGTATGTCTCATGGAGAGCAAGCTGGGGTATGCGAAAAGACAAATTCCTAATACAAGAAATTGTATATGACCAATAAAGTGATCTGATCTTACCTGACCTGAACACTGTATGAGATGGCAAGATATTTTAGTATAAAATGAAAATCATACAACACTACACTTCACACCGCTCAGAATATATTTGTCCAAGCCTTTTTAGTAATAAAGGATTTTTAAATGTAATTCCTTCCATCGACCTTTTAGATGGTTTTCAAATACAATTTTGTACAGTGTGTGCCCTTTGTATTTGCTTAAATTATTTTAGGTGAAAATACATGTTTTGGCTTTTATTTATCAATAGTCTTATAGTTGTCCCCCTTGTATCATTGCCATCTGTAATTGCAGAATCACGATTTTACATTTTTTCTACAACACCTTACTTTGTTTGTAATACATTTGTGTTCACTCCCTATATGATTGCAGGTTATTTAAATCATCCTCCAAGTCTGGTTCTCCACAGGATGGTCTTTACTGTGTTAGGAATTCGGGAACAAAAACGTCAAAGGTAAGACTATACCACAACTTCTGCAATAACATTTATTATTTGATGACTGAACTATATGATCTGGAATATAAACCAATAAACAGAGTACAATTAGGCAGTTTTTGGTTAAAGCATGAATGATAAAAGAACATTGAGGTTTGAACTGAAAAGCTACTCATATCATATGAGACCTGTCTGAAATTCATTCAACATCCTTTGTCATAGGCTTACTAACAGAAATGGCTGAGTTCTCTTTATAAACTTTAACAATAACTAAGGTATCAGCTATATTTAAACAAACTGTTTTGTATTCAATTATAAACTGTTTCAGTAGTTTGATTTGATCATGTTCAGTGTCAAAGTTTTATAGCATTGTGATTCTGTGTGACTTGTGAATACATTTTGTAACTCTTGACTATTTTCCCTTCTAACCTAGGTCCTAGTTGTATGGGATGAAAGCTTAAATAAAGGAAGGAACTACAGAATTTTTGAGGAGGTCAGATTTTCAGTTTTCTCTGTAGTTAGAACAGCGGTTTTTAAATTTTACAAGATTGAGGGAGCACTAACAACTTTTCATGTCTCCTCTCATGACCTGGAACAACCCCCACTCTCTTTTCTGCTTGGCTTTTACTTTTTTAATTACTTCAACATATTAAAACATGAAACACAAAAAGGCTGCCGTCAGAAAGGACATTTATTTTGTATCCACTGCTAATGCATGCATGTCCAAAGCAATTTTACAAAATAAGAACATTTGTTTCCCTAATCACTAGTGCGATCTGAGCATTGCTATGCTGTGAATTTTGGCATAACACAAAGCAATGTTCCAAGATTCTGCCATTTCACTAATGACAAAACAGCTGATGGCTCACAGCAAATGTGCTTATCTTGCTTCTATATTGCTTTTGTTGGAAGCTAATAAACATTTTTGACAAATGTTTTGCTCTGAATATATAAACACCAAGTATGCACAAACCTTTTCATGCTTATCTTCCTTATATCCTTCTGTGGTTTTCCTTATGAACAGTGTAGCATAGCCTTGTAAAAACAAAGTATATTATGAGATAAAATGGGAAAGCTCCAAAGATACACTGCAAATTAATCAGAGTAATCTTCCACAGAGTTTGTCCTCTTTGCCATGAACAACATATCGTAATCAAATGATTCTTTCTTCTGTTGCAGAACTCCAGAGTCTTCCTCGAAGCAGAATTGACATTCCCTTCATTAGCAGCTTTGGTTGAGCACTACTATGTCTACCCCCTCCCTAATCACAACACACTGTGTCTTCAGAAACCATATGGCTACACTCCGCCAAGGTGATAAGACCAGCATGTTGATTCCCACCTGACCAAATCAAGTCGTGTGTTGCACAGAATCAAGAAGATGTTTTGGCAAAATTGAGAAACTATCTTCTATGTCTGGTTTTCAAAGCTAATTGATTTGGAGATCTCATCCAGCCTTTACTTGAAAGAAGCCAGTGTATCTGCTTCAATGATGAGGCTGGGTCCAAGTCACCCATGACTCTGTGTGGAAAGAAGACCATGGTGTTGATGGTGTTGTTAGTTTTGAATGGATACAAACAGCAAAAGTATTTTGCAAAGGGAAGCATCACTTGTTTTTTAACATAAAAACAAAAATTGGTTTTGAATTGTACTCCAACATGTCATATGCTTGGCCTGTCCCACGTATGTTGTCATGTATGAGATGTTAAGCACTGTTTTGCTTAAAATATTTATTAGTTGTACAGTGAGGTGCAACTAAATGTATACTGTAAAGTTATTATCAGTTAGTGAGAACAGGTGACTCATGATTGTTTTCATCAGCAGTCTCAGTGCTTGCCTTACTTATACCTTTATAGTATATGTGATGGGGTCCACAATGTTGTAAAAATCTAGTACCCACAAAGGCAATGTAAGGCAGTCTACAGAAAAACTATATTTTTATAAAATATTTTACTAATGAACTGCTACTAAGTATCTGATGTAAAACAATATTCTGAAATATATTTTAAGTTACATTTTTAAAACTAATCTCAGTTTGCTCAGGTCACCAAATTGACAGCGAAGGCTACAAAAGCTAGGGAGGAAAAAGAAAGAGCCCAAATTGTGCTCCTGAAGTGGAGTTGGTTTTAGTTGTAAGATAAAGCATGGTTGTGTATTAAATTATGGGAGACCTCATGTGAATCTTTGTAGGAGAACCCTGTAAGGGGAATTTCTAAAGTAGATTTCTGTGGCTCCACAACTTGTCATCACCCTTTGATTGGGATGTGATAACAGCAACATTCTTAAGAGTGAAAACAGAAGGATTCCTAATGTCTATCAGGCATATAGTACAGTGATGTTCTGATAAAGTAATCTCCATTCCAAAAACATTGTAGGAAACCTGAGTCAAACACACTAAGTTTGGGAAGGATATATAAAACTTTCAACCTGGAAATTTCACATTTGCATGTTTATCCTGGAACCAGTACAAAACAGGCAATTAAAAAAAATTCTAGATGACAAATTTGTTAATACAAGAAGCTATAGTTAGTATTCTTTTGCATAATTTTCTGTGTTTATTGGCTTTGAATTGATAGCATTTCAGAAAAAGATTATTGAATTATACAGATGTGAATTGGTTAAAGGAAAATTTCATTTCTTTAATTTTATTTCCAATAAGAACACAATAGTTTGACAGTAAATATTGAGTCAACTGTTCTGTAAAAATTCATAATTGTTCTTGCTCTTTACTGACTAATGAAAATGTATTTCTCTTACTACAAAACTGACATCACTCCCTACAATTTGTTGTTTTCCCCTGGGGGTCACTGTGGTGCAGTTAGGATCTGGAGCCAAATCAATGATTTGATCCAATTTAGAAAATGTTGGATCAGATACTATAAAAACGTTGTGTTGTAATGAAATATAATACCATTTTTTGCACTCAGTTTTTTTTGTTAGAATTACATTGTAAGAGTATTACTGTGTGCACAGAGGAAACCACTTCATATAAGAAACCTCAGATCTACAGTACCTGGGAATACTTCAGATTCCTGATGTCATGTTATTGTTTCGAATCCTTTATCCTGCATGTTGAAAGCAATCTACCTGCTGCGTAACTGCAAGAAAACCTTGAACACCTGGAACAAGGAGGATATGCAAGTGCAGTCACACCTACAGTAACACATTAACTAACTATTTGCTGAAAGAGAATCAATTTATTTCCCCCTTTCAGGAGAAAATTCTCGCAATTGCAGGAGTAAGGTTTGAGCAGAGGTTCCCACCTGTGCTCTGCTGACCCCTGGTGGTCCGCGAAGCTACTACTGAAGGTCCATGGAAAACATGTGATGTGTAATCAGATTTAAACTGTATTTGCTGCAGCCTGACATTCTGTCTTGAAGTAAGCGAAATGACACCAGTTCCCAGTTAAGTAGTTCACGTGTTCACGCACGAGCACCACTAGGTTATGCAGTAACTCTCTGAGATAACAGATAAGAATTTCATATAATATGAGGTGTGTGCATTACAAATGTTTGCTAAATTCAGATTATTACTGTATTGTTACATTAGATTTCCATGTATAAAAGGGTTTGAAAAACAGGTAGTAGCACTTGGTGGTCCACATCCTTAAAAATTGAAAAACGATATGCACACTTTAAAAGCCTGGGAACAACTGGCCTTGAGTGTAGGTTTTTGTACCACAGATTTATACACAAACTCAGTATTTAATTGGAGCTTTCTGTGAGATACAAACATCCTGCATCTTTCCAATGGCAAAGATGTTGGGTTTAACATCTTTGATTGTTGACATATCGGTCTGAGTTGCTACTAATCATTATTTAAGGGGCTTCCACCAGTGGGTTCAATAAGAAAACTAACAACTGGTTGACTGGCGGTTGAGTAGCAGAAGAGGATGAAAGTGACATGTTAATCAGCCCCAGGGCAGGCACTTAATACTCACTTCTGGTCCAGAAATGTCATGGTCACTTCACCTAGTCATGCCAACTTAAACAGCTTGTATGTATTATATTCACAGGTCCAAAAAAACTGTTTCTGGGTCTCTAACCATTGTGTGCTTTCAGTAACCTGTATTGGTTTCAGGTCTGTGCCACTCTCTGTTATTACTGTGTGGCATTATTTCAATTTTTTTTTGTTATAATACAAATTAAATGTTGTGGTCAGCTGAACTCTTACTGAAAATGTTAGTGACAAAAATTAACAGTTACCATTGTTCCATGACATTTTCTCTACAGCCCCTTCACACATGGACCCAAGTTACACATGCGGCTCATGAATATATTAAAGTCAAAGCGAAATGGTGTGTGTGTTTTCTGAAAACTTCTCTGGATTTTCACCAAAATGTGCTTTTCAGTTGTAAATTGTCAATTAATATTATCATTATTTATTCAATGTTGACAACTACAAAGTAATGTAAATAAAATGTTTTATTTCAATTAGTGTATCTTTTAATTATAAACAATAATATTTAAATTAATTATAATGCATAACATAAAATGTAATACAAGATTTACATACTGCTGTTTTTTTATGTCAGACCTTTAAAATATTAAAAGTATTATTGTACTAAATGAACTGATAGGCTGTTGTTTGTTATAATGTTCATGTAAATTAGATGATAAAATATACAGATTTCATTCTTGTAAGGAGATTCCATATAAAATATACAGGGTTTAAAATACAAAATTCTCCATTCAGCTTGTGAGACACAACATGAAAATGTACTGACATTTTGACCCAGGTGGAACTAAATGTTTTTAGTCAATGGACACCTAAAATGAAATTCTGGGTTTGTGTTTTGTGATTATTGGATGACATCATTTAATTCACTCTTACACTATTGTAATGATTTCCTTTAAAACCAAAGCAATTTGATTTATTGAAGGCCTTTCTCATGAAAGTGGACTTCTATTTATTTGTGGAAAAACAATAGTTAAAGCATATTTTCCATCGCTGTGACAGCGTGTTTTGTCATTTTTACTTGGCATTCCCTACAGATGCTTTCAATGAAGTTTTACTGTATGTACTCTATAAGAAAAGGTGCTGACCTGCAAAACAGTGATGAAACTGAGGATTCTACTGAAATTATTCACTCATGCTCAATGGAAACCAGAAGAATATTGTTGACTGGCTGGCTGTCACTACATGCTTATTAAAATATTGGTGCACAATTTGTTACATTAAAATGGCTTTTTAAAGATAATACAAACATACAAACTTGATTCTTTAAACCTCAGTCAGTAGCTGTAAAGTTATCTGTGCCTTAGATAATTATTCTGCCATGTTTGTTACCCTGAATTGGATGAAACTTGAATGGAGTCCATAACCAAATTATTACTGTAAAAGTTTTTTTTAAGCAACAAACAACGGTCTCTTCTGCCCTTTGAATTTTTTAAACCGCTTGTTTTGTTTTCCCAGTGAGCTTGCTCATGGTCCTGATTCTATGACAAGATAATTTGTAAACACTTTTGTCTCTGTGGTTTTATTACCACACACAGATATGAAGATCACCATTAGATGGCAGTAGTGTATAGCAGTCTAGAATTTCAATGATAACCAATTCAAAACCTCAAGATGCGCATCTCACTTTTCCCAATGGACAAAACACACTTATTCCAGATTTAATTTAGATATACTGTACAGTGGACAGTTTGCTCACACCAAAAGTAAGAACTTGAGGTATTGTACATTATAATAAGGAATTGAGTCAAACAAAAACTCAATTCACTATGTTTTGATATTACATTGTGTCTTTGGACATTGAATTTGGACTAATTAATCTCATTAGTGATGAAAGTGATATTTTCAGTCACCTGGCCATTTCCTTCTCGTGTTCAGAGCTTGTTAGCAGATCCGGGAGCTTCTGATACTAGCTGTTTTAAATCAGCTCTACCCTTAGAATTACTGAAAACATCTTTTCATTTCCCAGGAGATTTTGATTAGATTTGTTCTTTCAGATCCAGTTTAGTATTTGATAGATCCAGCAATGATCTGTAAGCCTTGTTCTGTGCCAAGCCCATTGTCATTCTAGTCTCCCTCCTCTTGTCATAATGTCACATACTGTAGCTTTGTTTGTGCTTGCGTCTATCCCATTCATTTCTTTTCTTCTTGCTATTCTGAGCATACAGCTTGTGCTTCTGTGGGCTTTATGTAGTTTCTGCATGGTTTTGTTTTTTTGCATGGGGTCCAGGCTTCACATCCATATGCTAATACAGAAACTGCGAATTGGTTGAAAACATTACTGTTAGGACACAAAGGTTGTCTATAGATTCCAAGATTTCCATAGTATGATTTCAAAAATCAAAAAAATGATTTCAGTTTTTCCAATAAAACTCAATCCTTTTTGAGATCTTTAAATTTTAGGATTTTTGATTATAGTCTTATCTCTGCACATATCGTTATATATAAAGTATTGAGCTTCTTGGTCTGTATTACCTCCTTTGGACCTAGTGTAAATTTAGAAACCTTTTATTGAATTTGTAAATTGAGTTTATATGGGTAGTACAAGGTAATTAAACAGTCAATGCATTTATGACATTCACTAATGTTAAACTGCTAAAACATCCTAAAGTTTTCTATTAAAAACATTAACATTTTCAGTTCTGCCTTGGCCCAGGTTCAGAAAGGCAAAAATCTTTCTTTTTTAGCACAAAGCAACAAAGAACAAATTTCCATGTCTGAAATTCTGAAGTACAGGAATCTCTTTCTTTTTCTTACCTTTATTTTTACTTTAGATATTACTATTTTTATTTCAGATCACAAAACCAGCAGAACACTATGGTAATGAACAAACACAGAGTGAAAATTTCAATGACTAAGATGCAGTAATGATCAACATGATAACTACAATATACAGAGATATTATAAGATAAAGATTTTAATCATATGAATTAATTAACAGTGCACACTGTGTGCCTGCTGATCTCATTGGCAAACTCTTCAAATTTCTGTATTAATTAGCATTTAACAGATTTTTGTTAAAGCCATTGCATTTGCAGAAGGAAATAGTGTATACTTGGGATTAAGAGAATGTTATTTTACAACAGCTTAATTTGATTTTGTTTGATAATTATCATGCATTATTACCCTTTAAAAGAAAGCCTGCTGTTGTGTTCATATCAAATGCAGGGTGATAAATTCCAATCTTTCCATTATGATTCCTTATCATTCCCATTACAAATACTCTCAATGATCTGAGACTTTATCTGTGGGTGTCATGGAACATTGCATGACGTTTTGTAGGAGTACAAGATGTTGTATATAACAACAAGCTACATAACATTTATTTTTACAACTCATAAAGCAAAAGGCTACTCTACTCATTCTGTATTTGTTTGGTAAGATTTGTTCTTTGATTCTGTGTTTGCTCAGCTTTGTTGAGAGTGCTTGGAGATCGATAGAGAAGATCAATGGAGCAGGATGGGAAAAAGTGAATGCAACTATTGAATTGAAAGTTTTTTTTTTCTCCTAAAATGACCAAATCACAACAGCTGCAAATTTTAGCAGCTTATCTTGTTTATGTCTTCATGTGCTGGAAGAGAAAGTGCTGATCTTCTTTATTTGAGTTGCTGATCAGTGTTGCTTCCAAGATGTCTCTACCTCTCAGAAAATGTAGTATACAGAGATCCTGTGAATAAATCTGCAACACTGCATCTCTCCTAAACAGGTGTCTTGGCGTTCCTGGATGGCTGCAAGGAAATGGTAGCTGGCAAGGTCTGGCAGGCAGCAGATTAGAAGGATGAATGTCCCACCCTTTAAAAACATTTTATGCTGTTAGATATCAAACATGGAAGCACTGAGGAAAAAACTGCATCTCTGACTATTAATCAGCATCCACAAAATGCATGAATTTTATATTTTTAGATTGTCAAAAGAGAATCCAAAATATACAAAAATATATACAATAAAATTTCCTGTACAAAACACTGGTAAAGACTACAACGAGTACATTAAAGATTAAGGTTTGTCTGTCCCCTTGTCAAACAGTACGATTAATGGGACTTGTTGCTTTCTGTACACCCGAAACTTTATTTTACACATTTTGATAAAGAAAATGGATGTTATAAGAGAGGTACTGTATAGTGTATCAAGGGTATATCTACTAATCAAGGGTAATTTTAGGTATCTCTGATTGAGACCACAATTATATCAATGACATTTGTAGAGAATCTGGAATACTCTGTGGCTTCTATGATTCTTCTATGACTAAAGTGGTTTAAAGCAGAATAATGGTAAAATTAGTAGGAAAGTCAAGTATGTTACAATGAAGGGCAGAAGGTAAAAGTGAAGATTAAGAAAAACATCATAGCAAAGCTCTTCTAGCGTCAGTCTTACCTTAGTCTTCTAAGGGATCTTCTCTATATTTACGGGATATCTAACTCACTCTGCAGAAGGAGATACTCTACATTCACACACCGTCTGACATGTAGAAATTAGGGCTAAGTAATCATTTCATCCAAATGAGAGTGATGCAACACTCCCCTCCAGCTTTGTGATTGAAATGCGCTATACTGTAGTTACCATGGGGAAGAAAGAGAACTGCTTATTAGAGGTGTGATGTGTTTGCTTCATTTTCTTGCTGGAAATGGAGTTAAGAGATTTATTTAGTTGCTGACTTCAAACACCAGTACAAATCTATATTTCATTCATATTTTCCAATAGAGTGACAGCTAAATATGCCAAGGAAATAAACCCCTTCGGGGACTGTCTTTTAGACAAAAATGTATTTTATTTTGTATTACGAACTAGATTTTTGAAGAAGTGCCTTGTGTGGTTATATAGCCATGTATGGTCTATATCTCTTGAAAGTGGGGAAAGAGTACAGAATGTTAGTATCCTGTTAAGAGTGCAGCTTACATATTTAATCTTATTTAAACAAAACAAAGACAACTAAAGTGTATTACATCTCAAACATAATACTTGAACTCTGCTTTTCTATTATTTGACATCTGTCACCTTAAAACATGCTTAACTGTAGATTTTGGCTCACAATAAGACAATTGACATTTACATTCAATAGCAGATTCACAAACTGGAAAGGAGGTCTGGGTGGAAGCTGAACTGATATGTTATTTTCCAATATCTAGCTCTCCAGGCTCACCCAGTAGAGACTAGCTCAAAGCTGAAAGTTGGACACAAGCAAATAAGGACATAAGAAGGTAAAGTGGGCACTCTAAATAAATAAGAATTGAAGGTAATACTTCACTTTATTAGTTACCAGGGTAGCATGTTGAAAGGATAAGTTAGGATGCATAATTTGCACACTTGTTCCTTGGGTTCAACAAATCTAGGTCAAAAACAGCCTCAAGGAATGTTACTTCCATTCATAGCATTAAAGCACTATCAGGCAAATTCCTCTGAATCCCCTCCTATCCCCTTTCAATAGAACTTAAATTAAAACAAGAATGTTAATTGGATAATGTATTCAGTTTTGGTCTGGTAATGGTAAACAGTATTTGCACCTTGTACTGTAGGTAATTGAATAGAATTAATTTTAATCATGAATGTTGTCACAGAATTATAATAATAATTATAATAGATTCTAGGCATTTTGTATACAAATGTGAACTTTCTTACTGTATTATGGATCACAGTTCTAATAAAATTATATTCTGTACATTCTTATACATATGTAAAATATTTTATGATGTCCATGCCTTTTGTCAGTTTGGTTTCCAGCACTGATATTCTGCCTCCTAAAGTGGTTGTTTATACAGTAGGTAGAATGAAAAAGGGTTTAAAAAAAGATGTTCCATAATTCATTTTAAATTTACTTAAAATATTTTCATGTGTTTTATCATAACAATGTAGATACAGACTTCACAATTTATAACTCGGTTATGTAGTCCCAGTTTGCCCCGGAAGACACAGGACTGAAGTGGTCATTCATCTCTGTCTTTCTGTTGGAGAGGACAGGGCATGGAATGTCACAGCCCTTTTTCTCTGAAATGAGACAGTCTGCATAGCTTCACCTCATGCTAAGAACTACTGTACAGCAAGTCCACATAAATGAACTAACAGACACTGAACAAAGTGAGACACACGAAACTAAAAGGAAATAAAGATCTTTAGGCAGCAGGAAAAACAGTTAAAAAGCCAGACATAACAAGTGGGTTACTGGGTAAAACAGAAATGCAGACTAAAGCATGGGAAGGTTTAACAGTCTGCTGGGCTTTTTTCTAAATCAAACAAATTTCCCTTTTTTCACAAAAACCTTTTTGTTGCATGAAATTAAGCAACAATAAGGGAAACTTCTTCTTATAAATTCACTTCCAACTATTATTGTCAAAATACATCAGATATTTTAATATATAAAAGTAAAAGGCTTGTGTTAGATGTTATACCATTACATCTTTTATAAAGATTATTTTATTGGCGATTCATTAAGACATTCATAACAGTTAACAGTCACTTAAAGTATTGCTCAAAACTAAGAGATGAAAAACTTTATCACAGAAATATTCTTTAATTACTATCCAGAATTTATATTATACACACCCTTTTAAATGTCTTTTAGAATCCCTCAGAGGTTATACACTTTTACATGGAAGTGAATTCTCTTAAAATATTGCAGGGGACCTTTACACATTCAGTACCTAAGCCACATTTACATTTTTTTTTACTTATTGGAAAATGCCAGCATGCAGAAAGCTTGCATTTCTTTAAACATTTGAATAACATTAAAATAGATGCATGTATTTCACGTTAGATTCGGTCATTAGCACAAAAAAAGCTTATCACATCGAATAATTTTCTTAATTTTTGATCAGGATTTTTTTTGCATAGTAAAAAATACTGAATTATAACCTCGGCAAAATAGCTCATAATACATAAAATGTTTAAATAAAAAAGAAATAAACTTGTAAAGAAACCTCTTTGAAAGGTATCAAGAAAATACTTAAAACATATACGTCGATCCTAAGCGGTTCTGTACCATTTTACAGACTTTCTGAGTTTTTGTGCAGCTGACGTAATTGTGCCTTCAGGTAATACAAAATTATTGGAAATCAAGAGGGAGGGGGAAAGTTAGTGTCGACACCAATTGAACCTTTTATGCTGTTTGCACTGCAGGAGCGATCCAGAGTAAATGGAAGACGAGGGGAAGACAAGTTAATAGTAAACCCTTTGGTAAACGCATTTTGCTAGCAAGACTAATCTTTGCTTTACTTTGCAAACAGCTCTGGAAGACTGCACGCCAGACTCCCTATTCGATGGCCATCTATTACTATTACTGTAAGATATTGGTGAAAGGATCTGGTAACGACTTTTGATAAATACATATTCTAATGTCCCTCAAAAAACTAGTTGCATAATATAAAAAAACCCGTAATGCAGGTTATCCAGGATTTAACTTCTGTTCGTGACTAATTTAATTGCAATTACACGTACTTTTAACTTCAGTTTGGATGAGGGTTGTTCATTTTAACTTTCCAGTTGAAGCAGATTTCTGCAGAATCGTTGAATGAATAACTATATTGATCGATGGTTAAAACTATTTTACTGCCTGCATATGGGGATTTCAATATTTTCTGTATTATTCCAAATAAAATTCCACACTTTCTATTTATAGAAATATCTATTTGAATAAATTGAACCTTTTAGTTACAATTTAATAGAAACCAGAGGTATATGAACAGAGGAAATTCCCGTGTAAATACAATTTTTACCTTAGCGAATACAGTAAATTGGCGTGTAAATCCTTATATTCTTTTTCAATAACACTGCTAGTCCTATTAGCTAAAAGTGTTGATAAGCGGGATACAAAGGTGATTGCGAAAGTTCGCTTCAGAAACAAGGTACAGGCTTGATTTCTAGGCAAGGGAAGGGTTAAATATGTGTAAATGACATGTTGGAAGAGAAAAAAAAACCCTTGACTCGACTGGCGCGGTTATTTGCAGCAGGTTCACGCTATCAGTAAATTAGGACATGGATTGCAGCTGTGCTATTACCAGTTTGCGAAAAGGCAGAGACTAAAAATCGTGCGGGCTGAAAAGGGGGTGATACAAGAGAGACGAAAGGGTTTTTGCCGTTTGTCCCGCACAGGCTTATTTGTATTACAGTATCGGCGCAGAAAGAGGAGGCCAGTGCACACCACATAAAGCTATACCACGAAATGGTAACGTCTATTCTGGGTTTTCTAATCCTGGCAATATGTCTACAGCAGTGCGGTTATGTTAAGGGTGAGTACAGTAACGCGAAGTCTGTCGTGTCTGGAATCTAGCTGGTCCTGTATTGTGTAAATAGCGAGAATTATTTCACAAGAGCTTTACTGCGTGTTCGAGAAATCGGCTCTTTTATTCTCTCGTGCTGTGCTTCTGCGCTCAATATGGTCCAAGACAAGGCGGCTATCTTTTTAAATGTAGCTGTTGCGAGGTGTTGCTAATTGTTTGAATTTTACGGGCCTGTGCTGTATAAAAGAGCCCATATTTAAAATGAATATTAACATTCTTTAAAACGAGTGTAGGTGTCATGGAGAAAAGATGCGGTTATTAGGGGTCGAGATAAATTGGCTTTTAATCTGGATTGATACAATCTGTACTGTGTGTGTATGTACTGTATGTAAGGTGGCCTATACACTGAGAACGTGCATTTCTACAGACTGTTAATGAAACCCTTAATAGGATGATCTTAAATCATCATTTATATTAAATTGATTTATGATTGTATGATGTATCTATACATGCTCGTAGGATGTTTATTGGTAATAAAACACTCTTGCACTAGTTTAAATATGAGATTCCATCACAACGAAGTAGCGAAAACCTTGATTACCCGTTGACTGAAAAGAAAGCAAAGGCAGCGTTTTAAACTGGGCCAGCCCCTACAGGTTTAACACAATGTTCTTTTATAAAGTGCAGATATCTAGGAAGTAATTTGCCGGTGTAATATAGCATCTGTCCCCCGGCCTCAAAACAGTGCTTATAAAAGAGTGAAGTGGTAGCATTTTCAACGGCTTTACTTTTGTTTATTGTGGATTGCAATACTCCAAGCTGTCATTGATTGCAGCTACTTTATCACATGTAGGGTTTAATGTAGTTGCAGCAAGACATGACTTATTACATGCAAGCATTTGATCAATTTTGACTGGGAAGCTTTCCCACGATAATTCTGCTCTATTGGAAAGCTGAATTTATTTCGGAGCCTGTAGCTAGAACATTGAATGGTGCTGGAGAGGACGCGAGTCTACTTGCATGCTCCGCGTAGGCGGGGAAAGTAGAGAACCGTAGCACGCCGGAGAAAACTGGTCACTTGTCTGAGATAGAAACCTTTTTCACAACGAGGCTGCGCCGCACAGACTCAGCCCACCAGACGACCTAGGGATTTCACACCGGTTACCTGCAGATAGACAAGCTCGCAAAGCAGGACTAATGAACCCAGAGAAGAAGTGTTTATGTAACACTTGTAGGATGTTTTGTCTGAAGAAAGGTTGACGCAATTCTTAACCTTTTCTACCTTGGGAACACCCTTTCGAGCGGTTATTGTTGGAATACTCCCAGTTAAAATGTAAATGAGGAAAAACGTGGGGTGTTTTAGGTGCAAGTCAAAACCACTGCTGTATGATAACTTGTCAACAATAAGCTTTGTCAATGCGAAACACTTAATCTCCCGAGACGTTTTAATTCTCATGTTGGATCTTTGGAGTCGTACTTATTCTTTTTTGCACCTCCCTGGATAGTCTTGGATGGCAGCTGTTACTGTGGTATACGTTTCCGAAGTGTCCAGAGATTAACTGTCTCGTGTTAAAATGCATAATTACAGGGTAGTCTGTAGCCATCAAAATAATAATGGCTTCTCACAACTTCACACTAGGACAATAGTGGAGGCGGTTCTATTACCTCCTATTACATTAATTGGGCTAAGGCCCTTTGACCCAATTATAATGTTAACTAGGCTCTTGACAATGTGGGACCAAGGGACAGCAGGGAAATGACCTTAGAATGTAAAGAACACGAGTTTAATATGGTGTGAACGTTAAATGTAAGGGTGGGGAAGGTCAATATGAAGTATCCATTTATCTGAATTTGTAATTACTCTTAAACTGTACAGCTTGACTTGTGGTACTAATGCCAGCATTAGGGTAGTGTTGGAACACTTTGTACACTAAAAATGACTTGGTAAAATTAAAAACTGCACAAGTGATCACTTTAATGAGTGCAAGATGTTTCTTGATACGTCATCAGTACCTCTATTGAAAGCATTTTAGTCTGTGATTGACAGCCTCATTTTGCATGTCTCTGTGAAAGGTCTGTGTGGCATGGCTTTCCATGGAAAATACTAGCTAAATGGCTTAATTCCTAGTTTAGTAGCATGTATGGGGGAGTTTTGGTGCAGGTTCATAATGAGGTTAAATGTATTGCACAAAGGGTTTTAATTGTCATTATTTGCATGCTAATCCATATAACTACTCCTCCAAATCGCAATGGATAGTGGGAATCCTATTTTTGGATGTGCAAGTTGGCTGTTGTACAGTACCTATTTTCTGCTTTCTCTGTGCTACAGTACAGTATGTCCTCCAGCTCCCACCACTTCCCTCTGCTACAGTGTGAGGTCTAGGGTAGCATCTGAGCCAAGTAGAACACTATTGTATAGTTTGTTGGCAGAAATACTGGATTTTAACCTTACAGATCTGGAGTTGGGGGGGTCCCTTGGCTTCACTGACTATAACTGACTCCTACTGTAAGAGTCACTTACTGTATGCCCTTTCTTGAGAAAGGAATATGCAGAATTTATTGATTAATAACTTCCTAATGCTTCAATAAGATGCTATGTTCTAGAGGTCTTATAAGAGATGTCAGTACTGAGGTTTTAAATTGAACTGTTTTAATGGTAGCTTTTTAGTGTGTTTTAATTTAATGTTCAGCTACTTTACCTGCTGTATCAAACATTCATGATACAATTGTTAGGAATATGTTTTCTTTAAATGTGATTCCAATGTCCCCTTTGTATCCAATTTGTTTCAGTAGGAAAAATGGGCATTGTTTGACTTTGTATGCTGGGCTCTTTTGCCTGCTGGTTGTCATGTGAGGTTTCAGTCTGACCCTGTTTTGACTGAACAAAACCTAATTGTTTCCTTCATTGTACTTTGTGATAATTAATCTGAGCTGTACTTGTATGCTTAGATTTTGGTTGTAGTAAATATAACCTCCCTTGCTCTAGGTTGGTAGGTGTAAAACTGTAAAGGACTGGATTCCTTTTAAGTTTTAACCTGTTCATGCCTGTGCTGTGCCATAGGAATAGGATCTTCAAGTTTCCTAGTTGCTGTGTGCATTTTAAATGCATTAACAATCTGCCTCCTGACAGATGGTTTCCTTGTAAATATGTAACTTCCAAATCAATTCTCAACACCACATTCAGTTTTCCAGGTTACTCTGTCCAATGTGAAAGCTAGCTAATTATATTGATGCCAATTTGCCATTAACTATTGCTTTCCCCTGGTTGCTTTTTAAGGTCCATTTTGTAATTTGTTGTATTGATTAGGAGGTAAGGCCAGTGCACTTGTTGAAAGTAGTAGTGCTTCTGTCTTTGTGCAATGTTGATATTTAGGTAGCTCTTTTCTCCACTGGACCTGAATTTCCAAACAAATTTAGTATATGCTGTAGGTGGTCCTGCCAGTTGTCAGGATTTTGATTTAATTGCTTGGTAGTTAAAGATCTAATGCCTCATTCCAAGATGCTTGTACCCTGTGGCCTACCTAAAGTTTCCTCTTTTATTTGGGTTTGGTGAACTATTTTTAACTTCCCTACCTCATCTTTGTAGTGAGGCTGCTGGTATGTAATGATGCTGTGTGGCATTTTGGGATTAATATTTCTGGCTCTTATAGTGGATATCCAGAGATAGAAGAGATTAATCTCTTCACTTGGAATGTTCTAGGGTGTTAGAAATGGATGACCCATGATCAAATGCTGCCAGATTTTGTAAAGTACCGTGAGATACTGAAGCAAGATGAGGCTGTCTGAGATTGTTGCAGGTGGTAGTAAAATCCTTTTCAACCAGGTTTTCCTATATGGTCCAGGTTTTAAGTGAAAATGCTTTAAAGACTAAACACTGCCTAAAAGCCTTTCTTTTTTTTTTTCTTAGGATCAAGAACAGAATGTGAGGCCTCACAGTTCCAATGTGGAAATGGACGCTGTATCCCATCTGTATGGAAATGTGATGGAGATGAAGACTGTGCTGATGCAAGTGATGAGAATACCTGTGGTGAGAGCTTGTGTTAACCAGGCTTATGCTTTGAATGATCTCCAAGTATATTTGGGAGGCGTGAACTGATGGGGAAATCCATCTAGTGGTACTGCATAACATACTGTAACACTCATATGTACTATGGAGTTCAACAGATTCTGTTGTAGATGCACAGGAGAAACATCTAGGGGTGTCTCCAGTTGAAGGCCTAGTTGCTTGGGGCTAGGAAGCTGTAATGAAAGGCTTGATTTAATGGTGCAATTCTCATGTCCCACCAAATCTAGTCATACTCAACTTTCATAATCGTGTAAATATATTATGCAACTTAAATTTATTAAACAATTTTTGAGCAGTTCTATTGCTCCAAGCCTTTACGTAGGTAAACGTCCTGTGTCCTTCATCAGTCTGTCATTTCTAATATTTGAAATCATAGTACAGCATGACAAATGTATCCCCCACTTTGTTTTGGGACAAACTGAATTAGTAATACAATTTTAATGTGAATAAGTACCTGGTTTAAGGTAGCTGTACTTGTGCTCTCCTTACTTTCCCTTGTAGAGAAGGGTCTCAAACTCAATTTGTGGAGGACCTGTCTTCTGGATTTTGTTATAACCTGAGGATTGAATTAAGCAGCCTAATTTAGTTAGGATGTACAGTTGTGCAGCAGATTAAGTACACGTCAATAGATTCACTGATGTATAAAAGGTCAGAGCTTGATTAACACATTTTATTTGTACATCTGCAGCACTAGAGAGGAGATAATTCCTGGAGGTCCCAGTATCTGGCTTAGGACCTGTGGTTTAATAAGTACATTTCCCCCCCCCCCCCCCCATTGTTATTGTTTCTTGAAGTGGGAATGTCTTTTAAGGCTTTGTATAAGCAGAGTAGCACAAATACACCAAGCAAATGTTAAATACCACGCACACTTGGAAACAACAGCTGTTGACTCAAAGCATACATTTCCCCATGCATGCTGCCTGGGGCTGATGGTTTATCCTTCCCTTTGCTTTTTCCAAGACGGTAATGTGATTACTGCTTATTTGCATGCAACTGGCAATCCCAGTCTGAGGGAAGGATCCCCATACTTGGTGTACGTTTTCTGAAAATCGCACAAAATGGATTTGAGTGTTCGGTTATCTGAAGACTGAGTTGTTTCTGATCTTCTGGTATAGGGTTCAGTATGAGCTCCCGGTGAGTTTAAAAAAAAAAAAAAAAGGTGGGTGTGAAAAAGCTACTTAAGAACTGTGGCCTTTTAGCAGTAACTTGAGGAACCAGTTCTCATCTGTATAAGGAGGACAGTCTTCTGGAAGGCTGTGTATTGACTTGTCACCTGATGGTCCAGTGATTGGGGGTGGGGGGAAATAATGTTGGATTAATCGCTAAACCTCATGCAAGATTGGAGTGGGGGCAGGCTCCAGAAGTTAAGAGCCTTTAGAGTTATGCATACGTTCTTGGAACATTGTATACGGTCCTGAATAGCCTGTTTTGGGGGGGAAACAAAACAATTTACCATATTATGGGCTGAACTGTGCCCAAAGAACTACTGTTATAGTGAATGTCAATATGAAGAGCCAATTCATAACCTGACTAGCTTCTTATAACTTCATGATAGGATTAATAAATGCAGGTAATAAAGCTGAGCTAGTGTAATAAAGACCAGTGTTAAGAACCGATTGTCTTTGCAAATAACCTGGAATTTTGATTGCCATGTGGAAGATTCTATACTTGGAATAGTCAGGTGGTATCTCTATGCTGATAGTGGAGAAGTAATGAAAGCTCTCTCAGGGCTCTTCTGGGACAGGTTTTTCCCATATTTTTATGCTATCTGGGTCATAGGATGAGTCTGTGAAAAGTGCAGAATGGTTAGAGGAGAAAAGACATTTTATAGCAGTTAAAGCCTAATGCACAGAACTGGGCCAGGCAGACGAGCAGGGGAAAGGTATAGTCACTACAGTTAGCCAAGCATGGGAAAACTGAACTGTATTGAATGCTGGCAACAGGATAGCTTAATGTGATCTCTTTGAAGTCCTTCAATAAGATTGAACAGCTTTGGTTATTCAGGCACAGAGGAAATAACGCTTCATGATGAGGGGACTTGAAAAAAGAAATATTTGGATTCTTTAATGGCTGTTTGTTCTTCAGAAAACAATATGCTATACTTATTTAAATGGGTTTAGCACTGGCAATTCTATTTTTTTTTTTAAATGGTAAAAACCTTAAAGCTACAGACTGTCCTTATAAAGTACAAGGCTGGAATGTAGTACTATTTGGTATGTGTGTGGGTGAAGGGCTTCCCTTAAAATTAGATGTTTCCATGCCTCTTGGAGAATTTTAAAGAGGTCAGGAGGAATGAAATGTGCAGCTCAGGTGATGTGATATGACAGGCAGTATCAGTGCTTCACTGGCTGTGTACAGCAATCTCCTGGTGCAGGCATCATTAATATAGGCCTGTCAGTACGATGTGAGATCACAGCAGCTCTGCTGCTGTTGAGAGCTTTGAGTTCCAATTGGACAGCTCTGCTTCCTGTGCTCATGTTTGCATCAAAGGGTTAATATTGGAGCATGCGTTATCTTGTATTTTTGTAGTTTTTTTGATACCCTTACGTACTTCTAAAATATGGCTGGCTTTTCATTGAACTGTGTTCTCTAGAATCAGTTTTGTAGTAATGCTTAAACTAGCGATCTATTGTGGGTTTTACTGCTAGTGCTGCATTGACCACATATGAGCACCTGTCACAGAAGCAGTGGAATATTGCAGATATTCTGTGGCAGCTCTGCATGTATGAACACAGTGAAAGGGCAGAGTGCCAGCATTCTAAAATTGGAGTTGTAGACGTGCCCATGATGGCCTGCAACAGGTTTGTCTCTGAAAATGCTGTGCGAATCCCTGTTCTAAAAAATGAAAGCCCTAATCCATTGTGTCCCTTCTTGTAGTGAGGAAGACCTGTGCAGAGGTGGATTTTGTGTGCAAAAATGGCCAATGTGTCCCCAAAAGGTGGCAGTGTGATGGGGAGCCAGACTGCGAAGATGGATCTGATGAGAGCTTAGACATCTGTCGTAAGTTTTTCACCTCAAATATTATAAAAGCTATAGTATTTGTTTAAGAGAAACTTGCAAGGACTTGTTAAGCAAAAATACTGTATTTGTAAATAACCTGTATTCTATTGGGGGTTTTTCTATAAAATGCCATCTTATGGAACATACGAAGTTCTTCCTTGTCAAACCAGAAAAGTTTGCATTGTCTTGCTTTTCCCTCCCTCTCTTGCCTGTATAGATACTATTCTGATTTTATACTTGCTTTGTACTGAACGTGGATTGGCATCTTGGTACCCTGGAAGTGTTCTGATTTAATAGGATGCCACTGGAATTGCATGAAGTCTAACTCTTAAATGTCATAAATTGGGAGGGGGATTAGGAGATTCTTTGAACTGGACAACATGGTTTCTAACTTGCATTCTAACTAGTGGGTTAAAAATCCCAGTTTTAAGAATTATTGTCGCAAGTTCATATGTGTTATAATGGGGAAAATATCTTGCTTATTTTTGTAGATATGCGGACTTGCCGAGTCAATGAATTTAGCTGTGGCGCTGGATCAACACAGTGCATCCCGGTGACTTGGAAGTGCGATGGAGAAAAAGACTGTGACAATGGGGATGATGAAATTAACTGTGGTCAGTGGTCTTGGTGTTGAATATCTGCGTTTTGTGGCTATGCCAAATGGTGGGCCACTAAATGAGTAAAAGAATTCAAGGCTGTGTAAAGGTTCATGTACGAGTGCCTATATTTAGACAGTTGTAGCAGGAGGTACTGTGTGTATTTATAAAGGTCAATGTGGAGAGGCACGTTTCCTTAGGGGAAGGAGACTGCTGCCTTTTCACATTCACTTTGGCTGTTGTTTCCGTTTGCTCCTCTTGGAGTTTCCATTAAAAAGTGAAGATGAAGCATGCTGTACATGTCCAAACCATTGCTCTGCCCTTCTCATGCTTCCCTTTTTAGATTTCTCCCAGATATCTTGTCATTCCCTTTGCTTAAAATCTCTTGAATGCTGGTTTTCCTAATGTGATTATCAACATAATTCAAATGTAAATAAAGGAGTTATTCAGAAGCTGTATGGTTAGGATTTAATGTTTGAAAGCTTATTCATTCCTAATGTATGCTACAGTGGACCTACATGCTGGGAAAGCAGCTGCAGGCTGTCACCCTGAATTAATTTAATAGCCTCCTAAGACATAACCAGCAGATCTCCGATATGTTCAGCATGCAAATGATCTGCTGAGGGACTGTCAAACCTCCAGCTATGGCCGTGTCAACCGGAAGCCTTTTTCCTTTCTGCAGGCAACATTACTTGTGCCCCTCTGGAGTTCACGTGCGCCAGCGGTCGCTGCATCTCTCGCAACTTCGTCTGCAATGGGGAAGACGACTGCGGGGACAACAGCGACGAGGTGGGCTGCGCGCCCTCCTCCTGTGGCCCCAGCGAGTTCCAGTGCGGCAACGCCTCCTGCATCCCCACCAGCTGGGTGTGTGACGAGGACGTGGACTGTCAGGACCAGTCGGACGAGTCTCCGGAGCGCTGTGGCCGCCAGCCCACCCCTCCGGCCAAGTGCCCCAGCAGCGAGGTGCAGTGTGGCTCGGGGGAGTGCATTCACCGCAAGTGGCGCTGCGATGGCGACCCTGACTGCAAGGATGGGAGCGATGAGGCCAACTGTCGTGAGTAGATCCGCCGTTTCAATTACTACCAACAGTCATTGCTAACTAAAATTCTTGCAGTGCTGTTTAAAGTGCTAACTGAGGAAAAAGCTCTGTAAAACCACCTCCCCACTTTTTCAGGTGTATACAGGGTATATTCTGGTACTCAAGGCTGCATGGGGCTATACTGGTTATATGTAACAGATACCATTGAGTTCATGACTTAAATTCTGATCATGCTTTGGAAACGTAACATGTAAGGTTAATGCACCGGTACATCTGTTTTTAGCTGTTCGAACCTGCCGCCCAGACCAGTTCAAGTGTGACGATGGAAACTGCATCCATGGGAGCCGGCAGTGTAATGGCATTCGGGACTGTGGCGATGGCAGTGATGAAGTCAACTGTAAAAACAGTGAGTAAATACTTCTTATGAAACATTTAAAGTGAAGCCAGCAGAATGATTTTGTCAAATGAAAACTTGAAACTGAACATGGAGCAGGTTGACCTGCCATGTTTTGCTTAATGTTTATCTGCCGTGATGCGAGTCACCTGCAGTCTTAATAGCAACGTGTGGTGATGGAAGTGTACAACTTCTAAAAATGGAAGTGTCCGTTGGACAATTGGATGTTTTAAAATGAATGCTTGTTGGGCGTTGGTGTGCATTATGACTTCTAATGAGCACATTCATCTCGGCAGAAATTTTTATTTTTTTCTGCAGTGTAGTTAAGCTTGTTTTATGAACATCACACTAAGATCTGTGCCCCTGCTTGACCTTGTATCTATAGATGTAGAGTACAAATTCTTTAATATCCGCAAGTGTAAATCCTGACCATTACCATGAATATATTTCATATTGTTCATTTGCATAACTCTATACTATTTTTATGAAGCACAGTATATTTAGTTGACTTTTTACATTTCTCTTCCCTAGTGACCCAGTGTACCGGTCCTGATAAATTTAAGTGCAGGAGTGGAGAATGTATTGAAATGAACAAAGTCTGTAACAAGAACAGGGACTGCCCAGACTGGAGTGACGAACCTTTGAAAGAATGCAGTACGTAAACAGGAGATTTTTATGGGCTCTTTATTATGGTTCTTAGACCACATTTTCTCTGTGCAAAGGCAGGAATGCATAATAAGGTGTAATATAAATTCAGTGCATGAGCTCTTACAAACTGAATACGTTGCAAAATGAAATTCCATTGCAGTGAAACATTTAACCATTGCTTACCAAGGACAATTCCAATTGCTATTCATCAAAACTGTGTAATTGGAGTTCCTTTAGCTATTATTCTTACCTCCAATTTAATGTCTTGATCCGGGATCCTGTTAAGCTGTTCATTTGAGTAATGGATAATCAGATCTAAGGTACAGAACTTAATGTAAAAGTAGATGACAATTGCAGAGAACTAATGCAGATCAAAGAATTCCCTCTACACATGCATGAACATACCTGTTGGTATGAATGATGCTCTCTATGGCATCATCAGTAGTCTTCTGTCAGGTCTATACAGGATTTAATAAAAATACTGCTGAATCTACTTCCACTTCTAATGCTCTCTGAACCAAAGAAATGGGAGAAAATTGTCACCTATTTTAATTAATTATTGTTTACACTTATATAGTGCTTTTTCTGGACACTCAAAGTGCTTTACAGGTAATGGGGACTCCCTGCCACCACCACTAATGTGCAGCATCCACCTGGATGATGCGACGGCAGCCATAGTGCACATAGAGAGCAGAGTAATGTAGCCAATTCATAGAGGGGGATTATTAGGAGGGCATGATTGGTAAGGGCCAATGGGAAATCTGGCCAGGACGCCGGGGTTACACCCCTACTCTTTTTGAGAAACGCCCTGGGATTTTAAATGACAACAGAGAGTCAGGACCTTTGTTTTGTCTCATCTGAAGGACAGAATTTTTTGTCCTGAAATTTCAAATGCTGTTGCCAGTGCAGTTTAAAAACCATTGCACAGATGGTATAGATGAACATGATCAGTTTTTCAACTAGTTTCTTTGGACTGGTCTGATCTGAAAGTGATATCTACTTTTAAATGAAACTGGTGTCAGCCAGAATCTATTGCTCGAGTGAGGCATTATTCTCCTTTTCCTGTGTTAATTGAAATCATGATGTGCAATCCACAAACTGAAAGCGGACAACTTTAACTTGTCTTAAATGCCAAGCATTGAGTACCTCATGTTGCTTGAATTTAACTTAAGAACAGTATTATTGCAAGAACACTATTCATTTGAGAAACCTGATCATGGTGTAAAATAACTTAGCCTATTGGTTTATGAAGTTGTAACTATGTAATTCTGTGTGCTTTTCTTCAATGGGAAACTGTCAATGCTTTGACATTTGGCTAATTTAATTCAAAAGAGCTGCTTTTGCAGTACAACTTTAAAATTTAGGGAAACTTTCTGGGGAAGTCAGATGGGCATTCAAATTCCTGTCTTCTGGGTTCTTTCAGATTTGAATGAATGCTTATTAAACAATGGTGGCTGCTCCCACATCTGCAGAGACCTAGTTATTGGTTATGAATGTGACTGTACTCCTGGGCTGCAACTTATTGACCGTAAAACCTGTGGAGGCAAGTTTTTCATTTACTACTAATTATCAATTTCTCTGTGCCTAATGGTCTAAAACATGCAAATGTAACATGAAGGACGTCTTGGAAGGGTATTTTTTTTTAAGTAAATGTCATTTACCAGTTATGCTTTAATGTTAAGTTTGAGGAGTGCAGTAATGAGGACCTGGCATTATATGAAGGTTTGAAATTTTCATACAGCATGTATCTTTAAATTTGAACATTCTCTTACATGTTGAATTTTATTTTAAACAATTAGCTTAAAAGCAACAACTCTTCTAGTAGTATCTCTGGTTAATCCAGGATTGATTAGCAGTTGCACAGGTCTGTTGGAGTAAAATGTGCAGAGAAGCCAAGTTAATAATTTTAAACATCTTGCTTTGGTACCATTTGTTGTGTAGTGTGTAAACTGAAAATTTAAAGAATTCCCCATTCCTTGTTTTGGAAGTAGTGAGGTATCGGAATGCCAGGTTTGTTGGGGATTTGTGATTTATAATACTGGGTGGGAAGTTGGTGTTGTATCCTTGAACAAGGGACTTGGCTCAAATTGCTCCATAAATGTCTTGCTTTATAAAGGCATACTCTCCAAATGTTCATGGTAAATGACAGTAAACTTATCCAGCTAAAGAACTGAGAATTGCCCCTTAAATTTGATAAGCAAAGCTTTTGAAACTTGGAGTGACCTGTTTGGAGAGGACTGGGGGAGGGGGTGAATGAGCGCATTTTTCTTTCATCAAATGTTTCTGATATGCATCTTCCCAGATATTGATGAATGCCAGAATCCTGGCATCTGCAGTCAGATATGCATCAACTTAAAAGGAGGATACAAGTGTGAATGTCATGCTGGTTACCAGATGGATCCACCTACAGGAGTATGCAAAGCAGTAGGCAAGTACTACCATTGTGAAGAACATAGTAACTTACAAATAGTACAATCACTTGAATACAAATCCAGGTTGGAGTGACGTATAGCATAAAACCTGGGATTGCTAGAATTAAATGGAAGTGGACCTTCTGGACCAGTTTTCTTTCTACCCTGCAGGCAATTTGGCCATACAGTATAGGGGAAATGTATCCAAGCAGTAGTAATTGTAATACTGTGGCCTAGTATCAATTGATTTTGATATACTAAAATTTTAATTTAAAAACTAAAACCCTCTTGGTAACCTGAATTCAGTTACTGAAGTGCTGTAAAAGTATGAATATTAATAAACATCACATTTAGTAGTTCTTCCAGCATGTCCTTAATTTAGATCAGTTAAACAGTAAGCATAAACATTTAAATGTTTAATGTTAACTAACTGCAAAAACATCTTTGCAGGCAAGGAGCCGTGCCTCATCTTTACCAACCGACGTGACATTAGGAAGATAGGTTTGGAGAGGAGGGAGTACACCCAGATCGTAGAGCAATTAAGGAACACTGTAGCGCTGGATGCAGACTTTTCCCAGCAGAGAATATTTTGGGCAGATCTTGGACAAAAAGCCATCTTTAGGTAATTATGCTAACAATTCCCTTTTTTGGCTTAACCTTGTTTCAGTCCTTGTTCCGCTTATTCACTTCTAACCAAAGTCTGATTATAGCTCCAGTTCTGTTTTTAAATCTGTACTCAACATTCTCCCTTATTTTAAAAGCCATGAGTAAATATGCTGGATTGATCAGAAAAGCCTGGAAGGTGGGGTCCACCATAGTTTTTGAAGCAGTCTTAACCAGAAATGCGGGTTTTCTTCAGAAGTTTCAATAACTTTAATGTTGCTGCTAAAATTGGACTTTTTCAGTTTCCGGAATTAACGCTTTTCAGTTTGACCCTAGAAAAAAGTTCATGCCAAATTGAAGACCAAATCCAATTTAATGGTGGTTGAAACCCCCCCCCAGATCTGAGTTGAGATTTGTGGACGAACATGATACTGATCTGAAGGATTGCCTCGGTCTTCACTGTGAATTTTGTCAAAGTACCAATGGTACAAACCTAAAGTGACCACTTTTGGGAGAGCTAACATTTTATCCTTGTCTGTTAAAACCGTTTTGTTTTCCAAGTTATACACTTGCTCATGACTTGTCATTTCAGTGCTTTGTTAGACAGACGAGATGAAGCCACTGGTCGTGTGAAGATTATTGAAAATGTGCAAACCCCAGTTGGAATTGCAGTGGACTGGATATATAAAAACCTGTATTGGACTGATCTGGGAGCAAAAACCATCACTGTGGCCAACTTTGATGGCACCAAGAAGAAAGTCCTCTTTGACAGCAGCCTGAAAGAGCCAGCCTCTATAGCTATTGATCCGTCGTCTGGGTAATTTTCTTTATAAAATTAGTGGTTCAGTCCATTCACAAATTAAATGCAGTGCAACTTATGAAATCTTACCACAACAGATGTTCAGTTCAGGTGGCCTTGTCCTCTGTAGTGTTAAGTCTGTTTCTTTAGTGATGTCTGCTGGGCAGGGTGTTGCAGCTGTCTTCCACCAGTTAATGAGCTGCGCAAACTTAGTGCTGGCATGTTCTTTTCCTTTCTAGGTTTGTGTACTGGTCAGATTGGGGTGAACCAGCAAAAATTGAGAAAGCTGGGATGAATGGGGTTGATAGACAGCTCCTTGTACAGACTGACATTCAGTGGCCCAATGGAATAACTCTTGGTAGGTCACTCCTATACCCCCGTTTCTCATACCTTAATAGTTAAGTTGGGAACTTTCACTGAAGATGAGTAAAATAAGATCACTTTATTGGCCATATACAATTTCTTGTATTATGAATTTGGCTTTTTGCATACCCCAACTGTCTCTCCATGAAACATACAGACAAGGAAGAGAAGCTTGGGGTCAGAGCACAGGGTCAGCCATTAATGTGGTGCCCCTGGAGCAGTTGGGGATAAGGGCCTTGCTTGGGCCCAATGGAGTAGGATTCCTCTGCTGGCTGTGGGATATGATCCGGCAACTTTCCAGCCACAGGTGCAGATCCTTAGCCACAGAGCCAGAGTACTGCCCTATCTTTATACTCTCCTGTTGGATATTGTTGGATACTCTATTATACAAGAGGTCTGCAGGTTTCACATCTTTTATTTCTGAGACTTCCTCTTAATTGAGTAGTGATAGAATTGCTTTTCATCTAAGCTGTGCTATACATCTTAAATCTTTTCTAGACTTGGTAAAAAACAGACTGTACTGGGTGGACTCCAAACTTCATATGCTTTCCAGTGTGGACCTGAATGGTGAAAACCGCAGAAAAATATTGGAGTCCCAGGAATACCTTGCCCATCCTTTTGCTCTTGCAGTGTTTGAGGTAAAGGACATTGCTTCTACAAACTTGTATTTATATTAAAACTATTTGCAGAATCTTAATGTAGGTGTTTTGTGCTACTTGAGTACAAATGACTTAAATGTTTTGAGATGGACTTTCCAAGAATGGAGAACTTCATGGCTGCAGTTTTGAAGGTTAACATTGTATTTTGTATAATTTCTTGTAGGATCGTGTATTCTGGACAGATGGAGAGAAGGAGGCGATCTATGGAGCAAATAAGTTCACAGGATCAGATGTGATCACCTTTGCGAGCAATCTCAATGAGCCTCAGGACATCATTGTTTATCATGAACTAATACAGCTGTCTGGTTAGTTCTCTTAATGTGCTATATACTCTTCTTGCCTTCAATTCTAGCCTTAGTTTCACCTTTGCTCCACTAGATGTTGCAGTGATTGAGCAACTTATGATTTGAATGTTTCTCATTTTAAGGTGGTTTTATGGTGATCCCTACAGTATTCAAACTTGTGAATCAGGGTTTTATTTGAAGTGTCCTGCAGGTAGAATAGTTTCAACATTGCTAAGATAACCTTCTGAGAGTCAGTTCCACAATTGGGCAACTGACCTACTGTAGTTCATCAGGTTTAAAGGTTCACAAGGCTAAATGACTGCATTCTGTCTGCTTCTCCTGGGTAACTGTTTGCAAACTCCAAAGTATAACATTTTGATAGTAAGGTACAGGGCAGGTTTTCTCAATGCTGGTCTCTGAACTTTTGTTCAGAGAAATGTTTTGTACTCTCAACTTAAACATGGTCAACATTCCTCAGTCTATGCAATAGCTACCAATCAAATTAAAGATCTAGTTAACTGTGCTTTAACCAGTTACTGATTTTTTTTAATTAACTTTTTTCCCCCCCAATTTCTGCAGGTACAAACTGGTGCAATATCAAAGTGCATAATGGTGGCTGTGCATATCTCTGTCTACCTGCTCCTCAGATAAACATGCACTCTCCAAAGTACACTTGTGTCTGCCCAGCTGGTATGGATCTGGATTCAGACAATCAAAGTTGTAAACAAGGCAAGTAGATGAGTGCAAATACTGATGAACTGTAAAGGATTAAGCTTTTCAGATCTCAAGGAATCTGGAATGTTTCACCTTTTAAGTTGTTCTGGGCATAATGCCAGAGGTATTCATGTTCAGTTTGATTAAATAAAGCCATTTTGGGCAAGCTTCCAATTTGATTGGTAAGCAATGGTTTTCATGCAGTTTATACTTTGGTGTAAAGCAGGTTTGGAAGCAAACCCATCAAGAAGGAATATGCCTATGCTTTGTTTTGTAGGAGCACCTGCCAGTCAATCTGTTAACTTTCTCAACATTTTTAATAGTATAAAAGCATAGCTTTTGCTACATGATTCAAATTACTTGCTTGGTACTATCCTTTTTGGAAACTTAAACATGATTCTAAATCCCCTCCAGTTAAAATGGATTTAAAGTAATTTTAATCCTGCAGAGGGACAAAGGTGTTCTTAACTAGTTATTGAATTACATTTCTTGCTGAACTAAATGGACTGTGACTGTTTTAATCATTTAAAATGCCTTTTCTTAAGGGCTGAAACCTGAACCAAGTCACGCTAATGTGGGGCACTACCTATGTAAATGCCTATTTTTGCTCTTGTAATATTCTAGAAAATAACAGGACTTGTTTTGTGTGCTTTAACGGGAGATTTGGATTAATGGTGATGGAACCACCCCACAATGCATAGATCATTTGGCATAAACCTTACATCGGGCATAGTGCTTAGGCCAAAAGGGCCCTTTCTATGATTTTGTGAACACTGGAGATTACCGATTCGGCATTTTCTTTAAATGCCAATGATACTTAAAGGTGGTAGGCTGCCAACAAGTAACTCAGATTTCATTACCTCCATGGTGATGACCATAGTAACAGTACCTTTGAATGTGTTAACCACTTGCCAGTAAAGGAATTGGACATTGTTTGATTAAGGGTAGTCTGGCAGCTTAATCTTCCATGTTGAGGTTTCAGACTCCCTTGAGACAACTTGATTCCTTTTCCTTCAAGCTATTTCTAATGTGACTTAAATAGAATGCATATTCAGCCCTTTTCACAGACATGAATTGGCAATAAAAGCAAGTGATGGGAAAACTACATTCAGAAAGGTTATGGTTTAGAGCTTGCCTTCTGTAAAAATTGTGAGCTTATTAACTAATGACAATTTTACATTTTTTTTTTTTTCCCCTTAGAGCAAATGCCAAATTTCTAGGTAGCCATCTGAAGCTGAGAGCAAGGAAGTTTTGGAATTTGAGAGTTGTACATTGTGATCTGTTTACCAACACTGGAGTTGAGGAATTTTGATGGGTTGTTTGAATAGATGTAGCCAAAATTCCCACCTAATGGTTTAATCAAAACAATTTTAAATATTAAGTGGTATAGTTAAGCTTTAATGAGCCTGATCAATATAGATTTGGATTAGCCGTTAGTGATTGAAGCTGACTCCCACCTCTATTGAGCTTATGTATTAGAGGGCTTTTCCAGTAGTGATAAACAAAGGGCAAGGCAATGCTGTTGTGCAAGTAATACAAGATAAAGAAGATAAGATCACTTTATTAGCCATATACAATTTCTTGCATTACGAATCCGTCTTTTCACATAGACAGATACAGATAGACAGACAGGAAAGAAGCTTGGGGTCAGAATACAGGATCAGCCATTGTACAGTGGAGCCCCCCCTGGAGCATTTGGAGTTAAGGGCCTTACTCAGGGGCCCAATGGAGTAAGATTCCTCTGCCAGCCGTGGGATTTGAACCGGCAGCCTTCCAGCCACAGTACCACTGCTCTGCCCAATATAAAACTTATTAGCCCCTTTTAACTACATTTGAGTTGTGTACCTACGAGTTTCCATATGAAGGCTTTCTTTACCCCTCTAACACATGCCAATTTTTTTCCATATTTGGCATTGGTGTGCGGTTCCAGTTAATTGTGATCTGTATGAGGTTCTTTTCAGCTTGTAATGTTGGTGGTGTACAAAGAATTGGCTTTACAATGCCCATTGCCGGATTCCCAGTGTAGAAAATGGTGATAACCTGAACATTGTCTTGACACTCAACAAAAATATTTCTCAAATAAGCATCCCCATTAGCAAAATGTCTGCAGAGAAATTTGTATTTAGCCATGTTCAGATGGGTGGTGTGAGTAGTCCAGTTTCATGGACTGGTGCAATGAAGGCATCATGCAACATTCATTGCATGCCATTTTCCCTCCATATTATGCCAGATAATCATGTTGCTAATATTGCAGTTAACTTCAAAATGTCAAATGCTTTGAGCCCTTTTGGTTTCTTGGTGTGCGCAGCTTTTAAAATGCAGTGTACATTGGTTACACCCTTACCAAACCTTTCCTTTATTGCTTTCTTTTACGGCAGCCACATTGTCCACAGGCTTCACAAAGGATGATGGCAAACTAAAGAAATCTCACACTTACCCTGAAGGTAATTGTTGCATCTGGCTGATGCAGCCCTACACTCTGCTGTGGAACAGAATAACTTTGACTAAATAAGAATAAATTTGAATAAATTAAGACTGGCATTATTAGCAAAAAGTTTCCTTTCATGTAGGAAGGACAGATAGGGATGTCTGATTTCAGATATTGCAGGGAGATGGCACCACCAGTTTTTTTCCTTCCAACATTAAGTATCCTTGTGCCATAGTTTGTTAAATTCTGTAACCAGCCAAACCAAAGCTGCATATTTGTGTGGAAATTAGTCAAAGGACAGTCTCTTAAAGATGCTGAGCAAATATTGCTTTTCTTAGAATATTCCCTTAGCATGTGAGGGTTTCATACAATAAATGGAATCGAGGTGACTAAACTGTGCATTTTAGGAACTATTTAAAAACAAAGCCTAGTCTTGCAGCTAAATTATCTATTACACCATCTGCCAGTGTGATACCATAAGAGTTGAAGATTTAATTACGAAAGCTTCTTGAATTAAGAGGATTACAATTTTCTCCCAATTCTTTATCTTGAATGATGATAAACATTTTTTAAACTTTTAGTAGTAATTCAAGAATCTCATGCAGCCACGTTTTGACTATCAAACACTTCTAGATGGCAAGTTGTACGTAGTTGTGATGCAACTGGGTTTGGAGATCCCTTGAGCCCATTTTTGATATGACTGTTTTAAAAAAGCTACTAGAAAACCCAAAAGTTTTGGGAAACCTGGAGGAACCTCTAGTATAAACCTAATGCAAGAGTATGCCAGCTTTGGGGGGGGGAAAAAGCAACATGCAACCAAACCAGTACATGAAACAATAACCTGAACTGTTAAGGGATGCTGAAGCTGAATGGTATCATACAGATGTATTTTTGGGAATGGAGCAGCACTTTTGGGTACATTTGAATACCTATTGACATGGAGACCCCTGGTGGCAGGTTTAAGTTGGTTGCTATTCAGTAGATAATCGGTGTGCACGTTGACACTGAGTAATGGTGAAAGGTTTTAGTTGGCAGTGAAAACAGCTGTTTCAGGGAATGGGTCTGAATTAATATTCAGTATTGCTTAATGGCAATACTATGAGATGGCTTAAGGTTTTTTGGGGATATGCATTTCTGTGGTACATTGAAAGTTTTCAGTTATAGCAATACTTTGAAATTCTGGGGAAAACTAACTTATCCATTTTACTGTTTCACTTATTTCAATGCTTAATGTTGGGGGGGGTGGGGGTGGGATGCCTCTTTTTCCAAGGAGGTAAAATTGCCCTTTCATGGAGGTGTTTAAACAAGCTATAGTCTAAAACAATTGTGGGTCATGTCAACATGAAAATGGCAGTGACTAGGTTTGTGCTCAAATTCATTGAGATTTGGCAGCCTATTCTTTGCTGGAACAACTTTCCCAACTCATGTTGGAGGCACACAACCTTCAATTGAAATGAGTTGCAGTTTTTCAATGATCAGTGCAGTTTGCCATCATTCTAGCCAAATAAGCAAAGAATGAAATTGTGTGCTGTTTTTCTTTATGCAGTTATCAGGAGTAGAATATGCTTGATCATGGCATAAACCTGGAAGTTTTCAATTGTGAACCAATATGATTTAATCAAATATTTCTTTGGTTGTTTGGAAGTTTTACAGCATCTGAATTAAGCATCAAGTCATTCCCACCTTTTTAACAATTTTATTTTTATTTAAAGCTTCTGCATTGCCAAAGGTGAATGCCCATCCAGCTGCTTCAGGTATTGTTCAAGTATTTTTTTTTTCCATATTCACTCAATGCTAGACTCCGCAGAGTGCCAAATCAAGACTTCTACACAAGTCAGTTATTGATCCTAGGATTGAAGGCATGTACAGAGACAAACTAGGTTTTTCTGCACATTACTGTAAAATTTTAATTTATCCAAAAAGTATATTCTGCTGTTCTTTTAAAACCTTGACATGTTTTTGTCTTGAATGGCATGTACAAGGCTTCCTGTAAGTTCTCTAAAGTTTCAACAAGGCCACTCTATAGGTGGGGGCGAAATGTGTATAGCTTCCTTGTCATTTAAATTTTACTTTTACAAACCCTAAGATTACTGTATGTTTATGTGGGGTTTTCCCTGTACTTTGACTGTAGTTCACAACCTAAGCATTACATAAATAGATTTTTGCCAAAGATCCATTTTGGCCAACCCTCTGCAAAAATGGCAGATCTTCCATTTAATGGTTTGAAGCGGAAATGTTTTTTCAGGAAAATGAGAGGGCCTGTTATTTAGATACTTGCTGGGAATTCTGGAAAATGTTGGTAAAAGCACTTAACGGCTCTTCTGTGTTTTAAGAGGGGAATGTGAGTACATCAATCCATGAGGTGAACCCTTCTGCAAAGGGATCGGCAGCAGCATGGGCTATCCTCCCAGTGTGTGAGTAAACCCCCCCCCCCCCCCGTTAACATGGAAAAAGACTGTTGCGACACTTGCACCTTCTTTCACTTGTAGCTGCTCAAGCAGAGTTTTCCCTCAATACAAGATGCGAGTGATTTCTTCCTACATTCTTGGCTTTGACCCAGCTGCGGTTGGCAACCTGTATCGTCCTACCACAGACTTATCAACTTGCACTTTATTTTGTAGGCTCATCATCTGGCAGTGTAAAAATCTTCTAATGCTCTGTGTGTGTGTGTATGACTACAGTAAGATCTTGGACAAACCTGTGCTGATGGCTAGACAATGATTGCTAGTCTGGCAAGGTGACCTACATATGTTTGCTGAATAAAATGATTTCTCCACATATATTTTATATATAGTTCAGGTGGGTAGCTGCGTCAGCATGCGTAGGCTGCAAAGGAACAAGTAATAGGTTTATTCCATGCTGAAAAAAACAAGAAAGAACACAACGTTTTGGCCGTGGAGCCTTCTTCAGGTGTGAGAGAGACAGACTGTCTCTCTCACAGACAGACTGTCTCTCTCACACCTGAAGAAGGCTCCACGGCCAAAACGTTGTGTTCTTTCTTGTTTTTTTCAGCATGGAATAAACCTATTACTTGTTCCTATTTTATATATATATAGCCTGCAAATGAGTCAGGAGTCATACTATCACTTTGTAATTTCCCCTAATTTAACCAAAAGTACTGAAAAATCAGTAGGAAACCTTGACCAGATAAGAGGGTCCAGATAAACCGACAGCATCATCCAGTGTTTTTTTTTTTTTTCCTGTTCTCAGTACTGCTGGCAATGGCAGCTGTAGGTGGCTACCTCATGTGGCGGAACTGGCAGCACAAAAACAAGAAAAGCATGAACTTTGACAACCCTGTGTATCTCAAAACAACGGAAGAAGATCTCAACATAGACATCAGCAGGCATGCTTCATCAGTGGGACACACATACCCAGCAGTATGTATTAAACTCCTGCATTTGGCCACTAGTTTGCAAGTCCTACCTGGAAAATGCTTCACCTTTAGTAATAAAGGGTAGAGTTTCTTTGCAGAAAATGGGCTTATTTTTCTCCATTACTATAGTTGGAACTGAGAAAATGCTGAGTGATTGAATTATGCTACAATTGTTGCATAAATACCATTAAGAAGGTTGAATTATTTTATTCTTATCTGTGCATCCACCTTGGCATATTTTGTAAGTGATTAGTCAGTACAATGACTACAGTAGTAAAGTGCATCTGCAGTTTACCAACAGGAGCACTTACCATGGCATGATGAGTTTTGCAGAAAATTGAATTGAACCTAGCTCTTACATTATGTAAAAGGTATTTATTTCACATTTCCTATTAGGACTTCTGCACCTCTTAATTCAATCTGTATTGAAGAAAGCCTTTCATCACTTCTTAATCCTGTTGGCACAGCTACTAAAGCTGAAAACCAGTGCCAAAGGATGTAGAGCTGAATATAATCAATTTCAAAATGTAAATCGGACCAATGTGTATCTTTGGGTAGTCTCCTGTACTTGTTTGGACACTAGGTTGGGAGAAACATGGCTTCAGTTTCTGAGGGCCTATAGAAATGGGGTTTTAGCATCTTAAGTAACTTGAGGCCTTTGAATTTGGATTTTAAACCAGTCAGTTTTAATACAAGCCCTGTTGAGACTCAAGGACCTGTTTTTGTTCTTGTGGTCTAGATGGACCTTTTTGGAAGTTGTGGGCCTTTTGTTACAACAGTACCTAATTAGGATGCACTACTTGTTTAATTTAAATTCCTGTCCTTGTATATAAACATGGTAAACTTAATTATAACCAAGTTTTTTTTTCCTTGCAGATATCAGTGGTGAATACGGATGATGATTTATCGTAACCTCTTCCTCAGCTCACTTAGTCTTTTTGGAAACCACACCAATGGCTGCTAACTAGCAGATCTACAACCAGATGCCTTCTGAAGTGCATTAAGTTGGTTCTGGGTAGGGTGGGGGTGCGTGTTAGGTTTTGTTTATTTAGTGTACAATAATACGTTGTCCTTAATTCCCATACAGGACATGTCCAAGGTATTTCCTTTCAGGGCATGAAGCATTTGCATTGATCTAGGGTGACCATATTTCCTTGTAACCATTCCCTTATGCTTTTTCTGGCAAGCAGGGCAAATGTTTGTAGGGGTGGGGGAAGTTGGATTGCCCAGTACATAAATGAGATTGTCATGTCTAAACTGTATGGAGGACAGTCACTCTACATTGAACACTAGCCTCAGCTATGAATTGTCTGCTGTAATGCAGCCTAGTTATTGTTCCAGGAGCCTCCATTTGAGAGTTCAGGGTTAAGTTTCTTTGCAGCCATGTCAAAGACTTCTTCAGTGTGTGAGAATACTTAAGATGCATTTTTTAGGCTATCATGTCTTAAAGATGTAAGCTTTATAATTTTTTAATGGTTTTCTTATAAGCATTACCTCCTGAACCTCTTTATATAGCTCTCTTCCAAGTTGAAAATGAGCTGTATAAGGAAATGTGCTGTAAAGAGACTTGTAAAACAAGAAAACTGTAAATATTCCCAAGAGTAAATCAGGATTCTTAAGCACTTTGATCAACTGTTCCTCTGTAAATAAGATTGTATACATTTGACTGAATCACTTTTTTTGCTATGGTTGGGCATAGTACCAGGGTAGAAGAAAAATGTATTTAAAACTGAAGATTTGTTAAAATATTTTGTATGTTTGTGTGACGTTCCTGTGAACTTTTATAGCAGTGTACAGAGGGGATGAAAAGCTCTGTACCGTGAAGAAAATTTGCAATCACTTCAAATAAAAAAACAAAACCTTTACAATTTTGCTGTTGTTGAAACCAGCATTCTCACTTATTGCAACTTTTAGTATTGGTTCTCTCTGGTTAGCAGAAACATCTGCTACCCTGCAAGGTTTCCTCAGATTTGTGCAGGACCTGTGGTTATGTAGATCACTTATGAATGCTCTCTAAAGGTTGTCGGTTGTAGTCTGACATGAAAGTAATTTTGTAGTACAGAAGCAATTAATATTGGCTTCAATTTGCAATAGAAGCGAGTTCCACTTTGGGGGTTGTAAGCCACTATAGTATGAAGTTGTAGTACTACTGGTCTAGTCGAATTCATCGGCTAACATTCATGAAAATCAAAATCCTTTGGCAATTTCATTAAGTACTTTTGAGCAAATTTGAAATGGAATTTGAAGAGACTTTCTATATCCTAGACAGATTAAAATGTCCTCACATCTGGTATGTCTCATGAAATGTGGAGTTGAAGGATTTTATAAATACTTGAAAGACATCGTTCTTCTCCGAAAACTACAACCAAGCAGTCTGTAAGACTGTCACAAGTGTCTGGTTCTCTGGCCTGCAGAGTCTGAGAAAATTGATTGCATTAGTGATGCATTGGAGGTGGGATTCTTGAATTTTAATGTTAATGAAGTTGTAATCAATAGTCAAATAGCAATGGTTCTAATGCAACAGAATAACAAAGGACACTCAAGTAGGTTTGCAGCAGATTAATGGTGCTGGCAGTCGTAGCCGCTAAAAACCAGTTAAGTTCTAGTGACATTTTTATAGTAATTTTCCTGAAACATTGTTCTGTTACTTAGAGGGTCAAATGTCTACAACCCACAACCACAAATTACTCGGTTTGATTATAGCCCTGCACCTTTTCTAGAAGCACCAATAAGTTAAACGGACATCTTTGGGGAAGAAATGCAATTTTTGTTTCTGCAGGTTTTCTCATTAATTCCAATAAACAGATCTGAAGAACCAGGTGGCCCAGTGGATTAAGCTTTATTTAATACACTAGTGGCAGTCAGTTCTGAGAATTTTGTAATCTGGGTGCTTTAAGACACATGCCTTTAAATGTTTTTAAAGGTTAATGGTCTGTAAAAGTTCCTTCCAAAACGAATCCAGTGACGAACAAGGGATGGAGAGGATCAGGTCAAAGGGGGCCTTAGATTCATACTGGTTTGATTTTACACCCACTCAAATAGAGCACCTTGGTAGCTATTCAAATGCTTTTTCACAGTGGAGCGAAAGTATAAACTGCCATCAGGGCCTTTCACAATTCCAGAAATCCATTACAAGAGGAATCAAATTGCTTTTGCTGTAGGTACAACAAAGGGCATAATGACAGAACTAATAAGCATTAGCATAATTTGAGCAGGAGGTTGGTAATGAAAATATTGCCAGTGTGTTCACCCCTCTTTCTTTCTCTGCTAAATTGACATTTAATGGTGAACTCCCATGTTTGATTCTGCTAGCCAATAGAATTCAGCTGGGATACTGCTATTTGGAAGGATGGCACCTTCTACAGCAGTGTAAGCAGCCATCCTCCTATGACATTGGTTTGAAAATTCTGACCCCTGAAGGAAGAGTCATGGGCCAGTATATGGCATAAGTTACAACTGCAACCTGCCTTTCCCTATGGCTCTCCAGTTCCATTGCTGAGCAGGCCCAGCCTTGCTTGGTGTCCAAGATCACACTACTAGATGCTATTGGTAATTGTTTGCTTCAGTTGGATAATCTTCCATTATTGGTTACTTGCTATTTCTAAAGCCTATTTTGCAATGTATTTCAAATGTGTAGTAGCAGAGCCATGTTCTCTTTCATTCAGTTCCCCCAGCAAATGGTGTATTGTGGCCAATTCAAGCAATTTCAGGAAAAGAAAAGGCCACTTGCCAAAAGGCACTACTTAACTGATTACATCTGATAATGTGCAATCTACCTACTCAGCACACAAATGATGGCTAAATTCACATGACCTGTGAGTCATTGCTCTGTACCTTAACATAAATTTAAATGGCAAAATTTCACTGCAAGATCCTAATTACTATTCCTGGATCTTTGTGATGCAGGGGTTTTAGCAATTCAGGTGTGTTTAGATGAAATCACAGTAGAATGACTTTCTACTGGTGATTGTAAAGCAATTTGAGAGAGATTTCTGTAAACATACAGTAACATTTAAGCTTGCATGCCTGCTTTAATTAGGAAATTGACTTGTTTTAACACGAAGTGTAGCTTTCAAAGATGAGTAGCAAATGCAGAAATTACACTGAAGCTTGGCAGCCATGAGAGTTTGTATTTAAGGTATAGTTTAAAGGGAGTGTTTGATGTGCTTTTTTTGTTGGTATCTGATTACTGATGCACCAAGTGCAAGTGCTCTTACTGCTGGAGAAGCTGTGTAATAAGGCTACATATAAAGGGAATTGCCATTAACTATAAAGAGCTTTGACTGGGAAGCTGCATCCACATGCATAGGCATAAGGAACAAGTAAAGGTTAATAATACGCTGAAGTAGAAATACAACAAATCAGCTACTGATCATTTATCAGTGAGCGATGATTATTCCTTGGAAATATTTAAAGCTGCTAATTAAAAAAGTTAACAAAATGCAGTTAACTTTGCTGTGTAGAACTGCTTCAATATCTTAGGTTAGACAGCAATATCAGACTAAATCAGCCTGCTTTACTTGAACACATTTTTTAAATCTGTTTAAAAATATCAGCTTAGAATGAAGTTGCAATTCCCAGTATATTGCAGGGTGTTTTTAAGATATACTGACCAATTAACCTAATTTAAATGTATATAGTTTATTATACTTATAGCATAGCATTGTATTTTATGTAACCTGTATTCAATAAAAAATACAAAGACAAAAGTTTCATTCAATGTCTAAGGCCAAACATAAAAATGTTTAATGTGGAACTGTAACAATGATATGCATACTTCAATACTGAAATACATAAAACCCTATAAATGTGAGGCTTTTTCTTGGGATTTCCCTGTATGAAGATGCTGAATAATTGAGTGAGACAGTCTTTGCTGTCCTCTAATGAAACTAGTGCTAGTTGCTTAAGCATACACTTCTATTTATACCAACAGGATTGAAATAAGTAGGTTCTCCTTAGCGTCTTAGAGCTGAACTATCCATGACAGTAAACTACCTAAAGTGCCTGAGAACCAAACCTGATGAATGTTTACAGAGATGCAAGTCATTAGACTGTATTCTTTACAAAATACTTTTTAAAAATGAGAAGAGAGAGTATTACTCCCAATTATTCTAAAGAAAAAACATCTGATGTTCACTCCCAAGACCTAGAACTCATTAAACTATCATAATTAATTTTGTCCTATAGATCCTTTTTTACCTAACCTGTTTAAAGAAATGTCTGCAAGTTTAATTTACTCATTTAAATTAAATTTTCACTGGTTCCTGATGGAGAGGAACTCTTCCAGAAAAAAAATCAAATGGTTGCATGTATTTTTATTTTAAGCCAAAAAAAACTCAAAAGAAGTGTTTACCACTGCTCTTGCGCATTTTTAATTGTTTATATATTTCAACTGAACTGATTTTAAAAAAAATCTTTAGCAGTTTTTACAGCTTTATTTTATCACCTGCTAAAACATGGAGCTTTTGCATGCAGCCAACTTTAATTTAAATGCTGTATGCTGGCATATGTACACATAATTCTGTGAAGGACAAATGTTTTTGTTGGGTTTTAAACATGTTACCACGTTAGTGGACACAGGAGATTTATGAATGCAGAGTAAATGAAAGACGTCAGGACAGAGGCTGAAGAGGATAATATTTAAAACGTTCAGTAAGCACACAGATCCTCTCAGTCAGCAACATTAATGGGGTCAGCGTTACTTCCCTTACACAAGATCTCCAAAGACCACAGAGCATTAGAGGGAAAGTAATGCTTCCAGATTTAGATGCACCGTCTGCTCTGTAAACCTGCTGGATCTTCACTGAAAAGCGGAAGAAATTAAAATGCTCAAACTGAAACGAAGAAGACAAAGTCTTTTCCCAAACTATAAAATTGGAGGGTCCACTGCAGCTGCTCAAGATTCTGAGGAGGGTGACCAAAGTGTACCTTTTGCCAAGGACAGGAGTGTGAAGCAATGGAATTCCATGCAAGAGTTAAGTCATGATATATATGATATTTATGCCAATTATGAGGACTCTGGTGATGACGAAAAACCCTCTTTCCCTGCATCAAAGCTCAGCTCACCTGCTAAGAACTATATGCTCAACATCAATGTTGGTGGGAAAACATACCAGATCGCCTACAGAGTAGCGGCTAGGTATCCAAAGACTAGAATTGGGCGGCTGGCTACCTATACAGACCACAACAGGAAACTAGACCTTTGTGACGACTACATTGTGCAGAATAATGAATACTTCTTTGACAGAGATCCAGACATTTTCCACCATGTGTTTAACTTCTACAGGACTGGAGTCCTTTGGATAAAAGATGAACTGTGCCCCCGAAACTTCCTGGAAGAAATTAACTACTGGGGGGTGAGAATTAAGAACACCCATCGGTGCTGCCGAATTTCCTTTGAGGAAAGGCAAGATGAACTCAATGAGCAGCTTAAAGTCCAGAGGGAACTCCAAGCAGAAGTGGAGATGGAGGAAAATGAAGAGCTTTTCCAAGACATGGCTTTTGGCAAACAAAGGAGAAAGATTTGGAACTTAATGGAGAAACCATTTTCTTCAGTTACTGCAAAGCTCATGGCTGTGGCATCCAGCTTCTTTGTCTTGGTATCCCTTGTTGCCATGACTCTAAACACAGTAGAGGAAATGCAATACAGAACCCACACAGGGCAGTTGAGTGGCAAAACCTACCTTGAGTTTGTAGAGACTTTTTGCATAGCCTTCTTCACTATGGAGTACCTGCTGAGGTTGGCGTCCACTCCAGATCTGAAACGGTTTGCCAAAAGCGTTCTGAACGCGGTCGATTTGATCGCCATCCTCCCACTTTATCTACAGGTCTTCCTGGAATGCTTTGTAAACGAGGACTATGGGAAGCACGATCAGGACATAGAAACTGTGGGGAGGGTGGGAAAGGTTGGCCAAGTCCTTAGAATCATGCGGCTCATGAGGATCTTTAGGATTTTGAAACTGGCACGGCATTCGACTGGGCTAAGAGCTTTTGGTTTCACTTTGAGGCAATGCTACCAGCAAGTGGGCTGCCTCTTTCTCTTCATTGCCATGGGCATTTTTACCTTCTCAGCCATGGTCTACTCAGTGGAGCACGATGTCCATGAGACGAACTTCACCAGCATTCCTCATGCATGGTGGTGGGCTGCTGTAAGTACAAATCTGCACATCAAGATAGCATTCCAAATGTATTACTCACAAAGTCACCTTCTTTTTACATAAAGTCATTTTCTACTTTAAAATTGAACCGGATTGGATGGTACAATTATGAATGAATAGGTGCTGACTTTACAAACTAATGCCAGTTTTTTTACACATTAATTGGCAAAATGCATTAAAAGTTGTCTTTTTTACGAAGAGCACTTCTGTTTTTATTCTAATGGTGTAAATTCAAAGTTAATGTAAGAAGTTATTCTTTCTCAATATAGAGGCATGTAAGCTGTGATACAGTCAGTCTTGCAGTTGCATTTGAGAATATACAGAATATCTCCAGAAGCAGTACATGTCCCTGAATTCCATCTGTATACTCTTAAGATGTTTAAGAAAATTTGGTTAAACGTTAACAAAGAGATTCTTTTTGGAGGTGACAGCAGTATTTTATAAGCCAAATGCATACATGTAACAACATTTGTGCCATGTTTACTATGTACTCTTACTAATATAAAAAGATCCTAATGAAAAGTGAAACTTGAACACTTTTTTCTACAAAACCTAAGAAGGCTGAGCTCATTCTGAATAAGTTAAAATACAATTCTGTGCAAATAACTGTAACTGAACACTACTATCAGTCATCAGTACAGCAGTTCAGAGTAATATTGCAGTTGAAGACCCAAACACATACAAGAGATCACAGAATGTAAAATGTACTGAATAAAGCCTTTTCAAAGACAGTCACATCCTGTACCCTAGAGAGATTTCTTCTTTTAAGTCTAGAGTACTGCTTTTAATGTCATGTTGCTTAGAAGGAGGATTTAGTAATTTTCCTCTTTCTCAGATGACTCCTTAAAAATGGAGTTAGTGATTGCCAGATGTTAGTGATTTACAAAAAGACTAAGCTTGAGAAGTCTCTGCATAGCCTGGTACTGTGCCTATTGGTAAATTCCAGGTTTTTAATTAAAATTAACTTTAATGACTTTATCTCATAGGTCTAACCTAAATAGAAACTACTGGTGAAATTATTAACCACCTAAACGGTATGTTATAAAACTTAAAGGAATATGAGAAATATTTATCGATTCCTGTCTTGCCATGCACTACAGCACTGATTATCACACCTGGTCTTGGCCAACTTCAAATCTTTCTATTTTTCTTTTCTAATTAAACATTTCCGGTCCTTACAAATTAATTGTAGTCTTCAGTCACCGAGGGCTTCAATTAAGTTTGAGTTTGATGACGTAGCCTAAGTCCAGCAGTGAGGAATGTGAATGCAGGATTCACATTATTACCCAGTTTGTTTCTCTGGTGTACAGTATCTCATTTCATATCTAATGGTGTGAATGTACTCTACCAAAAGAGAATTAAAATAAATATTAAACTTAACATATAAAATAATAATTTCTTCCAATATTTTTTTTTTCCATTCAAGGTGAGCATTTCTACAGTAGGATATGGAGACATGTTCCCCGAGACCCATCTTGGGAGAATTTTTGCTTTTGCCTGTATCTCCTTCGGGATTATCCTCAATGGAATGCCCATCTCTATCCTCTACAACAAGTTCTCGGATTACTACGCCAAACTGAAGGCGCACGAGTACACTTCCAATCTGAAGCACAGAGGGAAAGTGAAATTTACTAAAAGAGCTGCCAAGAAGATTACAGAGTGTTGTGGGGACCAAACTCATAGATGATATGATGCTTTTTTTGCTGTTCAGAAGACTTATTACATCAGCGAATATGACTGAGACATGTGGTATTAATAACAAGTTTGGAAAATTAGAAACAGTACCTGGAAAGCTTTAAATTTGTCAATGGAAAAAAAATCAAATGTTTAAATATTTTAAAATGTCCTCCAGTATAGTAAAGACATTCAAGCAGAGTACTGTAAGATTTTGGCTTACATGACATGACATTACATACATGACAAAGCATAAAATCATATTTCTCAGAGTACATATTTAAAAAAACAAAACAGGAGGACAAGATCACATTTTTACAAAAATGTAGTGTACACCAGCAGTTTCCATCTGAAATATTAAGCACACTTATTGTACTGAGTTGCTATCAGAACAACACTTTTCATGTAACAACTTGATTCCAACGTCTTGGAATGCTCTTTTAGCAGCAATTACATATTTCCAAGGTTAATGCAACTGTGAAATCTGTGCTGTGAAAGGAAAAATAAATTGTCAGTGTTACTAACCGAACTATGGCTATGAAATTAAAAGAGAGCTTGAGGCGCTCAAATTACTCATTGCTCAGCTGCGTTTATAGATTACATTTTCTTTTGAAATCCAAAAACCGCTCAAAGCACCACTTCCATGCATGTAATAAAAAGTCTGTAAAAATATATTCCACTGTGCTGTAGTGTTTTATCTCTTTCACTTTATATTAAAAAAGCACAAAAGAAGGGAGTAGGCTTAAGAAACATATACAATAATATACAGTACTAGGAGTCTGAGAAATTATTCAGTTGATTATATATTAACAAACATTTGTGCATTTAAAAGCTTAATACACACTATAAATACTATACTGTATATATACAATGTTAAATGTTCTGCTACATATTATTTCAAGCACAATGTTTAAATCTTTAATTATACATATCTCATTATATTTTATATATTTTTTATTTTATAACCTATATTGTAATATAGGTTTTGACCATATATTATTAAAAGGATTTGTAAATTTGTAAAATGTCAGTTTTGGGCCACTGACAATACATTGAAAGGATATTTTAAAAATATTAATATACAGTACCTACAGCAGATTTAAAAAATATAATAAAGAGTTCTGAATGGTTTTTCCACATTTGTGACATAAATGATATGTACAAAGTAGATGCCATGTTATTCTATATGAAATTATACTTGAAAGAGGTATGACATTTTGAGCAGTACATTACAAAGTTTTTTTTAATTGCAATGTGAGTGCCATGATTATAATATATTGAAGTAATAAAAATGCATTGTCTTCATTTTGGGAGTAGAGATGCTTAGTTCTCCAAATAAATGATAGGTATGACAGAAAATATATTTATTTGTATAATATTTCAATTATTAATTAAAACAGCCCATCAGTTTATGATTGGCTGAACATCTGTCAATCCATTTTCTAACTGCTTTATCCAGTACAGGGTCTGGGGGAACCAGAGCCCATCCTGGCAAGGAACAGGCACAAGACAGGATACACTCAGGACAGAACACCAATCCATCGCAGGGCAAACAGACACTCACACAAGGGCCGTTATGTTTTGGACTGTGGGAGGAGATCCACACAAACAAGGGGGGAAAATACAAACCCCATGCAGCTAGCATCCCAGAAACTGAACCCAGGGCCCTGTGAGGCAGCAATGCTAACCACTACTGACTACATTTGAAATGAAAACCATGTACCTGATGAAAAATGGATCTATGACTAACAGATTATTTTCTATACACCAGAAATACATTTGACTGACATTATGAATAGGCAAAGGATACACAGCAGCAAATGTTAAAATATATGGAACCTTTCAGAACCTTGGTGGTGATCATCTTCACCAAAGTGAATCATGAATTACAATAATACTCCAGTTTATCTGGCTTTTATAATCTGGAAAGAAGCTAATTACACAAAATTTCATTTACCAAGAGGCAAATGTCCCCCCAGCCATATATACCAAACGTTTCCAGAAAGCATCAAACTTTTAGGCTGCATAAAATATGTTGGCAATGATTGTTTGTGCACAGATCAATAAATGACAAATGAGGCATTGTCATTAATTTCTTGCTGCACACAGTTGCCTTTAATTTCAACAATGGGCAGAAAGTGGCAAACTGCCCAGTTCTTAGAAATTAGATTGGCAGTTTGCCAAAAGTGGAAAATAAGCATCATTAAAATATTACAGAAAACATTTGTGAACTGAAATTCAATTACATTCTTCCTTACTGTGACGTTTGCAAAGAATCCTGTACCGATTAGAAGACAATCTGGGAAAAATGTTACTTAAATACTAAGAAAAAGAGCGTTCATTTTAAGTAGTAAATGTGAAACATTCTTTGAAACCTGAGTAGGGATAAGTGAGATACAGAGTACAAAAACAGCAGTATGTCCAGAACTCAGCTAAAACTACTCAGCATCAGCACATTACTCCCATCTTATGGATATTGCACTGATGCCTATGAAATTCAGAGCTGATTTTAAGACTCTCCTGTTCACATTCAAGACACTGAATGGTAGATCTATGTCACCAAAGGTCTTATTGCACGTATAGTCTGAGACTATAATCTGACATTTTGCAATTCATGCCTTCTCACTCAGCTGTAGACCAGGCTCCACACAACAGACAATAGAGTTTTGTCACATGCAGCTCCTCTTTTGAAGAACTCATTGCCCAAATCCCTTGCACACTGTGACTGTGAATAATCCTAAAGGTGGCTGAAATATTCATTAATGCTTTTCATGTGTAGTTTGTTTATTGTTTTACTAAGGGATCAGTTTTACAATGTTCTTTTTTCTCTGTTTTATATATTATACATGAGCTCTTGTACAGTGCTTTGAGCGTTTAAAAAAGTCTTAGGAATAAATATGTATGATGTTCATCCTAAAGTGGATGAAGGAATCAAAAGGTAATAAAATCCATACTGTTAAATAGCTGAGCACCTGTTGCAAATGTGATTTATATAACACTTTCTATGGTAATCGAAGAATCTAACACTTGTTAAACATTTTAAAACTTTTAAACATAAAAACATATCCTTAGGAGGTGTATTTTTCCTTTGGTATGGAAATTAGTACATTATCATTGAATCCATTATTATTGCATTGTGCAATCAAGATATTTTAATTTCAAAAATTAGTTTTTCACAAAGACGAACTGGTGTCTAAATCTTGAGTGCACAATGACGTGAGAAGAATACTGTTTTAATCTGAAAATTATTTTTTCACATGTAGATCTTTATGCCTTTGTACCTATGTACTAGGAGTATCTTGTAAACTACTGTAAAAAATATGAATGGATTGGGCAACCCCAATGGATATGTAATTGTCCAAGTTATTGTTTTTAATGTCCTTATTTGAACAGCTGAAAGCCCTCATGCAACAATGAATTGTTCGAGCAAATCCTAGTTTAAACTACAACAGCTGGATGAATATGAATAGTACCGATTCAATACATCTTAAAATGTCACACAAGATTAAATTTTGATAAGCCGATTTCTGAATTTACAAACATTGTTCCATGACGAACACACTGAGGTGCTTAAAGAAGCTTCTATAACACTTCCTGTGAAACATATTTGATACCTTTCTTAGTATGAGTCAGTTTATCACAAATTATTCAAAGTCTATATCATACTGGCCAAAAAGCAATTTATATGCATTTCCTGGGGCACACCACCTTATATAACTTCTTTATAACTGAGGTCAAGAAGAAAGAGTGGTTTCTGTGCATGAGTGCTTTCACAGCTCATGGAAATGTGACAGATTCAAATTACAGACAATCACAGGCTTTTTGTAAGATGTCACTGCTACACAATTAAAGCCCACTTCTTGAAAGCAGTTTAAATGTATGTTTTGTTCAAGTCCTTGCTCTATAAACAGCCCTGAATTAACCCGTTTTAAATTCCACACAGCTTCTAATTATTTTCAGTTCCAATGTATTATAAAAAATGATACTCATGAATTGTAAAAAAAAAATAAGGTCATCCAAGTTTAAAAACAATTACTAGTTCTGAATTATATGATTGATACACATTATTTTGTTTTGAAGCAGTCAAGAATTGAGATCAAACCTTCCATCTTGAAAGTAGTTAAATGTATTTCTAATATTGACTTCAGACTGAGGATTCTAAAAAAATATTGATAAAAATTAAACAATTATATTCCATTTTGAAATTGATATTTTTTTGCATAAGCTAAACGTCAATATAAATACTTCCTAGAATTCCAATTCATAAGATTTGCCCATGCTTTTGACCATCAGAATGTCTGCAGGTAAAAAATACCTATATACAGCACACAATCCAATGCAATAGCATTCTACTAGGAAAAACATGTACAAGAAGCCATTTTCCTTAAAAGTAAAATTCTTAAAATTAGGCCCATTGAGACATAAAATTAAGATCTCAAGAGTACTGTATTGAATACAATCTATTCAGAAAATTAAGGTCAAATTGATATTGATAATCTTTCAGATTAAGAGACTTCTGCATCTCAAAAGTGTTCCAGAGAAATCCTACTTCTTGGCAGAGGCAAATCACAAAAATGCTAGGACAGATGGCTATCGAATCACAAATTGAATAATTTTCGTGTAAGAATATATGAGCACACACAGTACAAATTTATATTTGGGGCTGAATTAATGCAATGATTGTAGCATAGTAGTGCCCTTCTTATTGCTATGTAACAATACAATTAAAAACTTAATTTAACATTGTTAAAGTCATCTTCCACATTTCACCCATCAACAACTATTTTACTTGGTATGTATGATAAGATTTGGAAATTGCTAGCTAACTACAGAGTTAGACAGCTAGAATCAAGGAATCAGTGATCTTTTTCATTAGTGAACTTCAGACCTGATCAAATTCTTCAGACACAAGCATGTCTGGAGCAACCTCGACTGATTTCCAAGTCATTATCTCAGGTAACCCCAATCCCCAGAAACTGCATAAAAAAGAGTCAGAGAATAGGAAAAACCAGTGGTAAAAAAAAAAACTAATTACAAATTAGATTTCTAATTTTGCTCAGAGACAAAAAGCATCACATTAAATTGTTTGGAGAACCCCAGATATGATCTCTTGTTCTTTCTTATTTCCACATCTAGATTGTTCATTTTGTAATTGAAGCTTACAAATCTAAGAGATCAACCCCATTTTTTGTAGTTGAGGTTGGCACAGTGTCCAAAAATAAAAATACAACATAAAAGATATCCAGCCACCCATTTTCTAACCAATTTATCAATACAAAGCCACGGGTGAGCTGGAGATTATCTTGGGAAGCCATTTATAAGGATATAATAGATGTCCTTCTTAAATGTGCAAAACAGAAAGCAAAAAAAAGAAATTTCTAATAAATCATCAGGGTTTAGAATTGCTACTATTGCTGGCGGTAATTCAGTATTTATCCCACCTTTGTTCTGTGTTGCTCTTTGTGGTTATTAAACAATTCTTCAGAAGGGAGTGGTCTATTTTGGACTTTCTGTCTGCTCTCAAACTCTCCGCCAAGAACAAAACACACAAGCACACACAGATAACAAGGACACTAAAACTAAATCTCCCATCATTTTAGAAAGGCATATAATATGTAAAAACTCTGTAAAAGCTGTCAGACCCTGCCAAAACACAAGAGTAAAACCCCACAAGTATAATATTGCAGGTCCAGAGCCATAAAAGACACCAAGTCCTTGCATTCAAGGACTAATGGTCTCATTCCCACAATTCACGATGACGATCCTATTTTGCTTGATTTCTGAAACAGTTCTAGAAGTGGCCCATTTTGAAAGCTACTGCTGTAAAAAGCCAAAAGCCAAAATCCTATTTTCACAGCAGTTTCAATCAATCGCCAAATAGAAAGCAGCATGGCATAGCTGTGTGAATACAGTGTACCTCAGGTTACAAGGATATTCCCAATATTGATATTCCCAAGTCCTCTTTTATTGGAGTTATTTAATTAAAATGCTACCAAAGTGGCTCCTTGGATGGTCTAGAAAGTGCTGCTGGAGCTGGGTCAAAGTACCTGCCTTATTGTACACCTTTAACTCCGATCCTGAAAAAATGTTTCTACAGAGTTGTCAAATCCCCACCCCCAGAAAGCAAAAAAAAAATCAAAACAATGACACTTTATTTTCAGAGAACATATAATTGTACAAAATATTTACTAACAGATCTTATACTCCGTCACAATGCTGTATAAAACCTAGAAAATGTCTTAAACTGATTCAACCTGATGTGAGTAATAAACAGGAGAATAGTCCCTCAGACAACAACCTTCTGTATATCAGTTGTTGCTTTCAAATAATTGAGCTTCAGTGTATTATCATGTACAAAACCATTAAGCTACAGTAATAAACTCCACTGAACAGCTAACAAAAAGCTCTCTCTCAGATGGTATATTTCTTAGATATTATTGAATATTTATGCAAATGGGTAACATTCAGCTTTCTCCTTCCAGGTTTAGGGTATGTAAATTCAGAAACCCAGGATATAAAATAAATGATTATACCCTCACATGACAAAATTGACAATGTTTCTGAAAAACTGCAGAGAATGTAATTTTCAGAATTTGAGCTCCAATTAAATATTTAATAGAAAACACAAACACACAAGTAAACAGTATCTGCTTGACATTTTCATGTAAAATGTCTAGTACTTGGCGCTGACCTCATGTATTATTTATGTTTTAATTAAATATACATTTTTATGTGTGTGTTTCTTAAGGGTGTAAGAAAACTTTTTCAAAAGCTTTAAACAGACTACATAAAAAATGAGATAACAAGATAACATAAATAGGGTGTTACATTAAAAATCAACTTTATTTAGCTAGCTTTTCCAGCAGGGCTTTAATCCCCTTTGAATTTTCAATTTTCTTCAGTTTGGGTACAACAGACTTCAAAGCACACTTGATCTCATCTGCAACTCCATCATCAACACTCTGAAGAAGACTAAAAAAAAATGCAAATTAAAAACACTACTCAATCACTAATGTCCACACTTGCTCAGTGAAGGAATAACCTGTAACACTAGATGTGAAAAAAGAGTCTGGATGCTCCTTTATATACATGTAGCAAAACAAACTGTTAATTCACTAAGCCCTTTATCAAATCAAAAAACACTGAAGGGTTTAATCTACCCCCGTATTTATTTTTCTCTTAGCTCATGGGTAATGGGAGAAGAAAGTAATGGCAATGAGGGTCATCAAAAGTTGACAGTGCCTCATGGAATTCTGTTGCCTAGCAAAACATAAGGGCTGAAAGGGTTACTAAAAACACAAATGATTTAGTACACAAAATGAGAGGAAGTAAGGAGGTTAGATTTAAGTTTTAAAACTGGGGACTCCAAACAAGAAAGGGGAACAACCTATGGTACCTATTCTCACGGGTAGCAATGCCCTGAAAAATGACAAATATATAAACACAAACTTTTTTATAATAAAGGCTTGTGTGTATTAAGTGCATAATACTGTAGTAAAGGACAGTACTTAATATTTATTTTAATATGCATATTATTTAAATACATATTTAATTATTTTAATATGCATAGATACATTTTAGTTATTTTAATATTTATTAACAACAAATTATGTAACTACTATACTGTACAGTAAATGAGAAGGAATGATGTTGTTTTCCTGTCTATTGTTTTTTCATTAGCTAATGACATTACTCAAATAATGTTATTGGTTTCATTCTTAATCCCATTCTGTGATGCATTAAAGTTTCAGTGTTTCAGCAAACATTTGTTGAGTTTGCAACCAAAAGGAGATTATAACATAGGAGGAAACAGTTAATCAATTTCTGTTATGAGTTTTCACCTTATGAGTTTTCAGGGAACAAAGTAAGCTTGTATAATGAGCAATTACCGTGCTGTGGCACACTTGTTTGGGAACACTGCATGAGACTAATGAAACCTAATCTAGAAGGAGAAAAATTCTCATTTACCATTACTTTTTAAACTTCTTTTAAAAAGCATATGCAAGAATGTTTTATGTTTTTCTGCTACATTATTTTTACAATTTCATAGCTTTAATTATGGGACATAGTCTTAAATAAACCTTAAAGTTATATACAAAAATGTCTAGGTGTTAACACCATTATGCCTTTAATAGTAACCTTTAGAATCTCTTTCACTACTTAAGGTCTTACTGGGGATTATAAGAGGTCAAACACTAAGACCCAGGAAAAGAAGATAATAATCCTCTACTTGCAACCTGATTAAAATCTGTCAGCTACAGAGGGTGACCCAAAACAGGCCTTTCGGACAGTTTAGTCCAAAAAAGTTGGGACATACATTCAAACGACCTTTTCTTAACTACCAGCAGTGCCAAGTAAAGATTAGAAAGTTGCTGGATGTTTTGGCTTTCTGACTTATTTTAAAATCGAGTGTGTTATAGTAACACTCCATACCTTCATAATACCAGAGGAAAAAAATTCAGTCTTCTACATTGTGAATCTGATTTTCTTCTTTGCTCTTTTTAAATTATACTGCAACACAAATTGTATATACATTTGACATAATCTTCAACATCAACTTACCAACAGAGAACTATGGCTCCCCGGTTCACACTGGCCCATGTCTTCAGCTTCTGAACTCCTACTTGTTCCAACAGTGTTCTCGAAAAACTCACTGTGAACAGAAAGGTATCAAAGGTTCATCGAACATACGGCACAGGGACAAGGCTGGGTACACCCAGAGCCATCCTACTCCCACTTCATTCTGTAGGTATTTCTCTTATTATAATAGTGTGAAACAATGTGTCAAAGGTGTAAATGCAGTGTAGGATAAAACAGTTACTCTGCTGGGTTCACTTCTATGTAAATTGCCTCACTTCATAGTATACAAAGAATTAACCAAAGGTGTGAGATAAAAATGTAGTTACATTGCATGGAGCTCACAGCTTACAATAACCCTGGTAAATACATTACTATATACTGGAAAACACAAGCAAGTTCCCATAAGATTTGTGATCTTATTTCACATGGATAAAAGCCATCTGAATTCTGCTCAAATACTTTTGATTGTTAAAGCTCAGACTATAGATTATTAATGCAGTATTACTGGAAGTCGCAAAACATTTCGGCATTACTTTTATATTTCCAATGCTCTCCTGGCTTTAGCAGGATTACTGAATTCTGCCTATAAACAACCTCAGCATTACCCTCTCTTCCAGTCTCCTTCATCTTAGCATCCTGTTCAATTAGCCACTTCAGGACCAAGTGCCCTGCAGGATGCTCTGCCATGTGAAGCTAGAGAAAAAAAGAACTTGCATCAGTTTACATGTTTATCTGTGGTACAAATGTATATGTTCCTTGGTGGCCATCTGTAGCCAAGTATAATTTGATAATACTGGTTGCACTCATTCTGTTCCTGAAGAGCAATGTAAATCTTTTCCATTGAAAAACTCTATGCAGAGCCATTTCATTTCAGCCATGTCATTTATTGCCAATTATTTTGTGTTATTTTCTTTAACACTAACTGTCGCTGAATTGACAGTAAGTCAAAACTGCTGACAAACTGAAAAGGAAGAAGAGCTGTGAATTTCTGACACTGATCCTCACCTGTCCTTCTTTTCCACCTGGGACAAACTCCTCTGCAGCAAGTTTAGCTACAGAGTCCATAGCAGGCTTCAGGTCACCTAAGGCAGCTCCCAGGATGTCTGTGACCAGCACACTCGATGCTTTGTCCATCACCATTTCCCTAGTGTTTTCACACAGGTACTGCAGCAGAGGAGGGGAGATTGCCTCCAGCAGCTCCCGACGTCTAGTCTCCACATCCTTCTTGCTGAGAGAGACAGGAGAAAGCATGAAAAATGCACACCGGCAAGCAATTTGAAAAGTACACCAAAATACATCAGGGGAAACAAGTCGCAATAAACTGGTTAAGAAGAATGTTTAAAAAGTTAAAACAAGCTAACAAAAAAAAACCCAAAAAAGCACCTTGGAGCACAGCAAGAACTCTTGATTCAACCGACTCAGATTTGCAACAAATCACTTGTCGTGAAGCTGACTTGGGCCCCAAAATGCAGCTTACCCGAGTTTAAAAACCCTAGATGGAGTTTCAAATGAGCAGTTCCGCAAAATATAACCGAACTTTGCCATGGATTGGAATTAGACTTGTTTCCCAAACCAAAAAGTATGAGTGTGAAACAGTCCAAAGCATTAATAAAAGCTCTTGCTACTGTATCAGATTCAATAATGTTTGGTTAGAACTCTTGATCCAACCGACTCGGTTTTGGGATACAATTGCCAATACACTGGGCCTCAAAATCCAGTGCTAAGCTTAAAAATGATCTAAGTGTGATTGCTAACCCTAACCGGGGTTTCAAACGAGCAGTTCTGCAAACTATATCAGAGCCTTACCAGTCATCAGATTTTGACATGACACTTAAAACAAAAGGTATGAGTGTAAAACAATCAAAACAATTGATAAAAGCTCTTGTAAATGTATTACAGTCAATAATGATTGGTTACAACTTATGATCTGACCTACTCACTTTAAGATAAAATTACCGAGTGGTCTTCCAAGCACTAAAAAGTCTCAGAAAAAAAATTCAGATAGGAGCAAAAAATCACTTGTCCTGAAGCTGACTTGGGCCCCAAAATCCAGCGCTGAGCTTAAAAATTGTCCAAGTAGTTTGTGAATGCCAACCCTAACCCTAGCTGGGGTTTCAAATGAGCAGTTCTGCAATCAATATCTGAACCTTAGCAGGCATCGGATTTTGACATGATCCTCAAACCAAAAAGTATGAGAGTGAAACAATCAAAACCATTGATAAAAATTCCTTGCAAATGTAATAGATTCTATAATGTTTGGTTACAAATTTTGATCCGCCATGATGAATGCTAACCCTAACCCTAGCTGGATTTAAAATTTCCTGTTTTTGGTTCACAAACATTTGTTATGACTTGAATAGTTCAGGTTTTTAATTCTTTTAAACGCTACAGATGAACTACATGATTTCTTGGCACTTTTAAAACATGGGATTTATGCAGGGATTCTTACCTGTGTGCATTACCATCTCCCTTTTCCAAGACCTGGATTATTTCAGGTAGGAAATGTGCTGGATCTCTAGGACTCAATAAATATAGCAGCACCTTCTTCCCATATTTATTGTTGACGATATTTGGCAAGGAATTTACCATTTCCTAGGAAGATAGACATGGTTGAGAACATACTAGCAATCATATTATTGACCCATTATACCCTTAAACTACAAATATTGAAAATCAATGCCTTACCATTTCACTATGGTCTTAATAAACGATGATTGCTTACATCTGTAAAATACTTTTCATCCTGAAGCGCTTACCATATAGGAGGGGGGGTCACTACACTCACCAACAAAGTGCAGTAAGCAACTTGAGGACACACAACATCCAAAATGTAGCAGTAGCTCCATACAACTGACTAGGTGGAGAAATCAGAAACCATTTCTCCAACTGAGTCAAGTAAAAAAAATAAAGAGTCCAGATTGTATAAGCCTAGAGTGGTATTCGGCCAGGCACTGGGGTGACATCCTGCTCTTACAAACAGTGTCATGGGATCTTCACAACCATTTACATCCCTCTTTAACATCTCATCTGAAGAACATCACCCCAAGAGAACATAAGGAACTGGATCCACCTTCTTGTCAGTACTGAAAGAGTACAATAAAAAGGAACCCTGTTTTCCCCAAAAATATTAAAAAGAGATACAGAAATATTGCTAAAAATCATCTCTAAACAGAATCAAGCTGCAAGCTCCCTATCTAATCACTTACCGAAATTATCAATTGTTTCACCAGTTTGGTGTCATCAATGCAATCAAATGCAGCCAAAAGAACTAAGTGAGAAAACTCGCCCTGAAATGAAAAGGATGAATTGCGGTAAGAAAAGCTTTATTAGAAAGGCCCAATTATGTACTAGAACAAAAAGAATTGGCTAATTTTATTCTACCTATAGAACTTTATTTTATGACTCAAAAATGCTTCAGGTATCTCTAGAGTAATTATACATCACAACATTGGATTCAAAACTGAATAACTGAATTAAAAAAAACTTACCGTGGCAATTTTTTCAATGTATGTCTTCATTGTTTTTACAATAACTTTTCTGTCCTAAAAGGTTATGCAAGAAACAGAAAACGTTACATGTAGTGCAAATAGATAAATGAACCAAACATACAAAAGAGACCACAGTCCATCTTTTTTTTCCATTTACCAAATGTTATAAATGAACACTATCAAATACCTATATTCTAACAGCCTGTAAAACTAAAATTTGATCAACTGCATTTCAGTGCATTTCAGTCCCTAAAGCAACAAATTCAAGTGTGACTAAACTATATATATATATTATATTTTTATATTATTGGACATCTAGAGAATGGTAGCTTACCTTTGTGGTTCCATGCCATAGGCAGTGCATAGCTACTCTGGCTCCATCATGTGTATGGGCCACGTATATTACAGCTTCCCTTATTGATTCAATCATTTCCTTTAAAAAGAAAGTTACATGGAATATTTTTTGTAAAAACAAAATAACGATCGCAAATGTAACCAAATACATTTTTGTTAACATCGTTTTATACTTGAGTGTACATAATGCAAAATAACAACAAACTTACCGTTCGTAGCTTTTCGGGGGCATGAAGGAAAAAGTCAAGGAATACCTTGTGGACCAATGAATGCTTCACGACTGCCTCTCTGTCAATGACAAGGTTACCTCTCCATCAATACAAAAAGTGTGAGCTCAAGTCAAGAAAACAAGGTCACAATGTCAAACAAAATGGTATGGATTTTACACAAAATATAACTTTTCCAGCCTTTTCTTAAACCTTACAATATGTTCGCAACTGTTATCTACCAGCTTGTTGTTAAAAGTAACAACAAGCATAAAAGACAAGTATTTCGTAAGAACAAGCACTTTATATATATTTTTTTCTTTTTTGTTACCAAGACCAGATGCTGCTGAACAAGTGCCCACTAAGATGCAAACCTGAGAAGAGGTTTATTGAACCACAAGAGCTTGAATGGATATGATTGTCTATGATTGTCATGAAGGTAAACAATTCCACAAATGACAAACTGGTCAAATAATTTTTAATGAAGATGAATCTTTTCAGTAATGTTTCGCTGAATTGTTCATTACCATTACCAGATTATCACTGTTCATCTGTATTGGCCATTTGGCTGGATCACAGATGTGAACTCACAACTGCCTTAAATCATTCTAAATCAAATTACAGTGTGCAGTGGTTTACCAATATCATGATTCCTGCAGTATCACAAAAGAAGTTATTTCATTTAAAAACAACCCAGGACTTCAAATATGAATTCAACATGAATCTGCTCTCACTCTGAAATTTCTCTGATTTATGATTCAAAATATTTTAAGGCAATTTCAAAGTATCTGAATTTTGAAGAAACCTAGTACAAATCTCTTTATATGACTACACTTACTTTTGGGCCATGGGAGTCAGAATCTGTTTCATTTCTTCCAAGATGCTCTTTGTTTTCTCTGGGTTGGCGTCAAGCACTTTCTCTAGTGTAGGGCAGAGGGCTGACTGAAGAAATAACAGACAAGTGTTAAACTGTTCACAAGGGTTTCACAATGTATATAAAAATGTACATTTGCTGAGCTTGTAGCCACTACATGATGATCATAGTTTATATGAACATATATACGTAGCTTGTACTGAATAATCACAGATTGACGGACATGGATGAATACAAACAAAATAAACATGCTATACAAATATTAACATAACTTCTACATACCATAAAATAATAAATGGTGATACTTATGGACAGTGCATCGGAATCTTCTAAATTTTAATATTTTGTATTAAGTAAATGTTATATAATGCAATGCCTTCCACATACAAGTTTATGTGTTGCTTGGATTCTTGATGTAACAAATGAAATTTTAAATGACAAGATCATAAAAAATGTGAGTTTATCCTTACAAGCAACCATTTGTTTTAATTACCCTTACCCCACAGATTCTTCAAACTCTGTGCTAATTCATGGAGCTACAACACAGTACTAAAAAAGTAGTTTCTACATTTTAGTGCTGTATACATAATTAACAGTCTGACTGCAACATTTCTGGAGTAAAACTGGTCATATGGATTGGATAGACCAAATGATTTTGTTGCATAATTTTCTATTAAACTAACAGTATGATACACTTTACAGAGTATTTTTTCCTGTAACAGTCTATAACAACAAAACAAACATAAAAGTCTAGCCTTAAAAAAGCCTGTTCTTTTGCATCCCCCATCCCATCATCTTGGTACCCACCTTGCAGACTTGGAATGTGTTGCCATAGAGCTCCTCTGTCAGCATCAGTCTCTGCTGCAGAATGGCTTTGTCATTGTAGGCGTACTCTACTACTGAAGAAGCCTCAGAGTGTCTCAGCATCTGCCTCACTTGTCCTTTGAAAGACTTCATAACATCTGCCACTTGCTGCTTGTTCCTAGTGATGAAAGACAAAGAAATTCAAAGTTTTATTTAAAATCTTTCAAAATTTTACAGGCATATGTTCTCAAGACACCATCTGCCTACAATGAACTGGCAAGTAGCCCTCTGAAAACAATAACCTAATAAACTTGTTCATTACGTAGACTGCAACTTAAAACTTAACTGATATTTAAAAATACATTTTTAAAAATTAAATGTATTCTAACAGTGTTACATAGTTTATGCACCATAAGTCTATTTTCTCTCTTATATACCTGAGAAGTAAAGGTGAGTTATGGAAGGTCAGTAAACACACTGTACAATGTTTAAAATACTTAATCAGTTAGTTGTTCTCCCTGTGCTGCGTTTCTTTCAAGTGACCAAAATAATGTGAAGTTTAAATCATTTTTTCTGCTTTTATGAATATTTTTGTAGACCTAATGCATACTTTGATTACTTACCCATACATTAAAAACTTTTTAACAATATTTCTTGCATATTTTGACTTGCTCAGCTCAACCAGGTGATCTGCATTCAAAGTTAAAATAAAAATGTGTTAACAACTGGCAAGTCATCGTTATGTTTAATGATAGTCTGGACCTAGAGAACATCATAACTTCAAGAACTCTATGTTATAGAATGCATCTTAACCAACCTCCCTTATTATTTTTAATTCCTTTATTACCCCTTTATTTCTTATTTAAAATTCATTTAAAATTCAAAGAAGACTACCAAGGAACTTTTAAGTGTTCAAAATCCTCAAAGGCACTGAAAAAAAAAACGCCCAACCCGACTTCTACAGAATGAACTGAAACACGTACCAGAGGACAGAAGTGGTAACTACGTGGAAGTGCACTGCACTGCCCTGTTGCTGAGGCTGACAAACTGGCTTATTTCAAGGAACAGCTGGATGAGATCCTTGGATCAATTAACTACTAAACAGGCTAGATGGGTCAAATGGCCTCTTGTTTGTAACCTTTCCTATGTCCATAAATACCTTTTAACTCTTCAAAGACCTCTTGTCTTTGATGGTCATTTCCAAACTGAATGTAACACTGAAGCACTCTGGTGGAGTCATGTGCAAATGCAATCTAGAAAAGAAAATTTTTATGATGCTTATTATATGACTACGGCAAAAACCGCAAACGCCAAATTGAAAAGCAGACCTCTGAAGAACCACTATAAGGACAAAGAACTGTAGACATTACCAAAGGCACTCTGATAGCTGGCAAAAGTTATTTGAATTATAGCTCGATGACATTTTTAAATTGTACATTTGTCATGTTATTATGTAATTCCCGGTGAAGCAGACTGAGACATGTTAAAAAGGAAAGGGTTATTTATCTGTGGCCTGAGCACTCAATACCACATTAAGCTTTGAACATAGACACAGATGGAAATTTGCTTGCAATTTATAAGCAATTCACAAGCTGTTTTCTAACATACTTACACTTTTTATTTTGCCACGAACTAGTTCCTGTAGCTCACTCATCAGCTTTGCCCTTTTCTCTTTGTCACAATCTTTTCTGTAAAAAAGAAACACCAATTACCGTGACAAACTGTGATATTTAATTTTCAATAGATCATCACCTTTTTGTTCTGTTCTACACAAATACAAATCTTAATATGAACATTACAAATTTCACAAAAATGTTTTTTTTAAATGTCTTTCCCTTGTAAATTTGTCTTTTCCTTCATCTGATTTTACTCCATTACTTTTCTTGCAGAAAAAAAGAAAAGGAATGTAATTTCTATTATTTGTTTTAAAATAATCTACTTTTGTCCTCACAAAGGAACATTAATTAATAGGATTACAAAAATGAGGGCGTTAAAAGCTAATTGGTCCAAGGATCTACATCCAGATGACACCATGGTTTCTTCCACGATTGCTGGGTTCTCTCTACCATCGTGGTTCATGGTTTTTCCATGTACCCACAACCTTTTGCATAAAGAAGTGCTTCCTTTTTTTGTTCTTAAATTCACTTCCACATTTGTGTTTCACTGCTGGTTCTGATGAAGTCCACTGGCTTGAGTTTGTTTTCTAGGATTTTAAATACCTGAACCATGTTCTCTTGTAGATTAAAACGTAAATTAAAAATAAGATAAAAGATAAGAAAGTTAAATTTATATTATAATATATTAGTATTATCATTATTATTATATTCTTAAAAAATGGCCATGAACAAATATGTTAGTACACTGTTCTCTACAAAGACACGGTTGAACTGATTTCACTATTACAACCGAAGCAGACTACTGCAATGATGCCCATGCTGATATTCTATATTAGTTTAGCAGGAGCTAACCTATTTAAAATCACAGTCACGACAGAAGTGAGGAGTGAGTTTAAAATACCATGTTCAAATTTCCAAAACATCTCAGGGCCTGATAACTAAATACCCTGTATATACTTATACTGCATATTAATGAAAAGGGATATCTGAACACACAGATTTCAATTACATCTATACTGATACCGCTCTTTAAGAGCCCTGTAACGCATTAAAAAATTACATTTACTGCTAACACTTAGCTTACTTTAATATACATAAAACAAGAACCACAGACTTCCAAAACTTTCCAAAGTTTCACAAACTAGCACCCTAAAAGCATTAGTAATTGAATACTGTGTTTTACCTCCTAACAGTCTCCCACACTTGTTTGGCTCTGCTTATAATATGATAGCTGTCCTTCTTTTCACTCTGCTGTCTGTTTAACTTCAGCTCCTTCTTCTTCTGTTTGAACTCATCCCACTTCGGTTTCTTTGCTTCAGAAGCTGTACAGGACACAAATTAAAAATGTTTTGGATGCGAGATGCAAGGAAATACAAAGATCATATTCAAAAGTAACAGTTCATCACATAGCAAATGCTTCCCAGACTAAACATTGAAAAAAATCTAATAGGGAATTAAGGCATCCATCATTTTGTTGTTTAAAGAATTGTTCCAAAGAGAACAAAATCTGCAAAGGAAACTTTTCCCAGGCTAGACAAAATGTTGTGTTCTTCTATAAAAATGCTCCTACAGCAAGAAAATATATATTTTTTTCCAGCAGGTGTCTTAAGACTGCATCCAAGAGAAGTAATAAAAGCTCACCTGTATAACACCATGCAAGCTTACATTTTCTTCATGAAATTCTCAAAGCCTAAAGATCCCTAAATTAAGTTGGGACAGCATTTTCAAACCTTGTGTTTCATCCCTAAACATTTTGTCTAAATCAGTATAAAAGGAAAGTAACACTTCTATATTTTCCCAAGTTCGTCTTTAGCTATAAGCAATTACAGTCATAATAACAGTATAAACTTAGTACAGTTAAAGACTACAGTCTCCTAGTCATGCAGAGAACCAAAGACTTCCAAAACTTTCCAAAGTTTCAAAAACTAGCATCCTCCAATACCTACAATGTTATTCAGTAATGGGTATAATAAATAAACTACACTTATCTGACTATCTTTTTTTTACTTGAACACATTCACCTTAACAGGTAGTTAAGTCTGCTTTTGAATTAAGGAATTTAAAATACCAGATTTAACATGCATTACTGTAGAATTCGAGTGTATTGACATGTGGTTGGAAGCTCATATTTCTCTATGACTGTGAGAAATATGAACTTCCAACATCTAAAGGCTTCGGAACAGGAGTAACTACGTATTTCAATAAGTAATGGATTAAATTAAGTCATTAAGTGTTCAACAGGAATGAAAAATAAAAACAAAAATAAGTAGAATCAGCTGTATATTCTAATAAGTAGAGTCACTAATGTTAACCCACAAACGTTCAGAAACAGTTCCGTTGTAACTGCAACATAGTCTGAAAATAAAAGAACAAAGAAATGTACCTTCGCTTTGTGCGTCGTGTGGACGTTTCCTTTTACCAGCAAACTTTCCATCTGTTTGCTTTTTCCTAGGAAACTTCTGCACTCCCCCCTTTGCACCAGTCTTTTCAAATTTTTTCCCTTTCTCCAAAGTTTTTGCTTTTAGTTGCCATTTCCCTGCAGGTCTACCTGTAGATTCTGGTTTACCTTCACAAAAACAAGCAAAGGAGCCAAAAAATCAAATTGCAGACTAATCAAGAAAACAGCCTTTGACAAAGGAGAAAAATGCTACTATTTTAAGACACGAAACATTTTTAAACATCAAATTGATGTTAAAAATGCATATATAACACTGATGCATAAACTTTACAATGGTTGCATTATACAGTTTCATATCAATACTAATTCGGTGTTGAAACAGTTTTTCTAGACTTTCATTTGTACTTACTTTTCGGAATGTTTGAGCATTTGTTTTTCACTTGGAGGTTGTGTGTTAGAATGTGTTAATTAATAAAATCTGATTTAATATCTCGATTTCAGGCTGTTAGAACACACAATGGGTTACTTTGGTAATGTCTGTAGACTTCTACGGGCATTGCAATAGTTCAGAATAATTTTGCACCATTACAAAAGAAAATACCTTTGAATTGTCTTCCTTTTCCCAGTTTCCTTGAAAATGTTTTCTTGTTTTTTCCTTCCATCTCAACACACTGTTTTAAAAGAAAATATTAAACATGTAAGAATGCTAATTGTTTTAGAATTGTTTTTACCTTTTAAGTCAAATGAGTTGACATCCAAGTAATACAGCTGTAATACAAATAAATATTAACTTCTTGTAAAACTACAGCATGTCTATGTCAAATTAACCATTTTAATGTGGAACAGTCCTGAGCAGCCAGTACTGCCAGAATGTAAAAACGGGTAAACAGACTTAAACTTTTCTATCACTCTTGAATGATTTAAACATCTCGGGGTATTAAGAATTACCAAGTACTGACGAAGCTTGACATCCACTTTAAACATAATTCAGTACTATCAAATATGACACCTCTAATCACGAAAATAACAACTAATAACTGGTGTTACTTTAATACTATGATATAACAAACCAGGCCAACAAGATCTATAAACCAAGTAAGGGGAAAGTCAGACTGCATGTTCACTTTATAGGTTTTAATTACGAGTTCGTGTTAACTGTCGTTTTCATGAATGCTTCAGCCACATTGTAATAGACAGACCCGGTAATGCGACGTATAGAACAGAAAAGCAGATAAAAAAGCCTTGTTAACCCCTCACCCCCCAACTTAGACATTTAATGTAAATGTCTTAACAAGTGTGTAGAAACTTTACGTATATATGTCCCAATATAAAAAGCATAAACATTTGTCTCAAGAAATAAAAATTTGGGTTCAACGCGACATATTCATTAAGAAGACTTTTTCTAAGTTTCTGACTACACATTCTGATGTTTAATACTAAAGATACTGACAACATCCAATTCTAGCTGCCTGTATCAACTGTATTGTCCCCGCACGTTAAGATTTTATTTTCCTTAAGTATTTAATGCGAACATCAAATATAAGAAACAATACTTATATTTGAACAACTGAATTAATGTATACAACTATTGTTTGAAATTAATGTAGACCACACTACAAACACGTTCACATACCTTCCCATGTGTTCCAATTACATCACACTTTACGATAATTCGTCTCATCCAATGAGAAATTAGACTACTGTCGTAAACTCCTTTTAGAAGTTTTTTAACGACAAAAAAAGCAAGATACGGCGGTGGCAAATGAGCTGTTTACCGTATATATCATTGTACTGCGCAAAAGAGTTCTGATTATACAGTAATACCATCTGTTGTTGCATCTTAAGCGAAGTATAAGAGAAGTACGCTTAAGATTTATTTCACCTTGGTTGTATATAAATATAAATGTATATAATGTATACATTTAATGTATATAAATTGTTCTTTTAACATTTCTTAACTGCGTCAATATTTCAGTCCTAAATTCAGATTCACAATCATTTTTAACTTAGCGTATGTTGAAACTCTGCAGCAATAATCTAGACTCTAGAATCTAGTTGATTCTAGTTACAAGATATTTAGAAAGTATCGTTCAAAATAACAATAACAATCCACATTATTATAATTGTAATAAAAATAATAAACTGATCTTTTTCCTATTTATACTTTATTATTCACCTTTTAGTGGAGACCACTAAGTAAAAATACTTTTCACAAGATTATGTTACAATGCAGCATGGTTAATGTACTGTATACAATGAATAAGATCAGGAAAATTCTATGCTGTAAAGTATGAAGGACACAGTTACGGCTGAGCCTTCTTCAGGTTCAAGTATTAGTAAAATTTAAATTGTGCTAAGCCATTAGATGAGATGAACGAAGCATGCACCTTTCTTTCTTCAAGAAGCTTCACAAACAGGACTTTGAACTGTACGTGTTTCCAGGAAAGTCCAAATACTGTACAGTATACAGCATGTGAAGCTAAAACAACCAAATAAGACAACAACAAAAACATTTTTTAATAATGAATTTTATGCCAAGTGGTACAATGTCGTAAACTGATGTACAATGAGAAGGAATGTGAAATGCAATTCTAAGTAGAACTGAAAGGCCTGGATACATAAAATTGCATACTTATTGCTACCATACAAAAGACTACTATGACAGATTACATTACATTACCAAAATATATACTGTATACTGCACATATGCATTATGTCTGATCTTTATTGGAATCTCAGCATTTCTCATTTTAATACATGAAAATATAAACGTGTCATTATTGCTCATTAACAAAAATAGTTGGAAAATGTAAAATAAATAAAAAACACTTTATATTAGGGGTGGTATAGTCCACTTGTTTTTTTATAAAATAGCATATACAATATTATATATCAAATGAGATTCAGGAGAACATATTTAACCTACTGATAAATACAGTAACCTGAACTAATGTCTAATTTGATAATATTAGCAAAAACTAAACTATTGTTATATAGTGATGCTATGTTAATGTAAAATTAATTGTTAATAGGTTGTTAATAATGCATTTATAGTGCATAGAGTATTAAGTGTGATCTCCAGCCTTTACACAGATGTCTTACTGCAGAATTTATAGCATGCATGACATTTCTTGAATGTGTCAAGAAATATTTCTTGAGGGAGGCACTTGACTAAAATATCACTAAACAGCATCACATACAGTATATAAAAATCCTGAAACTTTGATCTTTAACTCAGACAGTACCAAAGACACTCTTCAGAATGTAGAACTTCACCACTCAGATGTGGCATTGTTCCTAAGCGTATCTAGTGAAAAGAAGAAACAAAAAAACACCTTTTGGGACATAAACAATAACAATAACATAAGTTTTACATTCATACAAACTAAGGCTGTGACATGTTTCAAAATAAAATAAAGATGTGAGTTTAGACAGCTTATAGAATGAGGGCAAACTTGTTCTTGTACAACCAGTACAAAAAAGAGGGGTTTTCTTCTCAGAAGCAAGCCATTGTGCGCATGCATGACATGGTTTTACAGCTAAATTTTATTACTTTTAATCACAGAAACATTAAGAGTGAAAGTTGTTGCTTTTTTGTACTGCAGTCAGTAAAGTATGCCGCATTCACAAATTCCAGAAAGAGGATGATGCAAACAGTAAATTCAGTGGTTTGTAAGTAAATGATAAAATTCAAAATTAGAAACTGCATTCATGCACCACTTTTCATTCCCTATTAATTATGGAGATTAAACATAATTTCTATATTGATTTTTTGCATCAGCTTTTTTTCTTAATGTGATACTTGTCATGCATTATTGTGTACTATGTTTATAGTAGGTCTGCAAGTCAATATTTGGTGTAATTCAGTTTAAAAAAATCTAAAGCTAAATTCGCAGGTGAATGTTTCCATGTAGCTGAAATGCAGCACTAAACTTTTCTCACAGATTCACTACCATACTGACCTAGGGAAAGCACAGACAAATTACAGTGCCCTCCAAGACTGTTATCTGTCCTGCTACCTCTGTTTCACACTGTGAACTGGAATGGACAGATTTAAGATTACGTGCCAACTGCAGCACAGACAAAGCTCAGGTTTATACCCCCAGTCCTACAGGCATTTCAGCCAGCAATGGAAGAGGCTGCTGTGCTGTGAAATACTGCGTCCTTTACTGAGCCCAGTCCTGTGTCACATCAGGCCAGCTCAGCACTGCCAGTGACACTGCACTTCCCAGGCCACCGTGTCAAGGGGCACAGCCTGCAATCAGACCGGCCTTTTCCAGGTCTGACCCTACACTCTGCTCAGAGGTTTTCATCACAGGAGTTACTTGGGAGACCTGGACGAGCATACTGTATATACATGTACAGATTGGCAAACAATGGGCATCTTGCAGAATCCTACTGAAAAATAGCTGTTTTAGTCTAAAAAAGTATGTTGGACTTGCAATACCATTTGCTAAAGAGTATCATGTTACATTGTTCAAACTAAAGAACTTCATGATATGATTTATTATTATAACACTAGAGCATTATGCGAACATATTGTTTCCTCGTGTGGATTTGAGTTTATATTGTAGTTTTGGCTACTGAAACATATGTACTGTGCCACTCAAATTCGGTCATGGAAAACATATTGATTACTATGTTTATTTTCAGACTTTGAGTTCATATATAAATATTTTCTATTCTAATTAAGAAATTTTTAAAAAAGCTTTATTTTCATTCCACCTACCATAACATAAGAAAAGATACTTAAGAACATGTGCTAGAGATCACACTATGGAAACATACTGTAATAAAGTAAGAAAAATCAAAGGTTATGTTAATCATGAACACTAGATGGTGTTCAAAACTTATGCAGAAGTCTTTCTTTGCTTACAAGTGAACATACGTGTTTTTCTCAGCAATCGGAATGACTAACAGAGGTTCAAAGTAAGAAGAGACTCTTCATATCAGTTGCTGTCTCCAGTATCTCTTGGGGGGTTTCAGAAGACTGATTTATACATTCCTGGATCTTACCTAAAAAATGGGTTTTTTAAATCAAGTACATTGCCTGATTTGAATCCTGACTGCTCCACTGTAGCTGCAATGTGAATATCATAGCTCTGCCTGTGAATGAATACAAAGAAAAACACTTAAACAGAATATAATTCACTTTCAAAACTGAATGAGAGCACATCTACTAAAAACAGTTTTGATACACCAATATGCAATAATCATGGTATAACCAACCATAGAAAAGGAAATGAGATAACTACTGCACACAATTGCAATGCTCATCATCAAGTCTGTAGGAAAATTAAAAATAAATATATAATCTGACACTCATTTAGCATATTTAGCATTCATACTTTTGATTTCACAGGAAAGGATTTCTGCTTAAGATCATGTTAACATATGAATGGAGATAGAAGGCTAAAAAATTAATTTAGAAGTTTTTCTTTATGTTATAATGTGTAAAATTTAGAGCAATATCAAACCACAGTTATCTGCAAAACACAGGATGCACTTGTTCCTCCTCCAGATAACATTGTGAAAAAACTTCTAATCTTTCACAGCTTTGTGAAGGTTTTCTCAAGTTGAACACCATGTTAGCATACAGTATGTGAAATTAAAAAGAACATTACTGTAAGTGGCACACTGGAGCTCAAATCGTAAGTTTGACATCACAAGCAATCAAGTTTCATTGTCAACAAAGAAATACATCTAAAACAGGAGAATAGGAACACTTTTTATACAAAAATTTGTAGACATCTGGAGCTACAGTAGCTACATAGCCATATTAACAAGGCTCATATCCTGGCTTTTTTCAAGGATTGTTTTTTGGATCAATTAGCTATGAGGTAGATGGGCCAAATGTCTTACTCAAGTTTACTCAAGTTTGCATTTTTTCTTATATTTTTATATTGTTAACTGGGCATCTTCATGCAGAACTTACAGCTGAATATTTCTGTACAAGTACTGTAAATACCTTGTAATCAGATCTTTTAAATGAAGACTTCCCCACGGACATTTTACTAGAGATCAGATTTTCCCAGCTGCTGCACGTGACGAGCACAGATGAGAATGGATATAAGTTTCTAATGTGGGTGGACAGAAAAGCTACAGCACATTTACTTTTGAAGAAATGAAATAAGTCAGGACTGTTACAGCAACCAGAACAGAGATGCTGCATCCAAATCTTGCAATCCTAATGTCACATTTTTAATGGCATTTTGCACTGCTATTAATAAGATGAGGATGAGTGTGAACAGGCCCTGAGGAGAATGATACCGTTAACAGACTTGGTGGAAGATCACTGCCTTCAAGGACAGCAGAACAAAACTTTTTTATATTAAAAAACAAAACAGGCTCTTGTACATATCATTGCCTGAGCAGGCTACCATCTGCCTCACCTCTTGTTAGCTACCAACAGCACTTTTCCAGTCAAAGTCTCCCCAGCTCTGGCAAAGAGTGGTGTTTTCAGAAGACATCGGACTTGGTACCAGTGTGTCAGGGGCTCACTTGGGGATGTGGACAGCCACACAGTTACTCTAAAAATGAAAAATACCAGAACTCCATTTTATATAACTTCAGTATCATTTCACACAATGTAACACAGATGGGAAAACTGTTATTTGCCTTAAGAACATTACCCTTGAAGATAATACTACAAACTGGACTGATGTTTTAAATCCACATTGTATCTCATTTGAACAAAGAACATGCTTCTTTTTAGCAGTCCAGAATTCAACACAGGACCCAAGCTGTGAAGCAAATAAAAAATGTTTTGCCATCACCCTGGCAGTAATTCTTTAAAATGAGTTTCAAACATATGAACATCAGCACGGTAGCACAATTTGTAGGACATGTTTTTATGTTATGTGTTTCTATGTGTTTCATATCTCATAACAAAGTGTTTCAGTAATTTCAAGTGTATTGCAGATGGCACTTACTGAGATCCCACAAATGCCACATCAAACCAGAATGCTAAGCCATGGATCAAACCAGACTGAAGAAGCTGAAAGACAAAAGGTATTTCCATCCTGCCAACCCAGAGAAGACACATGCTGTTATGACAAGGCTCGGTTACAATTGACAAGTAGAAATGTACTGTATATACTGTATGGTAAGAACAGTACAATTCAGAAGTTTGAAAACACCTTGTACACCGCTAATTGGGAAGAGAACAATACTGTTCATTCTTTACTGTAATCCCTTGGTTCATGTTTGCATTCCTGACTGATCGTTTTTATTAGGAAAACTGCACAAAACTGCAAACTTGTGAGGGGGTTATTGTTGATAAATCATGTGCTAAGGAAAGACAGCATATTCAAACCTATAGACAGTATACGAATCAAAGATTCTGTACAGTAATATGTTAAATCTTGCAGCATTATATATGATATATAATACATCATAATATATAAATAATGATTTATAATATACAAGATTTTTGTTAATGATCAACTGTTTAAAACATTACTGAGTATTTCATGTCTAAACAAGGTAAGGATGACAGATACTTTGATACCACATTAATACAGATTTTTTAACATCCATCCAATGTTTGTACAGTAGCACACAACTGCTTCAGTCCTTCAGTAATTACCAGACAGCATGGCAGTGGATACTGTAGTAAAGCATTAGGTAAAAACCATTAGTTTTCATTTCTTTCCTTGCAGCCATCTGTTCAACTGTTCAGTTTTATAATTTGGGCTGGCAGATCATTCCATAGCCGTGAAGTAACAAAACAAAGTGTTATCTTCTAAAATTCAAAGCCTTGTTTTGGGTCCAGAGTTCAAATGACATGGTGAAGATAGCAGTTTCACTGAATCATTCAGGTACCAAACAGCTCAAGCCTCTAAAGGTGAGCAGCAGAATTTAAAACATTATTCCATGGGAATCCAGATCCAGGAAATTAAAACAGCAGAGTTATGCTCATATATTTTAATTTTAGTTAAAGTTTGACCTGCAGAGTTCTCAACAGTGCAGCCTATAGCATGGGAATGTACAGTATTAACTCCATTGCATCAGACTAGGTCAGTCTCAATTTTATAGAAATGAGCTTCAGATACAAAAGTGAAGATTTCTCATGTCCTGAGTATTTGCACAATGGTGATGGTATTCCAACACCATCGATAGTCAAACTATAGCTGACACACTTCCAGAGCTGATAAAGACGGAAATTCAACATAACTTGAATTGAAGTTCCTTCTGTTTTTAACATCATCTAAGCAACATGACAACCTGATTGCTAAACTGAAACATTAGTAGTAGGCTACGCATGCGAATAAGAATGTATAAATTGGAATGAAACTAAAAAAATCTGCTTATTAGTACAGTAACCTGTGCAAATCCTCTTCTTTGGCCTCAAGGAAATTAATGGTGTATTTGATAGATTTTGCCACTAGAATTCGCATGTCAAAAGTGTCCTGAAAAGAATACAAACATTGTTTTAAGTCAAAATCACATTTAATTATAATTTACAAAGTTTCATTTACAGTTTAAATGTGCCATGATCTACACATGGTCTCAAAGCTGAAGGTGAAAAATACTTTATATTCTCTATGTTTTACTGAATGGCTCATGTCCAAACCTCTGCATATAATTCTTCTGTCAAACAGAATACCCAGAAACACTTTGAACCACATTTACATTCAAAATTAATTAAAATTGTGTTAAACTTCACTGACATAACTTTCTGAGTGTGTTCTTTTGTTAATGTTAAATATTTGCTTTTGAATTCCTTGGTTCCTTGGGATCATTTTTGGACAGGAGCACCTTCAGTTTGGTGGACATCCTATCAGCATTTGAGTTGGTTTTCTACAGGTTTTCCAATTTCTTCTTGCCAAATGCACGCCGTTTAGGTCAATTGGTGTTGGATATATTGTTCCTATAGGTGTATGTGCCTTGTGATGCACCAGTATCCTGTCCAGTGTGTAGTCCTGCCTTGTGCCCTTAACTATTACTACAGGGTCCCGAGAGACCCCCACCAGAAACAAGCAGCTGCCTGGCAATGGAATGGATGGCTTAAAATACAGTTATCATTATGAGTTAACATTATGAGACTAGTAAATAAAATTGTTGATTTTATATTTGCAGCTTAGACTTTGTCTTGTTCCTTTTACTGTCTGATAAAAAAAACACATAGTGCAGAATAAAATGAGAGAAAAGAAAACTTACCACAACTGGCTGTCTAAAATATTCCTCAACAGATGCATTATGAAGACCTGTCAAATTAATCCCATAGAAACATGTCTGATGCCTAAAGAGAACCACAAAGAACTTTTAAACACGCTTTTGTTTACCTCCAGTTTGGCATGGACATCACAGACAAGCCAATTGTGTCTTGAGTGCTCTGTATGTCAAACCATTTTCATTAAAACCATGTAGACAATCCTAATCTCTGCTTTAAACCCAAAATAATACACCATGAATAATACACTATTATGAAGTGTTTATACAGTATGTAGGGGAAAAAGCATTTAAAATCTATTTTTATTCACAAAAACTTACACCAGATGACAAAAATAAAATGTGGCACATTAGAAGCAAGAAATAAGCGTAATTATGCATCTTAGCAGACACTTACAGTAGTTATAATTTCAACATTCTGTGCAACAATAACAATAGTTGTATTATACCCATGTTCACCTAGATCTGTGAATAATGTATCAAATGACTTTTATTTGAATGTTTAAATTCAATTTCTTTTACCTACACAGCTTCTTATTGTTAATTTACAGGCCTACATTTTTATCCAAAGTAATTTACACCATATCCATCCAAACAGCTAGGAGATTTACTGAAATAATCTGAGAGAAGAACCTTCTATAATTGTACCACTGCATAAGATTTGAACGTCCAACCATCCTATTACATTTTAAGAACTTTTCGCTTAAAATGATAAAATTCTCCACAATGATACAGGCCTAACTTAAAGTACATCATGCTTAAAAGTAAAACAAGCTTCAACAGTGACCTGTCAGCACCACCACAACTTACTCTGAAGCTAGAGTTAAGGTGAGTAAGATAATACTACAGGAGGAATGTTTATACACTGGTACAATTACAACTCATTTATTCTTTATAGGCCAGCATGTTTAACATTTTCACAGAAATGACTCATTCATATAGCTCTCTTCTTTTTGATTTAAGATATGCTGGGCGTGAAGTAGCAATGCACAGGAATGTAAGCAATGGAACTCTTGGCAACAGGGTCATGGGTTCAAATCCCTCATGGGCATGCTCTTATTTTATCCATGAGCAAAATACTACATGTGTTCCTGTCAAACCTTTGCTCTTTCAGGCAAAATTTATCCTCAATATACAGTATGTCTGGATGAGATCAATAGATAAATTAACTAACTTTTAAACAGGCTAGATGGGCCAAATGGCTTTCTCTTATTTATAATGGTTCTTATGGTCTTATGTTCACTAAGCTGTATACTGTAACTGGTTAAGGCAGGGAGTCATGATACTCTACATACAGTCAGGAATGGTGGAGAAAAGCATAAGATCACAATGCTAAAAGTTTTATGTGATATAATTTCAAAGAGAGGACCGTGCTCTGGGAATGTTGATGGTAGAAGTGTTACAAGGTCATCAGCAGTAAATCCTAGCAGCCCTATCAGTGGATATGTAGCATCCATGATCCATCAAGCACTGTAGCTACCCAGGGTCCACCGGAGGCATTGCCTTTACACGATCTACAGTACATCTACTTGTGCAGGTTGTCATAATGGAAGGCCCATTCATCTGGTTACAGAAATCAGTTTACTCACAGAGTTTAACATTTAGAGCAGCCAGTCCTACAGTGTGACACTATAATTCAGTGTAACACAGCTGCTATCAGTCAGTATGAATGACAGCTCCTTGTATTATTAACCAATTTTAGTGTTTGGCTCTTAAGTCAAAAAGATGCAGCTCATTAATCACTAAATCCAGCAAAGATTGGGCTGTTTGCTTTTGTTTGCCTTTTTACCTACATTGCAAGTGCAAGATACATTCAGTGTGAGCACTGTAACTGTCACTGAACACATGGAGCACAACACATGCTCAACCGTGTTCACTGGAACATCAAGGATTTGCTTTCCAGGCAAGAAAAAATGCTCTCAACAACACATATGATGTGTGTTGTTAACAGATGATGTGTTGTTAACTTCTGGTCAGTGGGTTTACTCATAACATTTCCAGGGATTGTTTGATGTATCAAATAACTTTTTGCTTAATGACTCTGGTCTTCAAATTCACAGCAGAAAAGTACTTTCACATCAATAAGAAATATATACTCCTGAAACATCTCTACAGCTTTAATCTTTTCCTGCCATTCTCAAGAATTGAGTTAAGAAAGAGTTGTTAACTGTAATGGAAAAAATACTTTGAATGGTGCCTTGTCTTTATCAATTAATGAAATCATTCCAAGAATGATAGCAGGTACTTTTCTGTTGCTTGTTTTGTAGTTACCAAAATACTTGTGGGACATGGGTACAGTGGTTAGCATTCCTACCGTACACCGCTGTGGCCATGGGTTCAATTCCTGTGGTATTATCTGATCTGTTTCTGTGATTGTTTTTGAGTGCGTTTTCGCTGGGTGCTCCATTTTCTTACCATTATGTCGAAATAAATAATGGTAGGTTTATCTGGCTTCTGGAAAAACTGATATTGGTGTGAGAATTTGTGTGTTTGTGTCTGTCTGGCCACTGTAGGCACCGTTTGAGCTCTGTTTGGATTGGCATCCTATCCAAAGTGTATCCTGCCTTGCAACTGCTGCTTGCTGGGATTGGATTTCTAACCTTGTAATTGGTTAGAAAATGGATGTCTGGAAGGAGTGTCTTTGAGGTCTTTTACACATGTTGGTATTCAGACTCCCTAATTTCAGTGACTTTTTGAGTACAACTGTCAAAGCATTTATTTACACATGCATACATATTATAATTATCATTCATAGTTAAGCAGGTCTCATAAGTCTAATTTTATTGTCAACAGCAAGAAAACAGGGAAACTGATCCAATGAAACAATTAATATCTAATTTGGAATGAATACCACAATACTTTCTCACAGCTGAGGACCAGAGCTGAGGATAACTGGCCTAAAGTGCATTGGAGAGAGATTCAAAAGATCCAAGCTATGCCTTAGGTTTTAAGCACTTTGTGCCACAGAATTGCTGCACAGTTGAAGTTAGGACTACAGAGATGTGATCTGTAATTTCCTAACTGATTGAAGGCTGCTGGGCTGCTTTTGGGCCAAAGAAAGGATTTCATTAGCCAAAGTAACAAAGGCCTGAGTCATATCTGGATTGTACTGGAGCATTTTATAGCACCAGATATTTAGTCTGGATGTTAAAGTGCACTATGAAATTCCTAGCCCAGTGGGAGATGAATCTTACTGGCCAATTTCACCAATCACATCCTAACCTAAAGCTATCAAGTCATTGTACTGGCTGTTACTGTCAACATAGATCCATATACTGTACAAAAGTACTGGTAACTTGAAAGTATTAGTATGGGATTATTCCTAAATTAAATATGGGTACCTAAATCCCTAGGAAAATGAGAGGAAAGCTCTGAACTAACTTTACAAGCATAAACTTTTGGGGTTAAAGGCCTCTGAGACACTGTAAGAAAGGTAACACATTCACCTAGTCTAGCTCATTAGCTCATTTACTTTAATGTGCTTCATTTCTTTGATTTTAATGAATATGTGGTTTCAAGGGAGATCATTATATTCTGAATGGGCAATTTACAATTTACAATATAATAATACTAAGCCACGATCCTGTCCAGTGTCTTCTTGTATTCTGTCTACCTGAACCCTTGATGACTTAATTGGGTCAATTAAGGCTATCCTCTCCTTAGATCCAGAAGAGAATATAATTAAAATGTATCAGTTTACAGTACATTATTTTAAAATAGGCCTTACCATGAAGTACGGCAATGCATTTTTAGGAGTATTAATTATGATTCTGTCTTTTCAGCACAATCAAAAGAAAAAGCTGAATGCAAACAAGTATAAAAACTAATATTTTAAGTCATTTAGACTATTAAAACTTAGAAACATTAAATATTTAACCTAAATAAGTATGAAATCTATAGTAGATACATTTTGGTAAACATTAAAGACTGACAGGGCTAGTAAATTTGACATCAGTAGAACCACTGGATAAAATGTGAGGAGAAATCTTTTCCTTTAATCATCTTTTGGCTTAGTGCAAAACACAGGCCTTCAGTTCAACACACACCCTACAGCTGTCACTCAGTGCTAGTTTGGTAGTTAGAATTCCATTTCAATTAATTTAATTCACAATTATGTGTAATTTAATTAATGTGCTGTGAGGCTGCCTAGAGGGTAAACGTTTCTTGATTAGGTATAGGACAAACTCAGCAACATGCAGTTCCAAACCATGGGGATACATGATACATGTCAGATACATGTCTTACCAGAACTTTGAACGGGAGTAGTGCTCCATGTAAAGAGGCTCATCAGTAAAAGGTGCCAGGTGAATGTCGCTGAAGGTTGGAAACATCATTCCTGTGGAGGGTAACAATCCATACACAGCACAAATTACTGTCAAACAGTGTTGTTGAAGACTATCAGGAACATTCAAAGCTTTTAGTTCCAGAGCACAACAGGCTTCTAATTTGCTAAAAGCAATTATAAACTACATGCCAATCCAACTGCAGACGTTATAGGTGTTGAAATGTGAATGCAAGAACATCCTTTTCACATGAATGCAAACATAATTTGGGGATATATATATATATGGGTGTGTTAAGATAGAAAAAATAGAATATTTCCAATACATTTTAAAAAAAAGTATAATTGTTCATTCTGGCTGCTTCGTGCTTCAGTTTTAAATATCTACACATAGAACCATCTATATAACAAACAATTTAAGAATGCAGGAATCCCATGAGGCCTGAAAGGTTTGTATGAAAAGCAAATATTATCAATTTTTAGACTTTGCACAGATTTCTAGAATTAGATTTTAATGTGTAGAACTTGTTAACTAACATGTTAAATCCTCAATTACTTAGTGCCAATTTCAATTCAACCGAGTGCCACTCACAACCCTCTGGTATCTCCTAAAGATATTTCCTGTTGTCACAGATCAGCTGTCTCAGGTCAGCAGGCATGGCTGTGACTCAATTCTTAAACAAAACTGCTTTCCCTTTCTAATCTCAGAGGAATTATCAGAACACAGTTCGTTCAAAAGATTGGTACAGACTGGCAATTTACCTTACCTAATTATCTGACTTGAAACACAAGGGACCCTTTGATGTATAACATCATGTATAACAGATGTATATGTTAATTTATTAACATATAATAAATTAATAGTGAATTAAAGGTGACTGGTCCTTAACTCTAGCCGTTAAACCTTTACTATATTGATATTATTTCTTAAATACAAGTGACTCCTGTAATTTAGAAATAATTACATATAATACAAAAATTACAATTAATTCAAAAATTATGAAAATAACCTTATCATCATTTTAAAGCACCAGATTTATATTGAATAGTCTATTGTGGTTAATTAATATACTGTCTGCTATGATTCCTGCAGACTTTCCTCAATCAGTCAAGCAACGCTTGTGAAATGTGCAATACTGAAAGTTTGCAGTGACGTTGATTAAAACGGCTTAAAAAACATGATTGGTTATTACACTTTCCAGAATTATGTGTTCAAGACATTATACATGCCACTTGCAAAATAACTTTTACAGTGTGCCATATACTTTTACCTGTCTCAGATCATACGACAATTACACCAAATTAATTCTGAATGATTCAAACCATTCACAGCACTGTTTTGCATTTTATTAATGGCAGAGTCATGAATAAAGGAAGTACTGGCACACCTCCTCATACTGTACATACCTTTGGGTTTCAGCCACTTTTTTGAATGGAGGTAACTCTCCAGCATTCTTTCATTTAGCAACATGTATCCTATGGGCTCAGAAATGATGATATCTACATTTTCTGGAAAAGAAACTTCTTCAATCTTCCCAGCCAAGACTATTATTTTTTCAGAGAGGTTGTTGCTCTTAACCAGAATCTAAAATAAAGAAAAATATAATGGTGTTAAAATAATTGATGTTCTGCATTAAAAAATTGCAAACACTCTTAAATTGATGAGTTATGCTTCTTTATTTTCTAAACCATGTACTGTTGGTTTTAGTTGACCACCTTAAACCCCTTTCAAAAGTGGTGATTGACTCTTTCTGCAAATATTCATACTGTATATACCATAGATGCAGTAACCAGGTTACTCTGACCAGAAGCACTATCACCACAGTTCCGTTCTTTGTGTGAGGTTCATTGGCTTATGAACAATAAATCAGGATTAACTCTGCTAAAGGTACACTGTACTGACAGGCAACTAATTTATCTGACTACACACATTATTCATATTTTAATAATCTATAAAAGGTGATATTAGCATTTAATCATCATATTAGCATGTAAACTATATTTGAACACTAGAAATTATCATATTTACAACTTGTTCAATATTACAACCTCTGCAAGGTACAGATATTGCAGTGCTGCAAAGATTTGATCATATTTCTGAATACACTTAAAAATGTGTCAGGTGAAACTGGATGAGCCTAGATGTGTCAAATGTTTTGCCCAGCAAGGATACAGGGCTGTGGGATACCAACGTTTGAAGATATGAGCTGCTCTTTATCACAGATATCTGAATGTTATACTGTACCAGATTTGCAGACATTACAGTAGATAATGTGAACGCTGATGGTGTTCAGTTTTATTATGCACATAACCCACATTCCAATGTACATGTGGCCCATATTTGGTTCAACATTTCAAATGCCTGCATCAAACAAATGAATGCTTTATGCTAAGTTGACATTTCAGCTCAATTTAATTTTCCTCTCTGAATTTCACAGCACAAAAAGATGTGAAATCTTTTCAACAGAATTACATATTTCAAAGATTTTTTTAGAAAAAAGTGTTCTGAAGCAATGTGACAAAAGCATTGTATCGTAATTTTAAAAATGTGACACACTAACATGTGGAGAAACAGTGTAACTGATACTTAATAATAAAAAAAAAACAACATTGCTAGATTCCCAGTCCCTGTTGACACGCCAAGAAATCTGTCTTCAAAGTACTCCTACAACCACTCATTGCACAATTGTTTCTGGAGCTGCACATGCTACAGCGATGGAATCATGAAGATATTTTGTCATTCTTAATGATCCAGCACTTAAGAGGCTGTCCCTTGCATGCCTTTGACTTTTCCTGGTGTGTGGTAAGGCTAGCTTCCTGTTTGTTCAACTGTTTTTCTGACATTTTTTGTTTCGCTATGCTCAGGCACACCATCTCTCATGTGCTATGAAATGAATCATGAGGCAAAGAATACAACTCATGCAGCAAGCCTAACATTTGTGTGGAGGCAAGAGAGATTCAAAGGCAGGCCTTTTGTCTAAATATAGTCTGTGATGAGTGATTAAAGTTTCAGCATGGTTGCCCTGTGTGGAACTAATGGCCTGAAACGAGGATATTAGAGGAGCCGTGGTTTCTCAAAAAAGGTGGACTCTTGTCAAGCACAGTATTAGGTAAAGGGAAAGAGAGCTGACTGAAAGAAACGATAAATACACATCTGGTTCTAATCTCAGAAATAATATTGCCATTTTCTAAAAATAAAAAAAAACAAAAATAAAGTTGGCTGAATTGTAAAGGAAAAATGCATCCATCCAGAAAAATGCACATTTCCTTTGCCAAAGAAATGCTTTATTAGCTGAAAGTTCCTATAAACCATTAAAACCTAGGAATTTTCAAGTCTGAACTCAAGTACAGGAAACAGTTTTAACTTTTATAATACTCTGAGACAGAATATTTTACAATACCAATGAAGTTAAATAAACACCATCTTTAAATTTCTAGAATCCAGCAATGATTGATAAAATCAAATATTGTGTTTGATCTTGTATGTATTCTATTTAACTCGATTAATGTAACCGGCACATACAAAACAAATCTTGGTTAAGAAAAACTAACCAAGATATTAACAATACATAATATGTCAAGGAATATACATCATTAGTATGCACATATAATGTATATATTCTGTATATACAGCATATGTGCATACTAAAGTCTTAGTTTAATCAAAACTTTAAAATTAACATAAACTGCTAGCTAGAAATATGCTTTTTTTTCCTTTCAGTGGTTCCAAGTTCTGTGCTGGTAAGAAAAAAAAAAGCCTCATGACTGCTAAACTCATTTTCAGTACACAAGCACTGTAGATTATTTTATTATGTTTTATACAACATTCCTGCTGGTGCTCATCTAAGAAACCAGAGTTCTCATTATAAAACCAGTCCTTGATGCTGGAAGATTAGGGATGGAAGATGAAACCTGAAAGAAGACATTGTTTTCATTTCCTAATTTAAATTTTTCCCCAGCTGTAAATTTGATCCATATGAAGAGAATATTAGGAGGTACTTACACACTCCTGTAGTCGTGGTGACAATAAATGAAGAGGGGGCATGATTGTACATATTCAAAACCAAAATAAGATATTAAATCTATGCTATATTCAGGATGGAAACCAAACTCATTAACTTGTTTCTATGAGCCACAATCAGAAACAGGTAATGTTTAGAGAATATCAAAGAGGGTATATACATTTGGAATCCGTAAATAATACCCACCTTAGCATATTTTGCCACAGAACTAGCCTCAACAGCGTAGACCTTTCTTGCTCCTGCTTGAATTGCAAAGAATGAAAGGATCCCTGATCCACAACCAACATCTAAAACAACCTGAAAAAAATATTAGCCTATTAGAATGACATCTGTCACCTATCAGCTGTACAAGAGTACAATGACACACATTGTTCTCTTGTACAATGTTACTACTGTACCAGTTGGGGATAATGTTATACATCTGTTTCAATACGGATATTATTGTCAGTCAGTGCCTAACATGAATTGTCAATGAGCACAGTAAATAAGAGGATGCTGACCCGTGCTTGGCTTGGGCTTGACACCTTGACATGTGCTACAGTATATCTATTGTATATCACAAATATACACCATGTGTTTACCCAGAAACAGGCATAGATCACATACTGTAGGCCTAGATCACAGCAAGATTACTGTGTTATTTCCACAAGCTTTGTTTGGCGGAATATTTGCTGTAGCTCATGTGGATACGTCTACTGAAGCCATGCTTTTTTACAGTCCAGAGCATGTTCTCTGGATAACTGTGAATTTTATACTGATGGTGCTTGAAGAATTATTTACAGACCATTAAGGTTTCAGAATATTTAAGTATGTACTGTATGTTGAATGTCGTCCAGTGATGACTTTGAAAATGTGCTACAGGGTTCGGGGCTACAAGTATAGGATCACCGTAACACTGTAAACAAAAAGCAGAGGAGAAGGTTACCTTCACTCTTGTTGTTGCCCCTGGTTTATTGATAAAAAGCACAGCTTAGTATTACAGACAAAATAACCTCTTTTAACACAACATCTTATTTATAATTGAAACACAGCAAAATACACTGCTGAGAATTATCATTGTTACCATCCATATTGTTGCCTAAAAAAACTTTACATATATTAATAGTTAACATTTGAAAACTCCAACATATTAATAGTGTAATTGACATGGTAAGGGGTGACCCCTCAAAAATGATCCCTGCCTCGTGTATGACTACGCCATCTAGTAATTATAAAGGGTTCTGGCCCCTTTACTAGCTTGCCATAGGCACTTTTCATCTCCCAGAATCACCAGTACATCCACAGACCAGACCAGACAATTATTATATGTAATTAATTACAGCCTATCATTCTACTCATAACCCAAAAGTATCCCCATAATACAACAATTTCTATAACTGCCTTCCCAGTATGCATAACAAAAAATCATCTCCCAGCAGCACTTACTGACAGAATAGTATAAAGAAACACTATGGAACCAAGTTAGCGAACAAACATCCCTGATGAGAATTCCAACAGCATTTTTCCCGCCACCAGCTCCAATCGATGACCTGGTTTGGATCCTTCCCTTACACCCAAGGAAAAGGATGAATTTGGCTGTATTTCTAATAGTTCTCAGTATATAATAGATCATCTTGATATCTACAGTATTTAAATGTTGAATATTCTGAACATGAAATAATAAAAATAAAGTCAACTTAATATGGGAAAACAGGATGTACTCACCTTGTTTTTGAAGTCAACTTCATTCTGTAGTATTGCTTTATGATATGTAGCGGTTCTCAGAAAATCCTGGAGCATGTTCTGTTGCTGTGATAAACAGCCATAGAACTAAAACAAAAGACATAAAAATTACATAAGAAACACAACATGAGACAACATGTTGTTATAAACTTCCCTCATTAAAAAGACTGGTTTGCTACACATTAGCTCTTCTTTACCTCAATGGGTCTTTTCAATTTTCAGCCTTTTTTTCCCTTACTAGTGTAAGTCCGCTCATTTTTTTAAAATTTCATCACTGGATTGGCATAATGGAACATCGATGTCAGTTACAGTTCAAAACCCAAATAACCAACAACTCGCCATGTATGATTATTTCTCATTCAGTAGTGGAGAAGCATGTTAACACTATTATATTTACATTCTCTTATCACTAGGCTAAAAAAGATGCCAGGGTTGTGCTCTGTACTGTATATGAGAGTCACAAAACCAGAACCGGCAGGAAACGAGTGCATAAAAAAAAACAAGATTCTCATAGATCACCTGTCTCATCATAATGTGGTCATTTACTCAAGTCAGTTGCTGGGCCACTTCAGCTGTTGAAATATTTACTCAGGTGTACCTGATGTTGCAGCAGCTTTCTTTGAGCATTTCTCCAAGTTTTTTTTAAATATTTTTAATCCTTTAAAGCATAGGGTCATTTACTGGCATGCTGAAAATTGCCATTTCATTTCATTTTGTACATCCTCTCCAACATAACTCTTCACAACTGGGCTATGTCCTTGGTTCCACTCTTTTCAGTATCCATTTGTTAGCACTGGTTAGTTTCTTTGGTATTTCATCATTTTTATTTCTAATATTCTAAACTATGTTTGCCTTGCACCTGACATTAAATATCTGCATTGGCCCAGTACTTAGATGTTTAAAATACTTCATTTAATTTTTAGATTTAATTTCTGACAAGATCAGAATTAAGTTGATTGGTATTCCTTATGAATTCTGCACGTGTTTGCATATTGACCGTAAATGCTCAGGATTCTTGGCATCATCTTTGATCCATGCCTTATATTTGAAACTCATATCCACAGGGCTACTAAAGTATCTTTTTTAATCTTCCTAACACTGCTCCTTTGCTTTTGTATCTCTCCCAATCTAATGCAGAAAAGCTCACGCATAATTTTGTCTTTTCTTGGCTTGATTATTATAGTGAATTCAGATTGAATTGGTGTATCCAAACATATTTTTTACATGTTGCAGCATGTTAAGGACTCAGATTCTCGGATCTAAACTAAAAGAAAAAACTAAAAAACTAAAATGTGTACAGGATGTCCGCTGTAATGGAAAGTTACTGAAGAAAAGTGTTTTATCCCAAAAATGTCATTTAAGGGCAGAGCTGTGTTGTAAAAGCAGCTGGATTCTATGAACAAAGTGTGATTGTACTCAGCGAGTCAAGGCCATGGGATGTTCTAAGAATATGTTTATCTCTGCCCCAGCAAAAAAGGCAGATACAAAACTACACGTAACTGTCTTCTCTGTCCTTCAAGGCTAAGACCTACTGTAAAAGGACTGGAAAATTACTGTCTTCCCTGTCTTTATATTACTAACCAACCATAATGAAGTAAACAAGTTGAGGTGTTGCATCAGCTACAGTAAGTGTATAAAATAAGGGACCTTTCTCTATTTTACTTTGGAAATCGGCTTGCACTTGCTGCACAGACTAGTGGTTGCTGTCTTTCCCTATTGAGCAATATGACTAAATGCCTTACTGAGTGAATGAGAACACCTTTCCTGTCTCTTCTTTGATAAAAATTCCACGACACCCCTTTTCAGCATGTTTGAATAGGCTCCCTGTGGATTTAAAATAAATATGAAAATAGTGCTGCTCACCGTAAAGGTTTGAATGATTTATCACCTACAATTACCTGAAAATACTGCAGTGCTGAAGAATCGTCTGTGCGCTGATGAAAGACCGACTGTTCTTTCTTAGAAGCTCTGCAACTCTTCAAAACATTGTAGAAATCACAGAATTCTAAAATTATAAAAAAAACAACTCACATCATCTAAATACATATAGCTTATCGCTAAATATTTTCATAGGTTTTCCTATGCATGTTGCTTCAAAGAGCTTGAAGTTCTGATTAATATCTTTAATATTGAATGTTAACCTCAAAGATCCTGGTTTTGGGAAAGAATCGCACACATTTTTATTTTTCTCAGAGTAACTGGCTTATCACTTTTTCACTCAACACTAAACAGAACACAAAGAAGATGCCTCACAAGTTCTATAAAAGGCACACACTCTTTTTCTGGGAAGACTTTCTAGGAAATCCATGTATGTTTCCAAACAAAGCAAATGAAGGCAAATGAAATTATATTTTTTAATATAATTAATAATAATAATTGCTTACACTTATATAGCGCTTTTCTGGACACTCCGCTCAAAGCGCTTTACAGGTAATGGGGACCCCCTCCACCACCACCAATGTGCAGCATCCACCTGGATGATGCGACGGCAGCCATAGTGCGCCAGAACGCTCACCACACATCAGCTATTAGTAGGGAGGAGAGTAGAGTAATGAAACCAATTCATAGAGGGGGATTATTAGGAGGCCATGATCAGTAAGGGCCAATGGGAAATTTGGCCAGGACGCTGGGGTTACACCCCTACTCTTTTCGAGAAACGCACTGGGATTTTTATTGACCACAGAGAGTCAGGCCCTCGGTTTTACATCTCATCCGAAGGACGGTGCCTGTCTACAGTATAGTGTCCTCCGTCACTATACTGGGGTATTAGGACCCACATGGACCACAGGGTGAGCGCCCCCTGCTGGCCCCACTAACACCTCTTCCAGCAGCAACCTTAGTTTTTCCTGGGAGGTCTCCTATCCAGGTACTGACCAGGCTCACACCTGCTTAGCTTCAGTGGGTTGTCAGTTGTGAGTTGCAGAGTGATATGGCTGCTGGTTTAAAAAAAATGTGTCGGTTTCTCTTAACTGATAATTCCTGCCTTTCATTATTTATTTTTTAGATTAGATCACTAACAGGCAGGGAATTATTTGGGCTTTGATTAAATTATCTGTACCAGAGAGTGGATACTTTCCCATTTTTAATATGTAGCAGATACTGTATCTTTTACTTAAGAGCATTCAAATAGAGAGAGCAAATAAATTAATGCCAGAAAGGAATAAAGACCTTATGTCTAATTAATATAATCTGAAATGCAACCCTGTTGCCTGAATAAATACTGCTACTTGTTGACACTCTTCTCCAATATCTCAGTACCAAAGCCTTTCCTTCAGAATCCTTACTCTTTCAAGATTACCAACACTTCACATTTTGTCTGAATGTTCAATACAATGTTTTTATTTTTTCTTCAAAGGGAATACTTCATCTCAAGTGCTATTTTTTATTTATCTGAACGTATCTTAACTTGTTTCATTTTTGGAATTAAAAGAATTATACTGTGATGGGCCTGTCTATAAATAAGGTGACACGTGAAGCCTTAGCATATTAGAGTACACAGAGACGAAGACTGCAGGGCAGGGAGATAGTATTCAGTGAACTCTTCAAAGTGCTCACAAATGTTTACTCTACAAACAGCCCAGCACTAACTAGTAATGTGTACACCCCCTGTATCCCAAATATACCCCTTCAACAATTTTCTAATAACTGAATAATTCACTGCAAGAGAGATTATGTTTAATCATCTGAGGCCTTACTGACCTCTAGTGGCAGGTCAGTTCTAACTACTATCCTTACTAAAGCTGGCCTCCCACAGTTCCCTCACAGAAACAGTTTTAGTTGAAGAACAGCATCAGCTAGAGTCCATTTGTTTCTGAACAGACCACCTAATTCTAATTCATTGTCTATGCATCTGGCAGGTTGCACATAGGCAGAAACATGGTTGCGCTTTCACTTAAGTAGTGCAGTTCTCTTAAGGTGTTAAATAAACCTTATATACCAACTGGAAAAGACTAAATTCTGATTTCTCCATTGTCTTCATTGATATAAGTCATTATCATTGATTTTCTGCATGAAGTCTTAGAGTCAGATCAGAATATGTTTACTCTAGTAAAGCAAGAGTATAGGAAGTCCAAAGCATCCAAAACCTTTTCCTGGAATGCATAACTAAACTAGAGATTAGTGCCAAAAATCCACGTTTTAATATCCAATAATAAAAGCTACTAGCCTTTATTTGTGTCACTTTATTGTGATACTGAGACTGGAATAAGTCAAAATAGGTACAGGATATGAAACATTTTTTTCCACCAGTGGTCTAATTCTCTTCACGTGGACTCATTCATATGGTCAACATATGTTCTGGAAAAGGTGGCATATTGTTTAATCTTGCAGAAATGCACTCATATTGATTTCCCCCCAGTATTAGTAATGTCACAAACATTTCTGCAATGGTTTGCATGGAAAGCAAAGCCATATTAGTTTAAGTACTGTATATTCATCACATCCTGATCACATGCATTTAATATCCCAATTGCTTGTGCACAGAATTGAGTGAAAGTAAACTGAAAGTGTAGTGATTAATAAGAAGTACTCACCACTGTCTGATCTAAACTGCAGCAGGACACTGATGTAGCCCAATGTAATCAGCAGAGACTGTGTTCCAGCACGGCAGCACTCTGTCTCCCGGCCCACTGAGAATTTAAAAACACAAACTCCATCTCCTAAAGGCAGAAAAAAATGATACACTCATGTAAAATGGAAATGGGAATTTAGAATTGTTTTGAAAGAAGGAATAATAATTTTAAAATCTAGAACTGACCTTAACCCTGAGAAAAGAGACACTTTTTTATAAAAACTTTCATAAATACAAAAAAACACATGATGTGTTTATCCTGTACCCATCAACTCCTCATTGAAGCATAACCTTTTTAATTCTAAAACGTCAGTTTTAGATCTGTCAGTTTTCTTTTTGAATCCAGAGAACCAAAGCTTTCAATTTACTATGTATTATTTTAATATAATACATACATTCTTATAAAGACATTCTTTATTTCATGTAACTTTCATTTGTCATTATTAATATGACATGACAGTTTCACTCTGGAGCTTTTCAGTAGAGAACTCTGTTAACAGGATTTTGACAGTAATTTCTGGGGATTTTCATTTAAAATGGATTTTTTCTTCTGCCTTTTTCAGTGAGGCTGGTTCACCTTTGTTTCGTAGCTGTCATCTAGACAGAAGAGGTGATGGAGAGAAGTGTATCCAAACTGTTGTATTTTGGCATTTTCATATCATTGAGCAATATACCACTTCCAAAACATGAAGTTTAATAGAGATCAACATTCTGCATTGTTGTACCTCTTGCAAACATGACTCACTGAAATTACGTTTTTATTGTAGTACAAATTATGTTTTATAGGAAAGGATATCTTAAAAAAACTATCTAATTTTTAATTACACAGGCATGTATTGTTATTTTGATTAATTATCATTAATGAGGATTAAACTAACCTTCATTTACAGTACATGTATGTGCTGTAAGTAACTTTCTTGTTGCTATTAAGCACACTGTTGTTTCTCTATTTTAATAAGTAAAAATACAATCATAGTAAGAAATACCAAACCATTTTAAAGAAAAAGCTAATAAAAAATGAATACAGACATAAATACAACAGAACTGCAAAAACATTTTTATCCTTTGTTTAACTGTACAATGGTAATTTCAAATAAAAAACTTTATTTACCTCTTAAACTTAACATACTGTATTCTAACCACTTTATCTAATACACAGTCGCAAGACAGCTGGAGCCAATCCTGGCAAGCAACAGATGCAAGGCAGGATACACACTGAATGGGTAGCCAGTCCCTCACAGGGCAGACAGACTCAAACACACATACTGTACACTCACACTAGGGACAATTTTAAAGAAGTCAATTAACCTACCATTATGTCTTTGGAAACATTGTTGAACACCCATGTGAATATTCTGAGAATGTAAGAACTTATAAAACTCTGAGAACATAGGAAATGCTCAAAGGTAGTACCCCAAAAACTTAACCCATGGCTGCAGTGCTGCATGGCTAAACTGCTAATCACTGCACCACTGTGTGGACCCTAATAATACATATAAAATAAGAAAGAGGGTGACCAGGATCTTAATTTAATATATATATTAAATATATATACATACTTTGCACAATAGTAAATCATGTTAATCATACCATTATCTTTTAAGTTAAAATTCTGGATGCAGAACAAGCATCCCAGCTAAGATGATGCTTCCACTGGAGCCCTTTTTTTCTGAACTCCCCATCATCTCATATCGCCAATCACCTAATCTGCGTAACCTTCTTCTTCACAACTCTCGCAATCATCCGCTCCAGGCACTTTCCTCAACAACAGAACTCACTGCATCATTTGTAAATATATATACTATATATATATATCCAATACCAAGCTCATTGGCCCCTCTGGACAATTCCGGATCACTCAGATGACATCTTATATCTCCAGCAACCTTGTTTACCTCATATCTTTGCAGAAAATGCCCAGCTATCTACATTAGTGAAACAGGAAGGAGACTAGGAGACCACTTCAGGGAACAAGTTAGGGCTTTGAGGATCAAAGATCTTTCCCAGCCCATAGTTTCTCATTTCACCTCTAATGGCCATGACCATACTGATCTCTCCTTCTGCGTTCTCAAAGAGGGGTTTCTCAATTCCTATTGCAGAAAGACATCCAAAACCAAAATTATCCTGTGACTACAGTAGGATCAGACCTTCCCCCTTCTCTCAACGACAGACTTGTTTCCTTCTAATCCTCGCTGTTCATTTGCAGGTTTTGACTTCACACCTCTCTTCACCTCTCTTGACTTCACACCACCTGAGTGTCCACGCTGCTTCTCTCCTGCTCCCACCTCCTCTCCACTCCCAGCTTGTATTCTCCCATGCTTTATCAGCTGCTGATTTCCCTCCCTTTCTCACATCTGAAGAAGGCTCCACAGCCAAAACGTTGTGTTTTCTTTTCTTCTCTTTTTAGCATGGAATAAACCTTTACGTGTTCCAGCCCAGCTAAGAGCCTGGTATACCTTGAAAAAGTAAAGTATATTCTGCCAATGCTTCCAAATGAATTGCTCTGTTATCTGATCCCGTTAGCCAAAAACAGAAACTGCTGGCTGCCAGACTCAGTGTACCGTATTAAGAAAAACAATTTTCTGGAATAGACAATGTTTGGTTCACATGAAAGAGTCTCTCTGACTGGGCTGACAAGGCACTCTGGACTTGGAATGCATTCCCTAAATATAAACAATAAAGACATCAATCTTTCATCTGTCAATGCATTTATTACAAGCCCATACAAAAAAAGACAAAACATGGAGAACACCTGCATACATGGTAAATGCTTAAGTGGGAAGGTCATTATACACAGACCAGACTTATTCAAGTGTTTTTATACAGTAAACTATAAATCACTGTATATACCTTTAGCATTTAACTATTTAAACTGTGTGAAATGTGGTTGCTTACTGTGTTAAAACTACTGATTGTTTTCTTTGCTTGTCAGCATCTAGAAAAGTGAGGATCTTTGGATGTCTGCGTGGCATCCTCACATCTTTCAAAGTGATGACAAGGATGGTATGCTTACAAAAAGCTGCCATTTAACTGTTTTAGAGTTCATTTTCTATTCATATTTCTTTTTCAGAGTGCTAAACATTTTTTTACATGCTGCAATGTCTTGTCTACAGTATATACAGCATCTAACTGGGCTTAATAAGAGCATTAACCTTTTATCATAGAAGTTAAACTTGTTGCAGCTTTTTAATTATTTTATCAGACTCAGCTCATGCGTAATCACGCATATTTAGGTTATGTGATGTGAAATGTTGAGAGAAAGTGTAAAACGTTTGTTAGAAAAATACTGTACATGTGTTTAGCATTACAATTTACGATAAATTGGTGAATTGTTAAAAGACGCTTGAATATTACTTGACACACTAAACAGTTCATGGATACCACAGTGTATTTTAAAATAAATCTTACTATATGTTTTAAAGTAGAAATTTAAGATGGTCGTTTACAAAATAACCATAACAGACTACGCGTAATTACGCAAATTTATGGGATACATTATTAAACACTACTTTGTATCTACAAAACTGGAAAGAGATTAATCTGTGAATTCAACACAAACATACAGTAAACTTCGGTTTTCAAATGCTTTGAACGTACAGTACTGTAGCAACTTCAAAGGGTAAAGACAGTAACCCGGATCAGTTGATCCAGTTGTGCTTTTGCTATAGTGCACAAAAGACAAGTTTGTTCAGTGTCTTACTGAACAATGAACACGTTCGCGGTTATCATTTCAGAAACCGATGCAGAATTATATTTGGATACATAATTACTATAATCGTCAACATCTTTAATTGATATTTTTCGATTTATCATCTAAATACAGAATAGTTACACACACCAGTACACTCGTACTCCTGATCCCTATTTAACTACGTTTTTGATAGCCTATCAGAACAGTCATGCCACATTGATTTTACAAAAAAATTAAAAGACTCGACATAATGGTATATGCTTTCATTAATCTGCAATTAAAAGCTAAATGTTTTTTTACCAAAAGCTTTCCTGCACATTTAACTCATACACAAATTAATTTTAGAAATACAATAAGTTCGAGGAAAAATGCTAAGTGAGAAGAAAATTCCAATGACTGTCAGTTGCAGAGCAAATTTATTTTTAAATTTGCAAAACGATTTGACTCTTGATATTAGTGGAGTAAGAATGGTCTTGATTTACCGTCTCTGACAGTTAGTTCTGTCTCCCCTTCTTCTCCGCCCACCTGGAGTATAAGATTCTGATGCTGGTGTTGGTCGCAGAGCTTAATATCCCTGTTTTCCAGATCTTCTTTAAGAAAACGAAGGTTGACAGCGAAACAATCACTTTGTGTTGAACCTTCCATGATCCCCCTCAACATTTTCAACCCACATGCACCGCTGTCTTGTTTTAAAACTCCACTTGGCGGGCATCTGCTGCGGAGCAGTCAACTTCTCCTGGCATCTGGCGCTGGGGATGTAAAACGAAGGAAAAAAAGAAGAGACGAACGCTTGTTGGAGCAAACCCGGCGACTCCTAGTGGGATGTTGCAAAACTATTACATTTCTTTAGAAATAGCAGATTATTACATTAGATAGGACATAATCACTCCATTCCGACTACAAAATTTCCGGGTGAGCCTCCTCATAATGTATGCATAGTTTAATTTCTTGAAAACAGACTGGTGTTTAAAACTGAGGTTTCATCCCTAAAACACTAAATAACCATTTTTGAGCATTTATTCCTGGAAGAAGACAAATGTTTTTACCAAGGGTGAGAAATGGTGGCGAGTCAGTGCTAGTTTTACAGTTTTGGAGTTTGGTTTTGGCAAGGTGTGCTATCGCTGTAGATTCTATATGACCTTCCATTATCATTTTTTTTTAATTGCTCTGATAATAGCACAAACACATACTGTACCGTCCACAATATTTGGCATCTTTCAATCGACTAGCATGAGTGCAACTACCAGGGTATAGCCCACGTTTTGCTCTGTGCTGAAGGCTAGGCTCTGGATTAGCACAACAAGCTCTTAAAGATAAATCAGACACTAAAAGTGCATAGAAATCCAGGATGAGAAAAATAATGACTACTAGGAAAATGACTTCCTGGTTCAGAGTGCCTGGTATTTTACAGGGAATATAATCAGTTAAAACTGAAGAGATAATACCACACAAATTGATCAATTAGAAACACAATCCAATACATTTTTAAATATGAACATTTTATTGTCAGAAAATAAGAAAAAATATTATTCATTTGCTATTGATAATTGAAAATATTTTCTAGTTATAAAAATACAATATTTTTCAATTGGCAAAATATAATTAATTCTTAAAAGAATCACTTGAAAATCTAGGTAATTTTTTTTAAGATGAACATCCAAGAAAAAATACACACACAGCTTTATTGTCAAAATATATATTGCATTTAATATTTCACGACAAAACAAACAAAATATAATTTCCTCTGTACACAAAATCCTTCACATCACTGGAATGATGAATGTTATGAACTGGACTATGAGAATGTTTTTCCATAAAGAAACATCAGACATGCTAAAACTGTGAATTGTAAATGGTCAGCCTAAGGTTCACTGTAGGAAATTAACATGTCTTTTATTAATTTTTCTTGGAACACCTTTTAGTGCTGTTCCTCAGCTGCACTGAAATCAGTGAACTGCTTTCCTTGCACCTTGTGAATTTTTCAGTCAGCAGAGAAATATAGAAATACTGATAAAGAATAGAAAACGCAACACAAAAAGTATTTAAAGAATAAAACTTTTATTGATAGAATTTTTAAAAATAATGTTTCATTGATATTGGTAATTG